GGTGAATGGCAATTGCACAGTCTTTGATGGAATGAGAGGCCCCTCCTCCTCGATTTGAGGCACACGGCAGCATGGATGGAGGCACCGCGTCGTGTGCAAAACGCAAAAGGTGGAAAACGATGCTGCGTGTAATTTCTGGATGATGCAAATCCAGGAGTCTTGGCTTACCGGATGTTGTTAACGTCCAAAGTAGGGAAAACAGCCAGATGCTTCTGCTTTATGGTGGGCCAGATATCCAACGGTCGACCGTTATTCCAACAGCGAGGCGTCGTATATCCAGCAGCCTGCTCCACAAATTGCAGGAAAAAAAGGAAGATGCAGAAGATATATGCTTCCATAATGAATCTCCATTACCCGATGGGCAAGCTCTAATTAAGAGCGCCGCGTTCAAGTAAAAAAACTCATACTTTGGCAAGGAAAAAACAGTGGGAAATTAGCGAGAAAAGGGGTACAGAAAAGTTCTAGATTTATTGGCCGTTCGGTAGCTGTGCAGGCCAAGTCTTGTTTGTTTATCCAGTGGTTTTCGGAGCAGCTACCTAAGCGTCAGTAAAGCACAGTGCTTAATAACTGCCACACAAAGGCTGATAAACAACCTACCGTAGACTTAGCGCCCTAATCACGTCATGCCTAACTTGCCTAATGGTAAGTACGGTACGAGTTACTTTGGTTACACAGTACTTTCAAAAGTTATTACCAAAACATTCAGTCCAGAGCTCTCTAAAATATTTTGAATGTTTAACGCTCTTTTATTGCTTCTAACTTAGAAGCAACTACCTCGTACTGGAAGATGTGATATTATGACAGTTTTGGCAGGTGCAAGACACAGTATATTAGCACACAGCAGTGGTGGCAGGACACTGGCCATATATCTTGAGACACCCGTACGTCACACAAACCAAAATCAAAATAATTCCTTAAAAGCTTTTGCCTTTTTCGTCGAAGACGAATACGATAACATCATTTATCAATATCTCTAATAACTTAAGGCATGCGTGAAAAGGGTCAGTTTTACCGAGAGTGCTTTGGGATATGCTCTCGGGTGACAACCTTTGCGTTGGGCTGATCTGTTCATTACAGGTGCGTACTACAATTACAAAAGTCGAGGAATGTGTGTAAGATCATCGATCAGCCTAAAATTGCGCCCTTTGACAAAATGACGTTACTAAACTCATCGGTCCGAGAAATCCCATCCTCCGCGAATTTTAACGGTACAAACGCGCAAGGACACTGGACGATTTCCAGCATCATAGACGTTGTATTACCTTCCACTTCCGTCTGTCTTAATGCGGGAGCTTTGGGATATCACTGTGTTTTTCCATCGCGCATTACTTCCTTTATGGTTTACCTTTTAGCGCTGTTCATGGGAAATCTGGCTTATCTGACGGCCGAGAAGCCATTTAATACCATGCATCAAGTATACGGGAGTGTGGACTGGAGCAATGCGTTATGCATTTTTCGTACCTACACCCAAAAGGTCCTCAGTGTGGTCCAAGTCATGGCGCATGTGCTAATTTCTAGCAATCGTCTGCGGGCCATGATTCGTCCCGTATCCTATCGGAACCGGCATAACAAACGCATGGCCGCTTTGATTTATTTGGGAATGATATCTGCGGTTCACATCATGCAGATACCGCCGCTGGCCATCGAAATGGTAAGGTCTTTTTTCAACTGGCAAACCACGTGGATGTCTGCTGACCTTACCAGGATGGAATCAAGCGGAGATGTTTCTCTTTCGCATATTTCCATTACTCTTCATCATCCCTGCCTACATTTTTCTCATTCGGAAGAGACTACAGAAGAAACGGTCTGCCCGGCGCACAGGCGCTGAAATCGTTGCTGGTGATAACAGTCTCATGGAGTTCAAGCACTCAAGGTCATCGAAACAACCGTCGACAGTAGTGAACCACGAAACCAGGACCGCCCGGCGGAAGACCGTGAAACCTTGTGTGGTTCTGACCCTGACATCGATTAGCGTTTTGGTTTGCTGGGTTCCGGCTGATGTGTATTTCTTTTCTGCCATCTTCTTTAAGGTGTGGCTTTCACCAATTGTTTTCAGCATTGTATCTGTCTTCTACTCCTTACAAATGCTATGTGATCCGTTGATATGGATGTTTAGTTTACGATCATAACGATCTTAATGTTAAATGGGATGCACGCTAGAACGTTTTAAAATAATACCGTTCCGCCTCACGTTTATGAGGACAAATTACTTCTACACCTTTGAACAATGTTCACCAGCATACGAGTATATACCGAATAAAGTTACTTAAAAATGAATATGCTAAATCACAATATTCAACTGCAGTACGCGCATGCGTTGACATTTAACGGTCTGCTGCTACAGCCTACATTTATCTAAGATTTTTTTCCATTTCTTCGTTTTCCCTTTCTGTTTCTAGTTCTTCGTTTTTCTAGTTCTGTGAGCGTGCTTGGTTAATAAACAATGGAACTGGACTGTACTTGTACAGATGCCACTGACATTTTCCTACTTTATTATGATATTATTTTATTTGCTCATTGTAGTTTTTTTTAATTACTCATTGTGGTTTCTATATCTGCATACTGTGCAAAACGAATGTAGCATAAACTTTTAAAGCATTCTTTGCGTACATTTCTGAATTTCTTGAGTATTTCTACTTGTTAAAGCAGAACCGGAGCGCAGGATGCATCCTGCGTTCGGGATGGCGCTACGGCTTGCGTAGACTGAGACTATTAAGTGCAGAAAAATATGCGTTGCTGGATCGTTTTCGTTGGGAATTTCCTAAAGAAACCCACGCTGTTCGTGCTGCAGTGTCAGCAAGAGGGATCAAATCTGTATCTCGTATGTTTCGTGGAAAATGAGACACATATAGTAAATTGGTTAAAGTGCGCTCGTACCTTTCCAGCAACAGAATAATAAAGTAACAACTTGATGAATATTTCCAGTTGTGTTTTTGCTGTTTAATTACTGCTATTCGTTTGTACCCCATTAGCGGCATGTGATGCAAAAGAGAGAAACGGGAACGCCAGTCACCTGCCACGTGTACTTTGTCCACTTCAATTCTACATTAGGGTTCATGAATAAAAGGTCATTTCTTTTGAATGAGAACGAATGCTAATCTCAAAAAAATTAGAACGTTGGGGAGACTTTAAAGTAATTTTAGTTCTTGCCGATGTCTGCGACATGCATATACAGTGTACCCAGGAAGTCATTCGAATTATTGTCTAAAATCAACTCTTGCGATTTCCAGTTCTTAAAAAGGCGCTCTAGAAAACACTGCCGTCGTTCTAAATACTGCAGTGATCACACGTTTGCTTAAAATATATGTTTTTTCTCGCATTTTCTGAAAACCGGCGGCTGTTACGAATTATTCTTCCACAAAGTGTTATTAATTTTTACAGTGCAAGTAGGTACGAGAGCCTACTACTGTAATGCTGTCGTTTTGATCAAGAGGGGAAAACTTGTTTCCGGTCCAAAACCAGAATAGGCGGCGTTAAATGCTGAGAGACGAGTACAGAATTTTAGCATAACATGTACAGCACGTGGTGCAACACGTATTAATGCAAATCTTTGATACGTTCTGTATTACAGTATAAACATCAGGCGTTATAAACGATTTGAAGGGTTTGCTTTGAAAGCACTCCCATAACACCTAAATAATACTACTGAGAAAACCGTGAAACCTGAGGAATCTAAGGTCTTCTAACAATGTGATTTTGCTAATTTGTTCTGCCATTTTTAATGCAGTCAATCTTTTAGTATAAATTTGATCTATACCCTAATTAAGGATCGATTGTTTTGATAAAAGTTTGTTCAAGAATGTATATTTGCAATAAAGTAAACGCGATAACATTACTTTTATTGCAATTATGGATCGTGTTTGCTATGATAGCGGTAAGCCATGGTGCTACCGTCGAAAACAAGTATTCAGCGGATGTGGTAGCTCCGCCAACCGAATCCATTGATGGTCGACAATACAGTCCTGGCTTCCAAGCCGCTCAAGGAGTGATCGCTGCGTTTTGCCGCCACAGTAAATCAGTGCATGTTTTAAGGCATCATAAATTTTATTTTGATTAAACTTTGCAGCAAGATTAATAATTATTATTTTTTATAGATCCTAAAATGTGTACGACGATGAATTGTTCCAATGGACAAGTGCTGTTCTCCTGTCACTGCAGTCCGCAGACGGTATTTTGCTGTGGTTGGGGATTTGCCGGATGGTCAACGGAATCTCTTTGCAATGCTTATAATCGGGCATCAATCTAATTGTGAATATTCAAAACCTGTAAATAATTATGCTTGCATATAAATAGCGGATTGCGGGCGGCTTAGTGCCAACTAGTACTGTAGTTGATTCAGTTTGGTAGTAATTAGCCCGACTACAAAATACAGTAATATTATACCTAGCACAAGTACAATACAAGTTTTCGCCTTTTTGCGACGGCTGCAATACCTTGAATCTTAATGAACTCTTTGCGTAAATACCGCATGTCTGTTGTAGCGTATCTTTTAGCTATAAAGGTTGAATGACTTCAAAATTCTAAAGTTTATGGCGCACTTATTATATACATGTATTTTTTGCGTTGACTGACTGCAGTGTACAAACTGGAGTAAATGTGTTTTGTATACGGAAGGCAGTAATTTTCTAGTTCTTACTTGTACGCTTCATTTACCGCCTGGGTTTACCATGTCCTTGTAAACGCGAAACACAAATGCATATGTTTCAGAATTCGTACAATAATTTTCTTATCAAACCAATAATTATAATGGATTATTGTTGACACACGTTTCGCTCAAGCGACAATTCCATACAAACAGTAAACACGATTAGACATCTGCTTCGATGCATTTTTTACCACAAAATAACCGTCAGCGCAGGCGTGTTGCGGCATATTTCAGGCTAAAACGGAGATTTGTGTTTACCGAATTTTAGCTGATTCGACAATTCACACGATGCATTCCGAGACAGCGAGCGGGCAATTCTGGAATTTTTTATGACTGATCAAAGCTTTATGTTTTCAGCTGGTAAAGTAACATTTTTTGTTAACCGAAAATTAAATTTCATCAAAATCAGGTTGCCGTCGCATTGTACGTATATATTTCTTAATGGGTTGAACTTTGCAAGAAGAACACTTTTAAAAATTTCTATGTACATTTGAGCCAGTCTTTGGAATCAAGGTGAAAATGGCTGCGGTTTATCATTCTAAAACTATTGCTTGGAGGTTGGTGATCTTTCTTAGCGTTTTTCTTGTACTTTTGTTTGCCTTGATGGGAACTGCCGCAAATGCCTCGGGAACATTTCAAATATTTTATTCCACCGACGAAAAGGATACATCGATGACTGCTAAAAGGAATTCTAACAAACCTTCTCACCAGACTATTTTCTGCCGACACAGTATGTATCAGCGGCCTTTTAACTTGCTTGAGACGTACAATGGGTATATACCCGCATATCATTTATATGCAGATCCCAGGCTATGCAATACTGGCCACACTCCTTCCAGCGGCGATGGCGGATTCTGTCCATGCACCGTACAAACAGTATTTTGCTGCTCCTGGGGACGGTAGAAAATCTAAAGAACTATCTTGAGCATTTGCCCATTATACATTAATACGAGTATGGCTGGCTGTGATCCCTTTATCATTTCGAGCTGTATCAATCAGTATCAATGTATCAATGTATCAGTATCAATGTATCAAAACTGACTATAACTATTAAAATTGATACCCGACGACTTTCAACATGTAGCGATTATATATGTAACTGTAGCATTAACATCATCGATTATGTACGTAACTGCAACAAATTTTACAGTATTGAGTAGTCATCTCAAGAAAATAAATTCAAGGTAGAACACACAATGCAAACTTTATTGGCTTACTCGGGCAGCAGGTGAGGCTGTATTACTGGCTATTTATTGTACGTACAGATAAGTTTGATCCATTAAAATTAATATCTATATTCTACAGTTATACGTACATACAAGTAGCAAAGCCGTACTAATCGTACAGTATCACATGCTGTAAAAGTAGCTTTGAGTTTGCTCTTGGGGCTACTGCCGGCATGTTGCTTTTGGAGTATGGGACATTCACCAGGAGTTTCCTGTTGATTATTGACAAACGTTTTGCTCGGGCGACTTTATCCTGTAAACCCCATTGTAGAGATTTGAATCAACAAGTTTATTGCGATCATGAAAACTGTTGTTGCTGCCGCTTACTGTATGTTCAAACGTAAAATTGTTGTCCGGAAATTCTGCTGATACAGCTACTCGGGTAGGCGTTTACAAGCCGTCATTGTGGCAGCTTTAATGCAAAAGGTATTAATCCGATCTTTCAGGGCTAATTAATATACGCACTTGTCATGCCTGACGACGCTGAATATTGTCCCAATAACCCACAGCAAAGTTTTATCTCGCAATAGCCGAAGTTTAATTTATCCGGCATATTTCAACTCGTACGCATCTCCTGTCTACCAAGTTCTGTACCCTTTGTGGAGCCCAGAAACCATAATATAGGCTGCATCGTATAGTATTTTATCCAGAATTTTCAGCCGGCAATGTATTTCCTGAAAGTTTTTATTATACTTATATCCGTTTTAATGGGTACCTCGGCAAATAATACGAAAGAAATCCAAAAGCTGGCCTCCAGTAATTCCTACGAAAGGTCATCCAGCCAAGGCCGAAATTATAATTCCGTCTACCAAGCGATCATTGCCAACTTCTGTCGTTTCAGTATGTTTACCTTATGTGTAAAAGCTTATTTCATATGTCGAAATTTTGTAAATGTGTGTCTCTTGTATACAGATCCTCGATTGTGCAGCATCACCAACGGTTCTCAAGGGGAAATACATTATTTCTGTCCATGCACTACGCATACGGTATTCTGCTGCTATTGGGGACGATAATGAACCAGAAAGTGCTTCCGGTGTAGGTATATGGATTACAAATCGCAACGCGAGTCGCTCATCACACATATTTTGAATATTATATTTCAGCGGTTTTGATTTTTGGATTTCTACGAAATTAAGAAACATTTTCGGACTGAGATTAGCGCAGGTTGGCCGCAGAAGTGTCGGCTTCACTGACATTAAAAGAATCGTTACCAGGAACAGGTACAAGACAAGTTTCTAAATTTCAGGCAAATGCAATAATTATATTATACATCGATCTACAAGTGCTGTAGTTTAAACGGAAATACAGTGGTAAACTTACAGCCTTTATTTCATTATTCGGCAAGGGACATGTTGTGCTCGAGCAGAATTTTACAGTAATCTGAACCCATGTACACTGATTAGTGGAATCGATATCAAGTTTAGAATTGTTGCAAAACATTAAAATAAAATGACCCGATATCGCAGTAGCATCTGTTAGCTTGTAGTACTCTTAGAAAATAAACTTCTGACGCATGCTTTTAATTTTATCTGGCATCTTTTAAAAACAATCCTTCACACAATTGAAAACGGTAAGGTTTACGATGCTCGTCGAACGGAAGTTTCCAATGATGTCCGCTTCGGCGCTGCGCTGATGATCATACTGAACGCACCGGAAAGCGTCTGTCCACTTCTTCTGCAAAACAGATCCCGAATGGCGCCGCGAAAATCATCCGACGTGGCTATGTATAAGTAGGGATTAATAGTGGAATTCAGGTAGCACATCCAGTAACCGACGGTGATGAGAATGTCGGGCAGTGCGGTAGGATAATGAGGCGCAATGGTAAAGTAAATAACCCACGGTGCCCAGCAGATTACAGCACACACGGTGATCATTGCCAGGGTAATAAGCGGTTGACGTTGCCGGCGGGCTTTGTCTTTCGCCAAAGTAAGCCGGGTTTCTCCTTCCGCGTCTATAAATTAATTTCGGGATTACCGTTTTTAACATCGATTATCATCGATAATCATTTCCAAGACTGACAGGGTTTTCATATTAAGTGGTAAAAACAATGAAAAGGTCACCATGCAAACTGCGATTAACTCCGGGATTTCGCTAATGAGTGCTCTTTTTAGGGTTGACCTTAGTAAATATGGCATTTTTGCTGTGAATTTGTATCGTGTCACGAAAGGATGTCAACATGCGTTCGTAGATTATCACTGGCACCGTGGCACGTACTTCCGATCAAAACATTTTCCTAAATTTACGTTAAGCAGGATAACCAACCTACATTTCTTGGCCACATCCGGATCCTGTGCAGTGGCATTTGTCCGCTTAACCACCATGCTCCCGATCGACCAATTACAAAACACCATCACGCTGAGGGGAATGTAATATCCCAGTACAGCGACGGCTGTGCAAAACCGTCGATTCATAACCAAATCCCAGAAACAATCGTGCTCACCATACACATTGACAATCCGGTCGTAGAGATACCCGGGAAAGAAAGCAATGTGCATGTACAGCCACGTTGCGAGCAGGATGAGAATGGTGCGTTTTACTGAAGTATGACGCTTGTAGGAAACTGGCCATCGCACTGACCAGTAGCGGTCCAAGCTGACCTATGCAAACACGGTCATTTTTAGTTCAAAAAGAAAAATTAAAGAATGCTCATGCGACAAAATTAGTAAGTGGAATACACTATGCATATTGCAGCTGATATTGCATAGTATGTATGTGTGGAAATGTAACTGAATCTGTTGTTTTGATAAAAATCTGTTATGGTATTTTTGTAGGCAGAGCCATGAAGGTCCGAGTAGCTGTTTCCTTGCCACAGCTAGAAAAATTTATTTTTACAACGCAGTCATAAAAGATTTTGTCCTGGAGAAAAGTAACGAAACGTTATATTGCCACGTGCATTCTGTATATATGTACTGTAGTTGCTGCAAGCTGTCACCGGAAACAATTTTTTGTTTAACTTACGGCAGCTAAATTTATAGCCGACTCAAAGGTCATGTGCCAGTCAAAATACATCCAGATCGTGCACAGCGCCGTTCCGGCCGGCCACACCTCGTTGAACAGATTGTAAACAATAAAACCCGGCATGGCAATGATCCCTACCAGGAAGTCGGCCAGTGCCAGGTTGCAGATGTAGTAGTTGAACGGTGTTTTCAGTCGTCTAGACGCGCAGAAGGCGATCAGCACGATGCCGTTTCCGGCGACAGTGGCGATCATAATCAACAGCAACACCGTCAACAACGAGTACGATATATCCGGATAAATGTTAGCAGCGTTCGGATCCGATCCATTAGTTATATTTACGGACTGACCTGCGTGGTCACCAAAAGAAGCATGTCCTGTTACGATCATCTTATTTTACCAGTAAAAAAAACAGTAAACAGGAAACTGAAAGAACTAGATGTGTCTCGTGTAATTCTCGACTTACCAAGCGATCCGTTGAGACTCAGTTCGAAACGAGAAACATTGAGGTGTAGGTAATACGTCTCGGACATGATGAATCCCAAGTTACAAATGAGTTCAAGCACCTGCCAGTTACAACGGTTAAGTCAATATTCGTTTCAATGAATGACACCACCGGGATCTCTTCGTAGCAAAAGCTTGTTTAAGCAAAGCTGTAAATCATTTGTACTGCAAATGATATAGAATAGTACACTAAGCAAAATACTCATCTGGTCCCAGTGAGATACTATACAAACCGACCGAATAACAATCGAAATTAACTGGATTCCGTATGCTACCGGCTGCGGAACGTTCTAACTCTAGGGTAGAGCGAGTGCAGATGATTGAACTGATCATCACCTGTTCCGATCGGTGTTGCGATGAGCTGACAAATCAATCCCGCTATTTGCAGGAGTAACTACTTCTGTCGGATCCACGGGCGGAATTGTGGAGATATCATTGATCGATATGGCACAACTGGTATCCGTTCTCGCGATCTACGAATAATATAACAATTGTTTCTACTGTATTTATTTGCGGCCTGCTACCCGTCTTGAATTTTTTAGCGGCAGTTGTGCAATTACAAGTATCCGTTACGCAAAACAGTCCTTACCAAAGACTCGGACAATCATCATAATGACACTCTGGATAAATGGACAAACAATCCAATGTCAATAAAATTATTGAGAAACAAGGATACGTTCACGCTTTTTGAATGAGCGCTCCTTTTCCTAAAGTGTTTATGCAGAAAAGATAGGCTCAGTGTTTACTATGCATACAAGAAGCAAGGGAGAGAAGATACTAAAATAAAAGAGACTATATGTAAAAAGACTGACCGGCAAAGAGTACCGTTTTATCCGCGCCGGTAAGACTCGAACTTTTAAAAATTTACTGGTTGGTGAGGGATGAGAATCGATACAAATGGGACCTGCTGATTGCAGGGAATCTGGTCAACAGCTTTTTATGGCAGATTTGTGACAGGGAATCTGCGGCGCGATCGCAGGTGTTGACACAAATTGTATACTGTACCTCGCCCAGTAATAGCGTGATTGTCGTAAATTAATCGAGTTTATGCCTGGGTACAAGCGTACAAGCACATGTCATTTTTCACCGAGTATTTCTAAATCTTACTGAATATTTGCATGAATTGGCATGCCGCTTTTAATTATCCAGCACACGAATGTTGCTGGGATGACATTTTTACACAAAATTTGCATAACTGGTTGAATGTATTTCTTGTTAGTGATTGTTCGTGCATCAGGCGACCTATGATGCTATTGGAAGGATAATCTTGTCAAGCTAGCCTACACTGTAATTTGGACTGGATAAAAAATGTGCCTTATAGTCGGCGACAACAATTCACATTAATACAGTAGTACTTGAATTACTGCATACAGATAGCTTTTAGTATTATTTACTGCGTGCACCACTTTGTAGTTTGTATACTATGTATTTGTTACAGTCATAGGATGAGAAAAAATTTAAGTGTTTACCATCCTGATCACGCACGTAATTGCAGCAAATATATGTAGGGAGCTAATGTAAACGCGTTAATTGCGCTACATATATAATTTGTATATGAAAACTGAAAAAAATACCCCGATGCCTGTTCGGTACCACTAGATATACGTTTGTACAGAGCATATCCTTTTTATGTATTTTTATGCATATCCTTTTTCATATACTCTGTATGCATATCCTTTTTATAGTTGCTATTAATTTATTATTATTGCGCGTTCTTACATATTTACACCCCGGCATCTGTACGTTTTAATATGAGGAAATTACATAATAAAATTATTAAACGATTAGCTTTATTTTATTTTTAAAACCCATTAGGCTTTTTGGTACGCAGGTTAACGTTACTGCGCTAAGTTTGCTTTACTATAAAATATCTACACGAATTGGATACCATGTACCGGCACATTTTCCTTTGACGATGAAACAAAAACAAGTGGAGTGACTCTCGCTCGTTATGCTAACAAATTCTCACCGATCCCCTTCAATAAAACTACTGCGGCCTCACACCAATCCTCTTGCAAACCAGACACTTATTAGAACTATGTACTGCATTTGGATCGAGCTGCACAAAGACACAACTGCAAGTACCACTTTACCAGTGCACAGTGTATAAAGAAATAATAAACTATATATTCACCTAATGGTCGTCTTCCCTGTGCTATTCATACAAATACGAGCATGATTTGATGTGTTTTTTGGCTTAGCGTGAAATTTTAATACAGTTAATATGTGCACCTGAGACTTCAGGTCTAAAGTGGAAAAAAACCCGTCTATGAATTAAAAAACCTGCTTGTACAGCGACACCGGCCATTTGGCTTCCATACCGCCAATAACTCGACGTTGTAAAGTAGGGTGCCGAAATGTATCCAGTTGTGTCTCCGGTGTTCAAGAGAGTATAAATACGAATACAATTTCACAAACGCATTTAAGTGCAAGCAATAGAAACTACAAAGAGTCTGCAAACGGTCACTCCAGTTGAGCCTGAATCCTCTGCTACTATAAGCATCCCAAAGTATTTTTCATTGCGGTATCTATTCCATAAGAAAAAATGCCCGAGTTTTAAATGCACTACCTTCACGCAACCCAGACGTTTGTCTGCAGCAACCTTTTGCTTAATAAAGCGCTACATTATATAGGAAGTGAACTGTGTTTGTATATATACCAACAGCCCAAACAACAACATAAACAATTGTTCACATTGTACACTATGTACATTGCATAATTGTTGCGCATATACGGGGGACGAAAATAGACCATATCATCCATTTGAATATCCTCTTGATTGCACAAATGATATTATTATTTATTCAACACTGGCCGAGCCACGGTGCTCCGCGCTCATCAGCGGGATCGCCACTTAAAGGCCACTACACTGTATGTATGTCCAATGTAAACCCCCTGGCTCTCGCACTGTGTTGATCATCAGTCATTGAAGAGCCGGCGAGTGAAGGGCCATCTGCGGCTAGTTGAGCGGATTCACCCAGGCTCTCTCGTCGCTCGAGTCATCTTCATCCAAGGTCAGACGCCGGCCAGCGCTGTCTCTCACGCGTGCCATAAGAGATTGGACCAGCATCTCGGCAGTCGGCAGCAAAGTGGTCCCCTCTGTCCATGGTTGGGAAATTATTCGTTTATTAATAAGGCTGTGGTGCGCACACACATCCCATCCCGTCCGGTGGCCGGCGCACACGTTTATTAATAAATCGGCGTTCGTCTTGGGACCGGCTGACTGACACTAATAAAAAGATCCGGCTATAATAATTACGGTATTTATTATCCCCCGGTTTTGACGACGAGGAATTACTGTAGCATATTTTGGCGCATACCAACGGCTATTCATCCATCTGTGCTACGTGTGACACAAAGCGACGGCCAAGCGAGAGAGACAAAGCGACAGCAGCAACCGGCTATTTTGTCGCGGCCAGTTGTGAGAGCCTGCTATCTGCCTGCTATGCACCTTTGCATGTCCGATTACATGAGGTCGCTGTATGGCTGTTTGTCATATTTGTGCTGTGGACTGATTGGCGTTTGACAGCTATACCCATGCACATACACTGAGGATTTTTTACTTTGAGCTGACCAGACTCCATTATCGCCCATTACCTCGCACCTGCTCAACACGAGGGACACGCGGACAGTGAAACTATTCCCCGACATTGCTGGTTTATCGGATGCGGTAGCAGCTAGTGTTATTAGTCAGTGTTCGGCCACTGTGGAAGATCGATCGATCGCACTGACCACAACCACCTTGTTCGATCAACCACGGCAAACGGTTACGGCTTGCTGAGCACATTGCCAGAGTGCCGGATTCGTGCAGGCTTACATAAGAGGGGGATTCCAGTGTGTGCTTCTTTCGTGATACCCTTTTTAAACGGCTGCCGGTGTGATATATCCACAAGTAGCTACTTGAGAGCGATCAACACCACAAGAAAATTAAAGCAGTATTGTTCCACATTTACCGGTTGACTGTACTTCTGCTGGATTACCGATCATCGGCCACCATGCGGCAATTATCCATTGTAGTCCTATTCGCGGCGGTGGGATGTTTCGTTATGGCCAAAAGCATGTCTTCCTTTGGACCCGAAATGGTACGTTCCAACACATAATAATTATTTTCAGAGTATACGGTTCAATCCCTGCACATATATAATTTACTCCCTGTATTTGTAAGCGCAACATATAATAAACATTTAATATAGAAATTGTTTACTGGTTTAGGCGATTTTACGACAACGGCAGGTACATTACCAATAAGTTGAACTTTCATATGTCTGAGTGACGTAATGTGCAATGTGGTTATTCTGAGACGCTTCGGTGATATCAGTGGCGTATCCATAGGGTCCGGAAATGTTAGTCTCCGTGCTCAGAACACGCGGTGACGCGTCCGCCGAAACCAATGCTCACAGAATAATCCTCTCCGTGCACACCGCCTCCAACTTCATCTACGATGTCCTGGAGAGTGCGATCTCCAAAACCCTACATTCCGCTGTGACCTCCCGGGAAAACCTCTTCTTCTCCCTCCAGCGCATCGGCAACGACACCCGGCGTATTTTCGACCTGGTCGACCGCGCCACCGCCGTTGTATCCGAAACCGCTAAGAAAGCCAAAGCCGAGATTAACGATGCCATTAAGACCTCCCTGGATCATTTGCGCGAATCCATGAAAATCATCATCCGCAACCTGCCCGAGTCGAAGCTCAGCGACTCCAACCTGGCGGCCATTATCGAGAACGGTCAATACCGTATGGAAGTGGTGGTGGAGAACTCCGGTCAGCGCATCATCGACGCCATCCAGAGTTACCGGTCACATTTCATTAAAGTCGAGAAGGACACCGGTCATGTGGTGGTCGACCCCGAATCTAGCCAGGAGGCCACCGACGCCGTGAAGAACATCATCCACGCCGCCAAATCCCAAATCCAGGAAGCCGTGTCCGGGAGTACCAGTTTCATCCTGGCCCGTATTCGCGACTGTCTGTCGACCGTCGGGGATTCCATGGACCGACTCCCCACGGCCGCTCCAGCCGTCGCCCAGGGCGCGGTTACCGTGACCGGTAACAACAACGAAACCTTCCAGGCGGAGGTGATCACCGTCTCCCAAATGGAGGATCCCCAGGAAGACAAGGTGGTGGTGGTGGGTGACGTCCCGGCCACCATGCGCCCGGTGGTGACCGCCGACACCACGACGACCTTCGAGGCTCCGATGGTCATCAACACCTCGTCGCTCAATGCCTCGGATGCACTGAACAATGTGTCCATCACCTTCGACGCGACGACACCGGCGGGAAATGTGTCCACGCCCAAGGTGGTCAGCTGGCAAGATGATATACCCAAAAACTCGGTGTTCACCGAGAACAATGAGATCACCACCGGGAACACCACCGTGGCGATGAACACAACGGTCACCGAGGAAACCACGGCAACCGTCACCACGGTGACAACGGAAGCGACCACGGAAGCAACGACCACGCCCACAACGACACCTGCCGGTCCGTTAATCCGTCGTCGGATTCCTCAGATAAAACCAATTGTTTCGAGCGGAGCGTCGCATTAAACTAAAAACACTTTTAATGCGCGCTACATTGTGACATGTTTGTGAAAAAAAAAGAATTTTTTTGTAAAGGATTGATGGATTTCTTTTTTCTTGTCCCGAGCAGTCTAATGCACTGCGTACGTCATTTTTTGGTAAAATAAAATAATTATTGGTAGTTTTAGATTAAGTTATTTATTTTGCCAATGTGTTGATTATAAAGAAAACGGGAATGTTTTTCCTTGTAGGACCACATGATATGGCAGTCGTCACGTCGTTCCGTATCCTTTCGTTTAAATTGAAAACCAAGGCGCGTACTCCCGTGCGGCGAATGACCACTGCCGGTCCCGACCACGAACTCATGAATTAAAGGAAATATATTTATACGCAGTTAATAAACTTATTAAGTGCAGAATTTTGCAATGCGGCAGAAAACATTCCAGGTATACGTAGTGTACATAGCTACGCAACAGCTGAATCGCGAATAAAAGAACTTACAGTATTGTAAACTGAACGCTGTTCTTACCGGCAAACTGGTTTTATAGTACTCGGGTTATTTTATTATCGCTTACGAACATTCGGATTCAACGCACAAATGTCAACCGCCAAAACTGGGTGGAATTAAACGTCAAAATTATTCATAAACTGGTGTCGCACGTACACTGACACTGTTGTATATTGTTAAGTAGTGTTCAAAATTCGATTACGGGCCACTCCTCTGGTCTCATTAACATTAACATGATTAATTATCAGTGATCCACTAATAATAAATTAATTTCCCTTTTGGCTGAGTTAAACAGTATTTTTCTGTTAAAAAAATGCGCTACACATTTCAAATTAATTCTGCTAAATCCTTATCAATTTACTTACTGATAAATGGAGTTATTGATATGGATTTTGACCTTCTGGGTATGGCTTTACATAGTTCATATTGTGCCAGTACACACCGCATTAACTCATTTTACTGTATTTTAGCTTAATATAATAGCATTAAGGTGCGAGTGCGCTGAAAAAAACAAACAAAAAAGACTGTTATCGTCGACCAGCAAATTTACTAACGCAAGAATACAGGGCTGCATTCATAATTTTGAAAAAAATCCCAGTAATTTTAGTTGAGATAGGTTTTATTAACAGAAGTACTCCTACATACCGGTACATATTACAATGTGCAAGATATTATGTACTGGCAGTACTGCATACAAATGAACACAACAAAATCAGATTGCAGATTCATAAATACATACGGCTATAATATGGGCATAATGGCTATAATAATATCTGTACAAGCACTAAATGTCTTTGCAAAAACCAGTTAGTATCTTTATTTTTTGCTCGAGCAATTTCGGAAACTGACAATTAATATCACCAGCACAATCTTGTCTATGTGCAAAAGTGAAATAACGTAACAACTAATTAGTTAGAGTGATAGTGATTAGTGCAACAAAGCATTCTGGTACTGGAATTTTCAAGGCAATACAGCTTTCCATGCATAAAATATTTTACAAAGTTTGTTGACCCACATTCGTTTTTTCTAAGACAAATCAGCCTGCTGTCAATTTTATGCCACATTTATGCTGGTCAAGTTCCCACTGTGCTATTGAATTATTTAACCATCACCTGGATTTGAATTTGATGGGTAAAATAAAGATGATATTTTAGCGAAATCCAGGACAGAAACGTTTCCCATTTGACAGTTCTATGTCTAGTAGCAACTAGGTAACAACTAGTAATTGATACTTGATAATGGATCAAACTAAGACGATGTCCGAATTAATTGATCGGTAAATTAATGCTACACCGTTGTCGCTAATGGGTTTCCGTTCGTTAGCATCACATATCTACAATCATTCGTCTGCGCTAGATTCCCTGACCACATTATTCGCGCTTGACGGGCCATGCCGCTGCAGCATGCATTCGACAATAAAAATCTGAAGCGGTATATAATACGCATAACACTGCATTTCATATCGTCATCCACCGCTTTGGACAGTTTTCTTCTGCTCGGTACTGCAGCTTAATTTTTCCCTTGGTACTTCTTGAACGGAGCTTAAAATGAAAGTGCTTATCGGCCTGTTGTCTTTGGCGGCCGTGTGCCATGCAGGAGTGGTACGCCTCATACATTTTTTTGGAATTTGCGGGATTTAAATCATATGACAATTCTATTTGCAGTACAAACGCGCTGCCGGTGACCAGAACCCGAAGGTATTTTCCGCTTTGGATGATTTGAGTGGTGGTAAGACGAAGCTGGATGCCGGACAACGAGCGGATGTCTACAAAGCCGCGGTAGCCGGTCAGGACTTCCCTACTCTGTCCGCCATTCCCAAAGCCGGTGTTGACTGCGCATCCGTCAAGCCGGGTTTCTATGCTAACGATGGCGAAGGCAAATGCCAGGCTTTCGACCGTTGTGACGTCAACGGCAACCTCACCAGCTACCTTTGCCCCAACATGACGGTACGTTGCAAAAAATACTGTATTCTGACCGTACAAAATTTAATTATGCACGGCTGTTGCAGTTGTTCAACCAAATCACCCTCGTCTGCGACTGGTTCTTCAACGTTGACTGCACCAAAGTGCGCAAGTACTACGACTACTCCAACAGCCGCCTGTACCAGGAAGGATCACCTCTGCTGGACGACGAGCCCGATTATGTCGTTGTTGCTACCGGAGCCTCCTCGTCCTCCTCCGCCTCGGCTTCCGGCTCCGTGACTATCAAGAAGACTGTGAAAGCCAAGGGAAAGGGAAAGCGTGAAAAGCGTGCTGCCGGTGACCAGAGCCCCAAGGTGTTCTCCGCCCTGGACGTTCTCAGCAACGGCAAGACTAAGCTGGATGCCGGTCAGCGTGCTGAACTGTACAAAGCTGCCCAGGCTGGTCAGGACTACCCCACTATTGCCGTGATTCCCAAAGCCGGCGTCGACTGTGCCTCAGTCAAACCAGGTTTCTATGCTAACGACGGCGAGGGCAAATGCCAGGCTTTCGATCGTTGCGATGTTAACGGCAACTTGACCAGCTACCTGTGCCCCAACATGACCGTAAGTGTCATGTCACTTTCAGCAGTTACATGACAGCGTTCGTTGAACCCGGGGTGTCTGGTTTGCAGCTGTTCAACCAGATCACTCTGATCTGCGACTGGTTCTTCAACGTCGACTGCACTAAGGTCCGCCAGTTCTATGACTACTCCAACAGCCGCCTGTACCAAGAAGGATCTCCTCTTCTGGATGACGAACCAGACTACGTCGTGGTTGCTACTGGTGCGGCCGAATCATCTGCCTCCGCCTCTGGCTCAGTGAGCGTTAAGAAGACCGTCAAATCCAAGGGCAAGCCGAAGCGAGAGTTCAGCGAACATCAAATTGTAATTTCCCGGTTTTCTTCAACTCGAATAAATCATGGTTAACAAATTCTCTTGTTCCCAGGAAAAACGTGCAGCTGACCAAAGCCCCAAGGTGTTCTCCGCCTTAGACGTTCTGAGCAACGGCAAGACCAAGCTAGATGCCGGTCAACGAGCTGAACTGTACAAAGCTGCTCAAGCCGGTCAGGACTACCCCACTATTGCTGTGATCCCCAAGGCCGGTGTTGACTGTGCCTCCGTCAAACCTGGTTTCTATGCTAACGATGGCGAGGGCAAATGCCAGGCTTTCGATCGTTGTGACATCAACGGAAACCTGACCAGCTACCTGTGCCCCAACATGACGGTACGTTTCCGATTGGTGGAAGATAATTTTTATCAGAACCAATTAAATTCGACGCCTTTCTAGTTGTTCAACCAAATCACACTGATCTGCGACTGGTTCTTCAACGTTGACTGCACCAAAGTTCGTCAGTTTTATGACTACTCCAACAGCCGTCTGTATCAAGAAAACTCGCATCTCCTCGACGACGAACCCGATTACGTTGTGGTGGCTACTGGAGCTGCTGAATCCTCTGCCTCCGCCTCTGGCTCTGTGACCGTCAAGAAGACCGTAAAAGCCAAGGGAAAGGGAAAGCGTGAAAAGCGTGCTGCTGGTGACCAGAACCCCAAGGTCTACTCCGCCCTGGATGTTCTGAGCAACGGCAAGACTAAGCTGGATGCCGGCCAGCGTGCTGAGCTGTACAAGGCCGCCCAAGCCGGTCAGGACTACCCCACTATTGCCGTGATCCCCAAAGCCGGTGTTGACTGTGCCTCAGTCAAACCAGGTTTCTATGCTAACGACGGCGAGGGCAAATGCCAGGCTTTCGATCGTTGTGACGTCAACGGAAACCTCACCAGCTACCTCTGCCCCAACATGACGGTACGTAGCCTTTATGGGTGACGCGCAGAAGTGTGACATAAAAGTTAGTAATATTGATTTCTTGACAACGTTTTAGTTGTTCAACCAAATTACCCTGATCTGCGATTGGTTCTTCAACGTTGACTGCACCAAAGTCCGCCAGTTCTATGACTACTCCAACAGCCGCCTGTACCAGGAAGGATCTCCTCTCCTGGACGACGAACCCGATTATGTTGTGGTCGCCACGGGAGCGGCATCGTCGTCCGCGCCTGGATCATCGGAAGCCAAGAAACCGGCAAAGTCTAAAAAAGGCGGGAAGAAGCAATAGTCTGATTAGTTAATGTGTGATGATGTTGTGATCTTTTTAATTTCTTCGCCTGTAGTATAGTGCTTGTTCTTTTCTGGTAGTATTAGTGCTGCTTGTTAATTTTCACAAAGCTGGTCTCTTTTCCGTCTCTCTTAATACATTGTTTCAATTTCGATGACCTAACTTCAGCGCACATTGCGTATGCTTATGAGCTTGGAGAACGAAAAATACCAAGATAAAATTCGAAGAAATTGGTTTGTGCGAGTTAGCATTTTGTCGCAGTGCGTGACAAATTGAGATCTACTGGAGGTTGCATGTAATAGCTCATAAATCTAGTGCGAAATTGTAACGAGGGATGTCAAAGCGAATGGTAATAAAACCGGAATCCGTATATCTATATTCTTAAAAATATTATTTTATGACAGCAGCTCGCATTAATTTTGTCAGTGAACGTGCAAGAATTGGATTACGGTTACGATGCACACAGTCGACGGAACAAAATGCACAGCGGTATGATTCACGATGGTATGAATTGCAATTCGTCCAAAGAACAGCAACCGCGCTAGAACCGAAAAACGAAGCTATGTGGTAGCTAATCAATCTTTAACTATTGATATTGGGTAACAACCGTAGCAGTAATGCAATACTTACAAGTTAGCTACTGAATGTGCCGATGTCAGCTGTGCAGGATCTACATAGTACTGAACGCAATGATACGGGAATCTCAACATAATAATATAGACGTCTAATTTTTAGCAAATCTGCCTTGCGCTTAACTGTAAGTTGTAGTTTTTGAATCCCGGAATAGGCAGATCGTTGTATGTATATGTATCGATAATAAAACATTGATGTTCCGTTATAAAAATTCTGTTACAAATTTTATAAGCATGATATACATGTATATTCTGTGGCTTTTCGACCGGAGCGCAGCGAAGGTCCTCTGAATTCAAGAACCATGCTTCCATTGATTTTTGTCCGTTCCGCCAGTAAAGAAAGCAAATTCTACAAATACAAGATAAAGGTGGAAATGTTGCTAAGGTAAAAGTAATAAGCATGTTAACAATTAAGGTCAACGCTATGGTCAATTAAGGTCATTAATTGTTACAAGTACTACTGTTAATACACAAAGGTACACTTTCCTAAGCAAAAAGCTGCTGCGCTCCGGTCTGCCAATGTACTCACTTTATAAAGTACTTTATAAATTACATACTTTATTGTATCTGTACTTTATAAAGCACAAGAATTCACAATCAGTAAGCATACACCGTTGAATCTGCACATATAATCAGAAACCAAATTAAACAACCTTGCATATACAGATATTATACGAGGGGACTTAAATAAGCATATATATGTCGCATTCTGGAAGTACCGTTACCAAGTGTGCTTACTGGGATATTAAAGGGGCTGTTTATAAATGTATTTTGGTGTACCGTTTTTGTACCTTTAGTTCACTTCGCTGCACCCGGCTCGATACATGTAAATTTCTTAGAAGATTTCTACTACTGATAGTTGTGCTGGACTTTTTGCATAAATAGTAACTGTTGGTTTATGTAATGCTACTGACTCGTGAGTAGTGTATGTAGTAGTATCTGTACCATGAGTGGGCTGTTTTGTGGTGCGGATGTTACACAGGGATTTTTTGTTGGCCGCCTGTAATCTTCAGTACGGTGCGCCAAATCATACAGCGTCAGCTCAGGGCCGTTTCCTTGCCGTTTCCCGACCGGCAGCACTTTCCGAAGAGCGACATTTACGCTTATTTTAGTCCATTAATTAAGTAATAACTTCGCGTGTGCTGTTATGTTTACGTTGTTTGGGGATGTAACTGATATTGTACCGTAGTATTGTGGTTTTGCACTTATCCCGGCTACAGTACATTTTAACGGCGAAACAGCATTAGAATAAGTACAATTATGCAGAATTTAAACTGGTTAACGTTATTTCTGATAAGTTTGGTGATGTTTATCTGGCAGTTATCACCATCAAACGCTTGCGAAAACGTAAGCAGTGGTAGGTTCATTCCATTCAAACTTACTACTTATGTGTTATTATGGGCTACAAAGCACGTACAACACACTGGAGAGGATATTACTATAATGCTAACTAGGCTGGAAATTAGCCTGGAATTGTACGTAGGCAATACGGCGGGAACGTGATTAAGTACGGTTAATGGTCACTTGCAGACGGGTGCCAATCACGCCCAGTATTGGGAAAACGTTTCCACACGGAGCAAGGCGAGGAGGTAAACAAATCTACTCGTACTCTCGTAGCGCTACGCCTTCTCCCAGTTGCAAGGTGTGTCAGTTAGCTAGTGTTCGTCTCATACTAACTGGAAATTTTCCAGATACGTGCTTAGATCGGAACCGTTAGTGCACTTTCGGCCGAGAGGGATAAATTATTTGGACGCATTGGCCAGCTGGGACTATTTTTCATCCCCGCAGTATTTGACAGGGCCGAATCACCCAAGGCCCTCGTATATCTCCACATTAAACGCCGATAGTTTGGAACGTCGTGAGTTACTGTATCACCACAATCGAGACTTTTTCAAAAACAGTGCTGCTAGATTTTCAATAATGCACCGTCACAATTATGGATTTATGCAAAGATACAAATAAATGTGCTAGATAAAAAAAACTGCCGATGTCTGGCCAACAGTACCTGCTGGCCTTCCTCGCACGAATGGAATGTATTTAACGCCACTGTCAACGGTCAACTTATTATTCCACGGCCCACCGGTACAGTTACATCTTTTAGCAAATATATTTTGCAACATCTAAAAATGACCAATAAGATATGAAAACGCTTTGCACATTAGCATATCCTTGTTATCTCGGAATCGGTTTCAATGCCACGCAGTGCCAGACCATCAAAGATTCATTCTCCGATCCGCACTTTCTGGTCCAAAATGCTGGGAGTATGCAGGAGTTTATTGCGGAAGAGGACGGTGCGCTGCGATGCTCCATCGAAGCCGCATCCATTCCCGGTTCAGTCTGTCAAAGCGGTCGCGTGTCCGCGTACGGTGTGGCGGTGCAATCGGTGTCCGATATCCAGAAAGCCGTTATCTATGCTCGGTCTCGCAATTTGCGACTGGTGATTAAATCCACGGGACATGATTATCTTGCCCGCAGTACAGCGGATGGTTCGTTGCTCATATCGATGCATACTTTTGCAAAAGTGGAAACTCGAACATCTTTCACGCCAGAAGGTTGCTATCCTCAACAAACGGTGACCTCACCGGTTGTGATAGCCACCGGGGAATTACTTGGGATGACGTTTACGCCAAAGTACGTTTAGCGCATTAAATAAAACCTCTCTTGAGAGCTTCTTGATTGGTAGTTTTTATAGATTGTAACGGATTTTAACAACACGATGGCCGTGATCGGTGGACAGTGCTATGCCATTGCTGCTGCCGGTGGTTTCACTTTAGGCGGAGGCTATAGCGTTCTCTCTCCCGCTTTCGGCTTAGCGGTGGACAATGTCCTGGAATTTCAAGTTATAACAGCCGATGGTCGTCTCCTTACCGCAAATGAACGTCAGAACAGAAACCTGTTTTGGGCGTTGCGCGGAGGCGGTGGTGGAACGTTCGGGGTCATCGTATCAGCGGTATACAGATTGCATCCGGTACCGTATGGATACACGGCCTATTCCGTTTCAGTTATGAATGTGGACGCTCTCAACTCGCGATGGTTATGTCAAACGTTACCGCAGTTTTCAGGTACAATATTTTCTTATATTCTATATTAAATTCCACAGTATCCTGTGATAATATATGAATTACAGTGAATGCATAGATCATGCTATTTTTGTTTATTTTCTCATATTCTCTTAGAACTCGTCAAACTTAATACTAAATTATTACGTGCCGGTATTTCATCGAACGCTCATTAAACCTTAGGAATGGCAAAAGTGGTACAATTCCGAAACGCCAGCCGGTCACCTATACGACTCTGGGCACCGTGGCGCGCTAGGCTCACGATTGATACCCCAGAAAGCACTGGCACAACCCCAGTCGCTCGCCAAAACCCTCGTCGCCGCAATGAATCGCAACGGCCCGGATTATGGATTTACCGGTCAGTTGACTGCTGGACTAGGAGTGCGCCAAAATCCCCAGGCGCCAGCCACATCAGTGACTCCGGCCTGGCGGTCTACGATTTGGCAGATGGTCTTCTTTACATTATGGGGATTCAACGCTACCGATGCCGAAATAAATGCCAGCAAGGAAGCGCTGAATGCCGGACTGCAAATACTGCGGGATGCTTATCCAGATTCGGGTGCGTACACCAACGAAGCATCCCTCGAAGAACCCAACTGGCAAAACGCTTTCTGGGGATCCAACTATGGTCGCCTTTTGGACATCAAGAAAATGGTTGATCCGAGTGGATTGTTTGTTTGTGCGGAATGTGTCGGGAGTGAGCTGTGGGATTCCAAGGGAAACTGCCGCGCATCTGGTCAAGATCGCAATTCGATATACCAAGAATAATATTAATTTTAAAATTTATCAAAGGTTTTTTATTGTAAAAGTTTGTGGCCTGTGTGTATTTTCATTAATTGTTAGGATTGTGTATGTTTCTCAATTTCCAGTGCTTCACAGTACTGGTGTACGAAATACTTGCACTTGATAAAAGCCTATCATTACAGCATGTCTTTCAGAATTCTGAAAATACTCTAGCCTTTTATCAACCGAACGTTTCCGGAAGTGCCTTTTATCAACCGAACGTTGTGGCCTGTGTGTATTTTCATTAATTGTTAGGATTGTGTATGTTTCTCAGTTTCCAGTGCTTCGCAGAACTGGTGTATGAAATACTTGCACTTGCACAGTATACGGTGATATACCGTATACTGTTACAGAAAATTTACGAGTATTAGTAATACAGTTCATACGAGTACTTTGATCGGCGCCGCGAGACACCTATAACTATTACTAACAAACAACAAAAAACTGCATGTAATTGCATTGTTATTACATGAAAACTAAGTCCGTGTTTACCAGTGCCTTTGGTACGGTACGCTTAAGAAAACAAAGACAACGTCTTGGTTTTGTATACATGTTATCCGTTGCAGTCTTCGTGTCATAGCAAGCGTTACATTCTTGTGAAACTCCTTCCCCAAATCTGCAGTCCCAAAACTAGCAGGTCTATAACCTTATAAATATTTTTCGGATCTCATTCAATTCCGATCGCAATAATACAACAGATTTACTTGCCTGTTGGCCAGTAGCCAGTTAAGCTGAACTGGTGATTACTAATCCACAAAAAAAGGAAAAAGGAATGGCGCAGAACCTGAAGCATCGAGCGGTGAGATTACCAATCACCCTGTTGCTCCTAACAGGCATTACAGTCTGTACAGCTGTAGCGCCGGCTGGAATGACGAGTCCACAGTGCCGATGTTTATCGAACAACACGTGCTGGCCATCAGCATCCGAATGGGATAAACTGAACGGTACTCTCAACGGCCAGCTTATTATTCCCCGACCAACCGGTATTTGCCTATCGGGCCTGTTTCGAATAAACCCAACCACTGTACTTTTCTTGTATTTTGCAGCATATCCATGTTATGCCGGCTCTGGATTCAATGCATTCGAGTGCCAGATTATTAAGCAGTCCTTCACGCAACCATCCTTTATGATGAAAAATCCCGGCAGCATGCAGGCGTTCAATGCGGAAGAAGACGGTCAAATGCGGTGCTCTGTGGAAGAGTCGTTTATTCGGGGTGTAGTTTGCCAAGCGGGTCGTGTTTCTTCCTATGGCATCGCTGTTCGGTCAGTGGCGGATATTCAGAATTCGTTGGCCTTGGCCTCGCTCTTGAGCATAATTTACGCGTCGTAGTCAGATCAACGGGACACGATTATCTGGCTCGCAGTGCCGCGAGTAATTCCTTTTTAATCTGGATGCATCATTTTGCCGATATGGAAACCCGGAATTCGTTTACTCCAAATGGGTGCAGCGCTAATTACACGATTAAGTTTCCGGTGGTGATAGCGACCGGGAGAATCACCTGGGACGAGATCTATGCAAAGGTCAGTCATAAAAAATTTTTTTTGCTTTAAATTATGTTTCTAGTTTGTTTAATGGAAGGCAAAAATATCCAAAATGCAAAGGTGAGAATATATTACCAATTTCAAGCACTAAAAGCTTTTTGGTTACAGATTGAGAAGGATTTCAATAACAGTATGGTTGTCGTCGGTGGACAATGTTTCGCTATTGGTGCGGCTGGCGGATAGATCCTCGGAGGCGGTCACACCGCAATGTCCCCAAAGTTCGGTTTAGCGATAGATAATGTCATTGAATTCCAACTGGTAACAGCCGACGGCCGTTGGCTAACGGCCAATGAATGAACGAAGAACTATTTTGGGCTCTGCGGGGCGGTGGTGGCGGGACCTTCGGCATCGTCACTTCGGTAGTCCACCGGCTACATCCTGTACCAAGAGGATTCACGGCGTACTCAATCCTAATTACAAACCCCAACGGTTCTGGATTGCTTAATGATACACAGCTGGAGAATATTTTAGAAATACTGGGGAGACGAACCACCGATTTGGATGAAAATGAGTGGGGTGGATTTTTCTCGTATGTTCCCACTTTGGATACTGCTTCCTTTTCCTGAATTTGAATAACGCGTCACATGTTCTGCGGTCAGTGGAGGCGTTAAAAGATGAGTTTGAGCAGATGCAACAGAAAAGCGGACTTTCGGTTGCTCCAGTGTCACCTGGAGGATACGCAAAATCCTACAAGAGCTTTCAAGTAAGGGCGATTTATTACAACCAATATAAATTTTGCATATGTACAGCACCACGCATACTTCCTCCGTTCCTCGATCCACTACGATATGAGTACTTTTTTGTGAAAACTATCAGTTATGACCACATGTTTCGCTGGTCAGTTGTCTTGGTGAATAGTAGGAAAAATACATGCCATTTTTGTAATCCGATACAGTAAAATTTGTGAGATTGAACATCTGCGAACATTGAACACGGCTTTACATTGAACGCCCGCCTAGGAACCGGCGCGTCTCGTAAACTATAACATAGGGGGGCCACCGCGAATATTGAACATCCGTATAAAGTGAACATTGAACGCTTTTCTCGGAACCGTACCAATAAAACGACTCTGTTCATAGTGAACGAAGGCCTAAAATCCGGCTCCGATATGTGAGAAAGACGGCAGGGAGAGAATAACTTTGAACAATACCGTTTTATACGGGCACTGTTCACTTGTTTTACACAACTTATAGCTTTTACACAACTTATAACTTTTATTAGTGTAAACCCGCGCAGGCGTATTGTTATGTGTAATGGCAGATGCCGATTAAAGATCGACTTATAGCTTGTTTGCTATGCAGCTTACTCTATCTGGGCTACAATGTTTCGTATCAAAATGGCGTAAAAAATGTCAAGAGATTGGTGCAATTTCTTTTAGAATTCTTTGCAGTATAAGACTTAACCTGTATATCTGTAAGTATAGATTGCAGTATAAGTATATAACCTTTGAAAAGACTAGTCAGAAAGAGGGGGCGACCCCGCTTGATGCCCCTGGGGGTGAGTTTTGCTGCCCCAGGGGGGACCCCAAGTTGGCTCCCCCCAGGGGCATCTACTGCGAATATTGAACACTCTTCTACATTGAACGGTTTTGAAGGAACCGTAGGTGTTCAAAGTACACAGATTTTATTGTATCTTATGAGTTAAGGTCAGAATGGCAAAATGGACAGATTCTGAAACACCAACCGGACAGCTTTACGATTCAGGTCATCGTGGACTACTCGGCTCACGATTCGTTCCCCGAGCGGCGCTTCCTCAACCGCGGCAGGTTGCCCAAACGATCGTGGCGGCCATGAATCATAACGGACCGCAATTCGGGATCATGGGTCATCTGACCATTGGTCCTGGAGTACGGCAGAACAGTCACGCAGCGCTCACATCTGCCACACCGGCATGGCGCACGACAGCGTGGCATATGGTTCTGTTCACGATGTGGGAATTTAATGCAACCAATCAGGAAATGGAGCATAATAAAGCGGCCCTTAATGCGGGTGTACAAGTTCTGCGCGATGCCTATCTGCGCGATGCCTATCCGGATTCGGGAGCGTATTTGAATGAGGCTTTCATCGAGGAACCCCGGTGGCAGCAGGCGTTTTGGGGTGCCAGTTATGACAGGCTGTTGAAGGTCAAGAAAGAGGTTGATCCTCATGGGTTGTTCGTTTGTGCAGAATGTGTGGGCAGTGAATTATGGGATGTGTCCGGCAACTGCCGACAATATAACTAATTGGTAGCCATATTAACGGCTAGCTAATAACTCATACTGCTTAGTTATTCGCGCTCATTACATATTGCGGCATAGTGGTGACCTTTGTGGCCTGCATGTAACACGTGTATGTACATGTATTTCCTTGTTGTCCTGTTGCAAAAAAATCAGTTTCACAATAATACTGCGTCCTCGGTTTCACAATAATATATTATACCGGCACCTCAAATTGTGACATATACCGAAACTAAAAATCCAGACATCAGTCTGACCACATTGTGACCCTTTAAATGCATACACGCAACATACACCGCGGTGCGCGCTGTTGACGTTCCAGAACGAAAAGTTACATGTGTAATTCTACATTACGCCTGATACACTAGGCGCAAGTATTCTAATTACATCGGCATTGTAAATAAGGACAAAAAACACACAACTCACTCCGCGAACTCGCTTCTATGGATTTTGGTTACTTTTCGTTCCTGTTAGTTTCGTATCTTTGGAGCTTTACACCGCTTATGCTTCAAGGAACCTAAAAGATTTTTTTACTAAACGTTCATACTACTGGAATACAATTTCGACCTGTCGAATAAAACGCTGTAACTAGATTCAGTCCGCTTTGCGTTCATCTTTTCATAATATCATGGAGGATAATGCGCGTTAAACGACCTCTTTTCTCTTATAGCCAATAGCTAAACCTGTGAAATACGGCTAAGAACTGCATTTTGCGCTTGTAAAGCACTGGGTCAGTGCAAGCACTGATCCAGAATTTAATATTGTGAACTGATATTGATTTGATGTACTCGTACTCGTATAGATCGATGTACTCGTACAGAATAGAAATATATGCAAAGTACACACATACGAGCACAACATAGAAGCATCGCTACCCTAGAGATGCTGTCCTATGGAATGCCTACGGAGGCAGACGTTGAGATACAAATTTATTGATCGGTTTTCTTTTGCAACCACAGACACAAAGTATAGCTTGCGTTTCCTCCTAATGTGAGTTCTGATAGCTCCCAGCAAAAATTTTATTTTTTCCCGGCTTCAGATAAAAATCATCAGTTCTGCAGTACATCTATAAACCAAATCTCGTTTACTCCTCAGACTCAGTTGTATTATTTTTTTTTGCACGGAGACGGGGACCTGCTGAAGTAGCGCTTTTGCATCTTGTTCCTCCCGAGATAAGCGTGTTATTAAGCCCTTGGCATCGCTGGCTCTAAGTACAGGCACTATTTTTTCCTTATCACAAGCAGATATGCGCCACGCCTGATTAACTGAAGACAAAGACAATATGCCGAAGCAGCCGGCACATTTTTCACCTGGTTATATAGCCTGCTACCTAACCAACAAAACATGGCGACGCGCCATTGTCGTGACCTACCTGGTCACCACATCTTTCATCCAAGCACTGTTTCGTATCGCTATCCTGGGCATCTTTACCTTAGGCTGCTTTGAGGCTTGCTATGTTTACTCTTCTGCAGACCCTCATGATACTGTAAGTCAATGAATACCCTCGATGGATTGATCATAAACATTACTGTATGAGAATGCTTTCTTTTATAGCGCCGTCATCATATACCCGAAGATTCCATCATAATTTTATTAGGCCCGCTGTGTTTCTATCCTGGCATCATCCTCTTTTTAGCAACTGTACGGTCACTGAAACAATCATGGCAGTTGCTGTTAGGTGTTAATTCATTTCGCCAGTCCTGTATTCCAATCGGTATACGGGGGTTCACCAATTCCTCGGCACACTGGCAAAAGATATGCACTGATTTACGTAGCAGTCTTGAATTGGCTAAAGTTTTCAAGAATGGCATCGCCTTATCCGTGCTTATTTTGTTGGCAACCAGCTATATTCTGGAGTGGTGGGATCGAAACGTTTTCCACTTCGAAGCCCTGCGGAGAATGTGGATAATATTACTAATGGAGGCTTTGACGGAATATCTGGATCGGTGCATGGCACGGGAAGCGGAAAGCTTGGAGCTGGAGATCATCGCATCCTGGTTTCAACAGCGGACGGACCAAATTTCTACTAAAAATCGCGTTGCTAAAAATTACGCGGTCTTACTACAGGAGCTTACTTCGTCGGTAGAAGCGTTTAAGGATATCAGTGTATAGACAGGACTGCTTCTTTTGTAGCGCCTTTGCGATCTATCCATGCAAATTTTGTTGCATATGTAGTAATGTAGCAATGCACCAATTATTTTGATTCGTTTTCTCGTACCGTACCGTGTCGTCGTTCCACAGAAAGCGCAGTACAGATACTCACTCAAAAGCTACCATACCACAGTGCACAAAAATTCATGGTATAAAAATAATATTTATTACTACAGCTTAATTAAATAAGTATCAGTGGTCTAACGGTTGGCTCTGAGATTGTGGCAGCAGTGTCCTCGGAAGGAGGTAGAGTGGACTATCCAGAAGCGTTTGACCAAATTAACACAATGTTATGTGATCTCGCTCGCGCAGCACTTTCAAATTTTTCCCAAAAGGCTGCTCAACACTGCCAATTCCGACTATCAGCTCAATAATACTGGCAATCAGTAATCTTGACGTTAGCGAATTAAAAGAAGTGATGACAATTGACGAAGACTACTGACAGGCACATGATGAACGAAGGGAAACTACTTATAACAATTATCATTTTCTATCCAGGATGCGCGTAAGAGAAACTATAGGAACACATATGCTGACTTTCGTTTCTCCGAACTGGTTTTTTTTGCGACCACAATTATGCTTCAAAACTTTCCTAGCCGATCGAAGGAAAGTTACAAAACCCACAGACAACACAAACTACGGCATCAAAGAACCACTGCCTTATCACAATATAACTTTGTGTGAGATTTGGATGAAGACAACAGCGCCGGATTACGGGTCCACGGTGCAACCGACTCCATCGTCCGTGCTAGAACAACCTCTCCACACCCAAGATGGTGGGCGGAAGGGAAGAACGAAATGCTATTTACAATTAACTATTACAAACACAATTAAACATGAAGTTCAAAAATATTCCACTGAACAGAGACGTACAGCTGAGCTACACCCATAATCGAAGACATACTATTTCTCTATTATCGGATGCAAATCGATATCTGGTCAACACACCCTAATGGCTTTTTCCGGCTGGACACTAATAAACCACGTAGTCCAGGCTGTCCATTCAGTTAAGCGTCAAAATGGGCAGTTAAAACTAATTTTCGTTAAGGGAAATGGTCCTTAATTACAAGATACGTAATTCAGTTTTGGTATGTTTCTAATTACAGTACTGCATCTTATAAGTGCAGATAAATATTGTGTTGTATGATGTATTGTGATTTCCCAGAGCGCTTGCACTTACTGCAGTTATTGCATTGTGACCGACAAATGTCTAATGCTAATAATTGTTTTTATTGCAATAGTCTCTCGTAATCGTTAAACGTCGCTGTAAAATGATGCAAGTCATGCAACCCATCCTTGATGTAAACGGAAATGTTGCCAACTAGGTATGGATTTATTAATAATAACATGTATGAGTACATTGCATTATAACGCTCCAGAATTACACATACCATGGTTAGTACTAACTTACTGTATCGTGCAGTATTACAGTACTTGCATTATTTCATGCTGCCTCCCGGATTGCTCTAGCGTTCAGCTTACCGCCATATTGTACAACACGGGAAAACCCACTAAATAAGAGTTTTGTTTTTTGTACAGATACAAGCAAAAGTAATGTCATATACTTTGGCTTCAACTTAAAAGGTCGATTCAATATAAACAAGTAAAATAGCTTCCTTCTAACTCTGTTGAACAACCGACAGTACCCAAAAACTACTCACAGAAGCCAAGTTTCTGCGCTGTTACCAGATATTTTATTTATGTATACTTCTAGTGAAGAGTTAACATCATGTCCATTGTCCAGTCTGCATATGTGTTTCACTGTGTACTGTACCGTCAGTAAGTACTGTATGAGTGTATCAGCAAGCTAAACAAAGAAAAGAAAGCACTCAAGTGCAGCAGACTCAAGTGCAGCAGCACTTTTATCAGTTCTTATCAGCGGATTAAAAATTAAGCGGGAAACTGTAAAATGCACTGTTGCATCTGCGCACAATCGCTCGAAACAAAAATTTTCACAATCAAAAAACCGTGTTTTTTGCATTTTGACAAGCAAAAACTTTTCGTATTGTACCTACATAACATAAATTTTTTTATGTACTCACATTCCCATAATATATTTTGAAAGGTGGCTATAACTTTCTGTCGCAAAAAATGCCATTTTGTGTGTGGCTTATTTCATTCCTTCTGCGCTGTATCCACGGCGAGTTGACCAGACGAGAGCAGATCATGGTAACTTGGCTCGCTGCTCTGATCTTTGGACCGATTGTGTTCGGCTGTTCAGGTGGTAAACTGGACCCCGAAAAATTGCCCAATAACGACATTCAGAAAGCGATGATAATTGTGGGTTGCATATGGACAGTCGTGTGTTTAATCGGACTTGGATTTAATATTTATTGGTACCGTACGGAACCAAACCCGCTCCTCCGCCCCGACCAGCAGCCGCCGCAACAGCAACCAGCAGTCGCAACACGCGTCGATGTGGAGGCTCGGTATCATGCTGGAGCATACAGCGTGGCCGTTCGGTTCCAGCGCGACGCACCACCAACTTATGAAACACTGGCCGAGGCGGAACAGTTGTCTCCCCCTCGTTATCGGCGCACTGCGGTACGTACGGATTGTGGTATTTGGCAGAATATAACACTAGCCAGAAGCTACCATTATGTCGCTACGTGCACATTAATCACATTACTGTGTAATAATAAAACACTCTTTTGTACTGTACAAATTACTTTAACATACAATTACTGATATTTTTCATTGTAAAATTAAGTTTAGTAAAATTTATGTTCGGAATATTTACTGAAAAATTATTGTTAAATAAATTATTTTAGAATATTATGAAATAATTACTGTAGTGTTATTTACTGCGATTAACTTCCATTGAATGCTTTCAGATTCGTGACCAACAATCGCCGCCACTGTATTCCGCATCAGAACAGCAGGAGAACGTGGTCCGCGTTGGCGGCACAATGGCCGAACGCGTGGTTATGTTGTAGTATATAGCATTTTCTCGTTTTAATTAGCTCATGATGTCTCGGGTTTTTTACAGTGCATCAGTTAATGCATGGGCTTTTGCTAAAGGTTTGGTCTGAATGTTTATTATTATCGCTCTTCCGATCAGCAGCTTCGATCTCCAGTATCCCCCACACGCTGGTACGGATTGTGTATTGTAATTTTGTGAGTAAATATTAATTACTTTTGTGATGCGTATAATCATATACATTTTAACTTATGTACATAGTTAAACCGAAGTGGGAGCGTTTTTTTTAAAACTATCAATACGAAGTACTAATAAAAGTGTGGTCTAACAATTCGACACACTCCTGTACTCGTACGCAGCTGTGTGCCTTGATTTGCCCGCCTATTCTGTTATCCAGCACATTTTTATTGCGCGGCAGTTCTCGTGCCGGTTCAACCATAAAAAAGTAAAAACGCCATTTTGTGTGTGTGTGTATGGACATTAGATACTTACTAATTGTCATCTAAGAGAAAAATAACACCGAACAATACATGTCGCATTTATACAGAAAAAAGAATTAAAAGATTATATAGATATTAATTTCCCTTGGTATCCAGTATCCACACACAAGAAATTGTTATCATACAACTACAATGAAGTACGTAATTATCGGCATTAATTAGGCTCAAAGTGCATTTCGGCATTCGTTAAAAGTTAAACTGTAACACATATCGTACCGACAGCGTCATGCGCGCTGAAAGCGTCTACTCGCATATTAACGATATCACACACACCGTTTAATCATTTTTGTAAAAATAATCTTGCAGATCCTCAGCAATGAAGAAAAAACGAATTATAAAACTCTTCCATCTGAAAAAAATGGACAAGATTTTCGACAAAAACTATAACGAAGCAGTACATCTCCATCGCGGGCCGATGAGCAACAACAATTAAAACAAATATAAAATCAAGGCAGACCAAACGTATCTATAAATTATCATCCTCGTTGAGACGGGTATATGTGACCACGACACCATTCTCCCCATGCGCAGCGACATTGGCATGGGACGCCGCGGTGTTCCGAGATCGGCGTTTGTAGCAACCGAGAGCGATCGTCGTCAGGATAATCACCAACAGCACCGTCACCAACGCCACTGTCACATCCGAAACTGTAAAAGAAAAACACACGAATTGTCATTAACAAGAGACGTATTCAGCGACCAACATCTCTGCCACTCTTTCAAATAAGAAATCCTGGCAGAAAAAGATAACCAGTGCAACTAGTCGGCAAATTAAATGATGACTTCAAATCCAGCTTACGCATGTAGCAGAAGCACAAGTTAGTATTAAAGTCGTTCAAATAATTTGGTTACTGTTTTTTTGACTATCCAAATCGCCAAAACCACAATCAGGTCAAATGATTCCGATTTCAGCAATCAACCGTTTCACATGGCAGATTGGCAGTCAATATTGACCAGCGTTGAATTTAGCTGTATTTCGTATAATGCTTGCGTAGTTTTACTGTAAATGTAACACAAAATCTACTGCATTCCACACATATTATTATCGCCAGAAACGAAAGACTATACTACGAGTACAAGTAGACGCATTACATGACTTACATCCAATTTATTTAAACATCAATTTCAACTTGTCGAATCTGTCGCATTAATGCTGCGGTAAAATGAAAGATTATTACAATGCTTTCCAGTGATTAAAGGATTATCGTAAAAAAAAATAAGCTACGCTGTAGTTTTAAATTTTTACCATCAATTTCGGCTCCAAATACAGGACTTTGGCATTCCTTGTTCCAGTTTTCAACGGTACAATGTTTTGTCACTTCTCTTAGTTGTTTCAGCGGGCACAGTGCATCGCAGCGCGCATGTTTCAGTATCTGCGGCTCAGAATTCGGGATGTCGTCCAAACTAAGAACATAAATACACAAAAATTCAGATTAACGTTTCTCCGGTATAATTATTGACTATACATACTCATTTTTCAGCAACAGGCGAACCGAATCATTTTGGAAGAGCTCAAATATCACAGTTGCCTAAATACAAACACCGAGGGTTAGTTGTATAATCCGACGCAGACAAATGCGAAAACGCTCCACAACTTTACCGTATAATTTGGAACGCCCATAAATCCCAATGTGTCGTTATAATTATACATTTCCAGTGTGGCCAGAAGTCCGGCAACAGTTGTATCGTGCTGTAAAATCAGCCAAATAACAGTTAAACCATTTTGCCAGTGCTGCATAATAATGAAATCTCTTCGCTACTTCGGCATGCAGATCCCTTATTTGAACAATAAATCATGTAAATAAGTTGCCTGAATGGTAAATCTGGTAAACAATTCACGACCCGGAAAAAGGCTTGTTCAGCACATATGCATGAAGTTACTTCAAAAATGCACCATACAATTAGTACCAAATTATCAAGCGGTTGTAGGCAAAAATCGGTTGTAGGCAAAAATAAATAATCTACATTTTACTAAACCCATTTCCCAGTTTTATTTCTTACCCCCGAATAAACAAACATTCTGGTGTCGTTGCGTTTCAGCGGCGCTTTTCCCGCTCGCTCATCCATCCGCTGCAGGAGCAGCGCCAATAAATTCCCCCCGGCGAGACGCGCTCGGGGGATGTCACCGTTGGCTCCCACTTGTAAATGAAATTCAATCGCGTCGAGGTAATGGAGAATATTGTAGACTGTCTCGTTCATCCATTCCGGCCGTTCCAGGCCGGCTGAATTTAGCTGACAGAAAACGGCATCGTGCACATGCTCCAGAACTGTCATGGCATCGCGTCGCTTCGTGGCCACTTCGCCGCTTTTATTTACCACGTAGTCGAAGACATTCTGCAATCATATTTCAGTTCATTTACCGTGCACTTGTAAAACGTACGCATGTGTTTAAAATATATGCAACAACAACTGGACTATTTTTATCAAAAGTTATTTAAGTGTTTCACTTGATCGATTAAACAGCATTTCAAAAAAAGTATCCTAACAATGCATAGAAAAAACATCCTCAAAACGAACATAATGTTTGTCATCAAGCGTGAAAAACACTAACAAACTGACAAACACATAAGCTACGTACTGCATGCCTGCATGATACGGCGAATGCACAAAAACTGAACTTGAAAGTTGTACGAGTACAATACTATTCTACACTATAACGAAACCTAAATATTAAACCTTATTTTTGCGCTGTTTATTTGTATTATCACAGAAACGTTTACATCGTGCACACAATCAAAAACTTGGCATCTGGTTAATCATTCTCAAAGAAATTTCAGGGCTGAAAAAGCTATCAAATGCCAATAAAAGAGCCGCCGATGACAGAAAAATTACCTACACGATTTCCGCAACTCACCCTGTACTCCTTGTATAATTTCACCATTTCATCGGTATTCATCAGGTCGGCTTTGAGGCGGAAATATTCCGGACAGGGCGCCTTTTTCGTCAGCAGATTCTCCTCGGACAACGGCACCGTGTGCACCGAGATGGGGCGCCACATTTGTCCCAACACGTTGTCCCATTTGGCCTCCCCGTCCGGAGGAAACAAGCCCGCGGCGAAGGCTTCCGCGCTCTGTAATGTGCGATCGGTCTCCGATGAGCGGATGTATACCTGTCGAAATAATGTGACAATAAAACTGAAACACATCTGCGAAGGCCAGAAGGCTCATATGGAGCGAAATTTTAAGTTTCGCGGTAACGCTGAATGCAGTTATACAGCCAAAATAAATGCAAAGAAACCAAAACATGTGCAAAAATAAAACGTTTGGCAAACCAAAATATCCAGGAAATTAATGGTTAACCTAAACACATAACAGTAATATCTCCATGGAAAAAATAAAAAAACTAGCGCAAAAATCGAAATGTACATAATAAAATAATGAACATTCAAAGTGATACAATTATAAACGTATAAAATAAAATCAAAAACATAACAATTGCGTACATAAAAAGCACATAAAAACATCCATTTCTCCGTATATGAAAATTAAGATCACGGTTAAATCGAAACAAATTAATTCCAAAAGCAATGATACAGACAAAATTTGATGACTGAATGATTGATTAATCTCCGATGCAACATATTTTTCATGTGCATTTTGGAACTTTTATAAAAACATCTGCCAATAGACAAAACTTTTTCGGGAAACATCTGCAAAATCCACACACCTGATTCGGTCCATAGAGAGGATCCAGTAATTTCTGATAACGCTGCTTGAAAAATTTCCCCAACTCAAACTGCTGTTTCATCCCTTTGGGAGTCAGGCGGGCAAAACCATTGAGCCAGACACTTTCTGCGACTTTGTCCTCCTTATACGTGTGTATCGGAGCCCGATCTCCATGACGGAAGATCTACAGAAGCGCCAACAAATCAAGCTACTGGGTCTGCCACAAATCACCACACTGCGAAAACGCAACACGCACCAACTGCACCAGCTTCAGATCTTCGACGACTTCCACAGCCCAGGATAAGGAGAAGAGATGTGTCAGCACCAGATACACTGCGGAGATGAGGGGAGACTGGAAGTTCATAGTATCAAGGGGAGTGACGCGCCCAAGTATCCCATGGGTTCGCTGTCAACAGTGTCAGTGACACTTGAGTTCCAGCTGCAGATTAAGAAGGTAGAGCTGGCAGGTGGTGCTGATCTATCCAGAATGACACTGTGTGACCGTATGAGCAGGACATGCAATGTCTGTAATTCATTTATTGATCACTGATGAAACTTAAGTTACCGAGTAAAACTGTAAGCAGTTAATTAGTACTTCGACAGAAAAAAATGAATAAACAGAAGTCGAAACTGTCAGACAGTTGCCTACTGTGACGTACTGTCAACACTTCTTCAAAGAAGCTAACTTCAAAGAAGCGAAGTACGATCAAACTGTGTTCCGTTGCCAATTCACCACACTGGAGCCCGCAAGCGGTTGCATGTTGCATCACTTGCATGCCACACAGCAAGGATTTCATCTGGCCTGTTAACCACTTCCGGTCTTTTCTACGTCCTTTTTCTTTACCTTTATGGTAATTAACGTAATAAACACAACCATGCGTGGCAGGCAGCAGTTACGTTTTAGTGCCAATTTCAGAAATATTAAAAATTCACAAATGACCAGTCCGCGAGAGCGCACAAAATGTAATATATCCTGTTGCTTTGTCGCACGATACCCCGAGTAAAATAGTTCGTAAAAAAAACGTTAGCTAAACGTTAGTTAAAGGCCACGTTCGAATTTTCAGGACTTTTCGCATATATGCGCATACAAGTGCTGGTTCTTGAAGGTGGATCTGCATTATCATGTGATGTCCGCTCTGGAAATTCACCTTCCATGGCTGGAATTAATCATCAGCAGAGTCATACATCTTCATTATAACCTTGGGGACCTTTGTGCTTGTCTCGATTATTATAAGTTTGTATCTTTTTATTTATTATTATTCTATCTTTTTATTTACATTATTACAATTTAACAAAAACTGACTCGGTCATGATCAGCTGCGCCTTTATATTTCTCAAAGTAAACCATTACTAGTATTTCGTTAAAAGAACGCTGTGGCTCAAATCTAACCTGATCATGGTAAGCCGTTATATTAACTTAAACATGCTTTAAGTGCACCGGTGCACGCAATTCCTTCTAATTAAGCAGCACACTTATGTTCCCGATATGCACTCAACTATACTGCGTCAACGACGGCTCGGTGGAATCAAGCAGCACCGGCTTCGATTTCAACGGGATATGGGCGCCTCAAGTCCACCCTTTCCCGGAGCCCCCGCCCTAACCCACCAGCAATACGCCGCGGGTGCCGGTGCTGAACAGTCAAAGTATGGAGCGATGTACCCGGGGTGCGATCGAGTCAGCGGAATGCTCGGCAAGGAGCTTTTGCGCGTCACCGGCACCGTCTATGGTGATCACCGTGATATGTTTTGCTACTGCGCGCTGCAATGCGCGCCGCATTTTTTGCCCGCGAATACACGATGCAATCGAAAAATCGAATAGACGGGCGCGGTGTCCAGTGTCTGAACATCCGGTCTGAACATCCATGCGGATCCGCATGGTATGGGATCTCAGTCGAGCGATGCAGCGCACGGCATTAGTTATTTTAATTTTGTTAAGGCTGTGATAATGAGTAGTATACCCAACTGGCATTTTTTCTTGGGTCGATCGGTGGTTTTCCCCCAAGCTTTGTACTCTGCACTTATATGGCGCAGTGTCACCTGATCGTTCGGTGTACAAGGCACCTGGACGGGGATCTAATTATGAAAGGTTATATTGAGAACGATCGTGTAAAACTGTACATTGTCTATGATAACACGCAGGTGACAGCATAGTTTTTGCAATCTGCTGGAGCGTCGGAACTCACGCACGGCGGCTCAAATGCTGGGAATAGCCTACTGCACTGGAGGCGTTTTAAATTCAACAATTTTATAAACGCCGCAGAAAAACTATACCGGACACAGCTCGGCATGACATTTTTTTGGGCGAGCATACAGTAAGACAATTTCTCATTGCCGCCTTTCTCATTACTCTCGAGACACGTAACGCTTTATCGATCCCGGATCCCAGATGGTGTCACGGTCATACACAGAAGTTATCCCGGGATGGTGTAATATTATTGATTTTAATAGTTGATAGCATTCACCAGTAGCAATACGTAAAGATAGAGCAGCGCCGCTAAATGGTGGAATATTGCCGCGATACCTTCGGCGTTCGATTTTATGGTTATCAATAGTCAATAGATTCATATATCCTTACGTCCTTATTTTTTGGAAATTATCTCCTAAATCAAGATTAATTTTTTCAGTAAGTTGATAATTTTATAAAATAAAGCATCGCACAAACGTTTCTACCTGTATCTTTAAAAAAATCTTATATTTTGGAGAAGGTCTAAAAAGATTTTTAAAAGTTGTAGTACTTAAGGGTTGTTAGTACTTAACGGTTGCTAGTTTTGGAAATTATCTCCTAATTCAACGTTGATTTTTCCACTAAGTTGTTAATTTTATAAAATAAAGCATCTTCCAAAGCTTCCTACCTGCAGCTTGGAAAAAAATTTCTGGTTTCCGGAAAGTTTTCAGAAACCCTTTCAAACTTTCTTTACTTGGCGTTTAAAGTTCATAGAAATTTCCAGTAAATTCTGGAAACGTCTCGAATGAGCAAATACAAATTTCGCAGCTTAGCAACCTGAACTGCAGATCTGTGTATGTTATTTAAATTGTCAATTCCATCAAAAATTCAAAATTATAGCTTTTTTTAAATTCTTGAAACCTTTAAGACGTTTTTAAAACATGTTCGAATACCTCAAAATAACTATTAATTTTTCCAAAGTCGGCTCCAAAGCTTTTACATTTCCAGAATTTCTAAATATTTCTCAATATTTCGACTCGGCCCCGCGCAGCGGGGCCGTTACTTTTAACGTTTTTAGCCTCCAGAGTTTCGAAATTTTAAAAATGTCTAGAAATGTCTGAGTACCTCAATATCTCGCGGTCTTAAGGGATTTGGCCCGGTACATACTACATGGCACCAAATTTGTATGTATATGTCCACAACAACTTGCGCTGTCGCACGCTCCTAAACCCTAATTCTCATAACGGTCCTCATACTCATAACCCTATTTCTAATTCAGAATTCCTACTCAAAACGGCTTTCATAATCATAATCATACTTTGATTCTAACGGTTATCATATTTTTGTTCGTATTCATAACTCAGACCTTTACCGCTACTCATACCAGTGCGCTACTGCGCTCAATGTTATTAGTAAAAGCATTATAGTATTTATTAATCGTAAAAACCGTAATATTGACACTAAGTTTGAATAGCTGTTGCGCAAATTGTGCACCATTGTTGAATTTTTAAAAAAAGTTTTTTTGATATCTGCTTTTGTTCTGGGTAGTAATTTGCGTTGTTACTGTTCCTGTGTTCCATTGCTGTACAGTGTACGCGATGCTTTTGTCGAAATTTAGTTTTGTGGAAATTAAAAGTTAGCGGCCCGTTCACTTTTTGTTTGATGGAAGCTACGTAATAAGTAATAAGCCCATTAACATTTCAGGTTTTTTTCATTAGCACTAGTTTAAAAATGGACGAAAGTGGACAATGGTAGATTTTCTTGCTCAGTTTTTATATGCAGATTGAATTACTTAGCTTTCGTTACTCAGTTCAAGTTTACTGAAGTCATTTTGTAATGAAGCCATTTTCTAATAAATATTTTTTCGCTACTAATTCAGATGAAATAATTTTTACGAGTGTACGAAAGCGGGCGGTTGAGTAGACTTACATGAACACATGGTTGTAATTGAATATAACATTTTTGACACACCAGCATGAGTAATGGTTAAGATATGAGCAATAATTATAAATAAATTAATATGATGACCGGTAGGACCAGAGTATGATTATGATTATAAGGGCCGTTATGAGTATGAATTCGGAATTAGAAGTAGGAATATGAGTATGAGTATGAGAGCCGTTATGAATATTAGGTACATACCTAGCCTGGCTAGCCATGCAAAAAAGTTTTTAGGATTGCGCGACAGCGGAAGTTCCCGTGTATTTACCCGAATTTGGTACTATGTACCGGGCCAAATCCCTTAATTGTCTAATTTATATGTAATTTCTAAGTATCTAAAAGCCGGCCCGCGGCCCGTTTACCGTATTCACCCACATGGCGGCTCTGAGATACTGGTGGCAGCTTGGGCATTCACTAACCTCGAAATCTAATAAACATGTATTTATTTTATTTATTTTATTTTAATAAATACTGAAGAGCTTGACTGATGGCTGAAAAAATCTTACAATTAGTATCTAAAGGTGCAGCCTGCAAGGACACCTTGGGCGACCGTTAACTGTTCCCCGCAAGTTTCCATTAATTCTGCGCTGAAAAAATGGTATTTTATGGGCATCGTGTACAGATACAGGTCGATCGCGCCAAGTGTTTGCAGTTTTTTTAAAAAAATTATAAAATGTCAGCCGTCAACAAATAAATAATTATTTCATTTTAACATGGTTGCAGCATGTGTCTAACATGTTTTTCACTTGAACCGCCCTGTTGAGAACGTGTTTCGAATCCCAGTGATATCAAAATTGTTTCCGACCGTCTTGCAAATGGGGCTTGACCCATCGGCCGTGGTTGCAGTCTTCCGCCTTTAAATTTGTTTAGAGCTTTCGTTGACGTCTTATCGCAAAGTGATAAGTTTGGGCTGTTGCCCAACCAGTACTCTGCGAAACATGCCTGCCATGAACCGAGTTTCACCAAACCCGCCTGACCTTTGCAGAGTCAGTGCGGGCACCGTTGAAAGGGTGGGCAACCCCACTTCCGCCGTCTCAGTGCAGCCATGGAGTTTCTCAAATGTGCATTCTTGACAAAATCACGTGGAGAAAGTATTCACTGTTCGCTTAAAACTTTTATCAAAACAAAAGGCTCGAGACGTTCCAATCCGCCCACTTTCTCCAGCAGTCATGACTTTTTTAGTCATCGCTTCATTAATTTTTTCTCCATTCGTCCAGGACTTATATCTTCTTTCCTGTGTTGTAGATATTTGTCGACACCCCAAAATTAACTCAGGTTAAGGTAGTCCATGTCTAATTCATGGAAATTATTAGTTTGAGATTCCCCGTTCCTTGCGCTAGGCAACCACATTTCTCGGTAGGTGCTTTCTACCATACAAGTCTATGGGAGATGCCCTTTGCTTCGAGATCCCCTCGACCACTGATCACGCAAGATTTTGCTAATAACGCCAACGAACATCTTGGGCTGTACAATAACTTCCAGAAAACTCCAGGCAGCAATCTTAACGCTGAGATTTTCCCAAGGGTAGTTATAAGCATAAAAAAACTGACAGGTGCCCCTTCCCCAAAAACACCGCTCGGCTCCCTACTAGCACATTAAAAGATATTAGTTTTGATGGTGCTGGATTCGCAAAAAAAATTTTATTAGAAATATGCCGAAAAAGCAATAAAACGACTTACAGAAATATTTTTAATTTATTTTTTGCACCTGCCCACACTTGGTGTGATCGACCTGTATGTGACCCCACTCAATCCTTTTATCACCGTGAAAATATTATCTGTGGAACCAAAAAATTCAAGTTTTCAGTTCGTTAGATCGGTAATATAAAGTTACATTAAAAACGCCATAAAGAACCATGAAAAAATGGAAACTTACGGGGGCTTTCACAGTTTCAGAAAATGGTCGAATTTAACCGGAAAGCTTGAAAAAATTCCGCATTCCTTCATGTTTAAAATGTTTTCGCAGCTGGCCTCGCTGGGTTTTATATTTGAAATATTTCTCAAAATTTTTTTTATTGCTGTACGAAGTATATTTTGTATTTCTTTCATACTTCCATACCTTAAACACAACTGGTCGCGCGCTAGCGCGACCGATACTTGTATGTTATATGGTTAGGTTTATGAGTTTATGCTTATGCGCGAAAAAGTTATTACAATGAGTCCGATCCAGCCTGTAACTGAAAGTTCGGTAAATGTGACCCTGTTTATGAAGCCATTTTCAGCATGCTGGATCTGGAAAGGGAAAACCACCGATTTAGTAGTTAACTCGAATTGTTCTCTATTAAATCGGTGGTTTTCCATTTCCAGCTCCAGCATTAATTAATGCATTCCGAAAACACAAAACTCCTGGAATCGGTGTTAACTGGTCAAAGCGACGCAGCCAAAGATAAGGAGCAGTTACAAAAGGACACCGGATTATTTGGATTATCGACCAGCGACTGGGCCATCGGCTGCTTCCTCGCGATCGGTGGTTTTTCCTTCACGCTTTTTGCTTTTGGTGTCAACACCTGGTGCAGCAAAAATCACTGGACAATGCAAAAATCATGGAAATTAAAAGCAGGAATGGAGACATGTCTCCCTTGACCCGTGGGCCTCTATGCATAGAGGCCCACGGGCCAAGGGAGAAAGAGGCGCTGGTCGCCAGCGCACAGCCGCCGCCGCAGCCACAGCTAATATGGGACACGAACTTGACGAAACGTGGCGCAACGAAATATTCCGATCCGGGGTCACGCCAACGATCGACGATCACAACAGACGCTTTCGTCGTCCACCACAAGCCCTCAACAGGCCTCCCCTCCTACCGTCCGCTGTCTCCTCCTCCTGTCTCTGTCCTTCCTCATGCCTATGGTGAAATGGTGAATAACGATTTCGGTCAACTTGGCCAGTAATGGTTACGTCATATGCACCCGTAGAGAAGATCTAAGACGTAAAATTAAACAGAAAATATTAACTGGTATCGTAATATATACTTATTGGGGTTTAGTCATGCTTTGTAATTTAGACAGATTTGTAATTGTAACATATTGACTTATATCACATTGCAACATATTGTAATTTTGATTTACTATGTAATTCCTTACCAACAATTCGTCGTACTGAGCTAATGTAATGCTCACCATGGTCACTTTTATGTTTCGCCAGTATCCATGTGGACAACCCATTCCGCAGTTACTCATCTGGTATTTGTTAAAACGTGAATTAGTTTTTTATCTTGATGTTTTTCAACGTTTCCAGACAGTTCTCTTTGCAAAATCTGTCCCCCCCCCCGGTATTTTTGAACGGGTACGTTAATACATGAAATTTACATTCTTTAATTTCACTGTAATGCGGAAGAAGGACTGCAGTTTATGATCTGCATTTGTTGCTGCATTTACTCGTAACAGCTCTTGAATCAAGGCTTTCGATATAGCAAACAAGATTTCGATTTTGAAATTCGTACTGACCCTTCTCGAATGCCTACTTACTCGAGTAGACATACGTCAAGATACGTATACCTTTGGACTAACAACTGGCGATCATGTCCGACTGAGTGACGCCGGTCCCTTTATCGAAGTCGAATAGGATCACTTAGTGTACGGAGGAGAGTATAAATCCGGTAGTGGCTAGGTACTCTATGAAACGGTAATGACTTACTTGAAATTAAATTAATCGCAACTTTTCAGGTTCTTCGTAATTAAGGGATGCAGTTAACCCGCGGCCGCGGGCATCGCCAGCAAATCGGGCACTCTCTCTCCATCGCACTGGATACAGTGAGCCCTAATGTTCTGATTGTGGCGTTGATACTAACTTGATAGTGGGCGCGCGCGGGACGAAAGGTCATCGCCACAAAGGGATTAATAACGACCGCCGGTGATACTGATATCCAGGTACATTTTATTTGTACGATCCTCAGTTGGTTCAAGAAGTGAGGGATTAGTAATTACCGCAATGATTAAAGGCGGAACCGTACGTTCATCAATCAAAAGTCATATAAACATGATTTTTATTATTATTTATGGAGGTTTCTCACTCGCTTCACTATATCGGATATTTTTGCTGTATATCTGCTGTTTGATGATATACGAACAGAGTAGTGCAGAAATATGCCTCATGATGTGCTCATTCTGCACATTGCTGCTGAGACGTCTATACTTGTGTTTAACTTTTTTTTCGCAAACCGGCATGGAATTTTGAGCTTTCTCGTAGTGCGAATGGAGGAGACTGACTATACATACTTTATTGACATGCACTACGGCTTTCTTTACGATGTGTAGAACCCGGCGTCTAGAGTACCCAGTACTTCCGACACCACATGTTCTCTTGGACCAGAAAACGTTCGGTACGCATACCATAGTAAAAGTAGCACTTACCAGCAAGTAGCAACCAACGTTGACGGACTGCCAAACGCGGGGTTGTGTAAAACGTTTTGACGTTGTGTTGGATAGGACTGAGGCCACGGATAACTTTCCAACGAATTTCTGGTTTACAGGCATAGAAAATTCAAGTGGTATTGGTTCGAGAAGATTAGCCCCGGAACTTGTGGAACAAATCGACGCTGGCGCTATCGGGTGACTGTGTTATAAGTTTGAACTTTTAATGGTAGAAAAATATCTTTAATATGACTAGTACTACCGTAATAAAATAAAGAAAACTTACAAATCGCCCGCACTTTCGATTAATGTTATGTTTAGACTAAAACTAACCACACGAAGATTGCGGAGCAGCACTATGCTGCTATTGATGCTGCTATAAAGGTTAGAGAAGCGTACGCTGTTCAAGTGACAATCCACACCGATGCCCTTAATGAATCGTCCTGCGCTGGAGCGCACGCTGGAAGCAATAAATAGGCGAAGGATCATGCATGCAGCCTACCATACGGAAAGTGGCGGTAGCGGACATGCTCTTGTAAGGTGAGTCACGAAAAAATGTTGAGCACTGTTTTAAACGGAGTTTGTGAAATTTTACGAAAGTACATTGGCTGTTTTTGCATATTCTTGTTCTTTACATAAGAATCTGGCAGTTCGGGAAGTAAATGTCTGGTTAGACAATTAAAACTTTACTAAAGTGTGCAATATGTTACATAAGTGTAATGACAGTGAATTAATGGAAATGGAAATGGAGCGCCTGACATGTCACAGACCGAGTATACTCGTAATTTAGTTTATCGCTGGTTTGGTGTGAGAAGCGTTTACCAACGTTTCCTGTGTTTTAAAAACTTTGATTGTAATACTTTGACAGCACTTGCGGAAATATTCGTATTTGCATGGTTTTATCCTGGAAGAGTGTTCATACCAAATTTATTAAATTATGATTATATCTCAGTGAACGTTATGAAAGATTTATGCGTCAACAACCAACGCTTCTAGTATGTATAAAGCGCAAGTAGCCGATCACCGCACCATCCATCCCCTGGTAGCGATCACTCAGCAGCCCATAATATATCACGCCACAGGGGGAAGGTGCAGTGATCGGTTCTTTACGCTGTATAGCAGGAGCTATTGGTTAATTAAATGAAGTGGACATACGTCTTTTGGACGTACCACTCATTAATATTTCGGTCAGGTTGTGCCCAGCATTCAACAAGCGTCGGCAAGCGCTTGGTGTCACGTTGCACGAGGACGGTAAATGTCGAGTCGCACGGCGCTCCTCTGGCTTTTTCAGCGAATGTCCAACAACGTCCCTTTTCTTTAAAGTTACTGATCCCATACGGAAGAGACTTGGAATCAAATAACTGCTCCAAGTAATCCTTAAGATGAGTTGACATCATGGCAAATCTTCCGTCAAATTTCCAGATAAAGTAAGATTCGCCATGCCGGCAGTTACAATTAACGTAAGCACTGCATGTCAAGGATGCCTCTGAAAACGGTGTGGTAACATTCCGCAATCGTCCGACAAATATGTCTTCCGCCGTGGGTCGTGTCTGCAGTTTGTATTGCTTGACGAGATATATGTCGCCTTCGGAATAATAGACACACCGTACCGCTCCAACGGCCAGCGGCGTAATGTTATGAATGGATAAATAATGACTGCCGTTTTCCATATGCCGGGTATAGTTAAAGGTCGTGAAGGCCGGTACCGTGTGGTCATTATAAATTGTGACGTTCTGATGCCGCCAGGTAATCTGTGGCGCATCAGTGTCCGCTTCTGGAGCAGGAGCATTACAAGAGAACACAGCCGTTCGGCCGACCGTTGTGCGGACAATACTTGGATCTAGTGGCGGTAGATTGGGCATGGGCAAAAGGATAATGTCGTCCTGCATTTGGTGTTCAGCGGCCAAAACTAGTCGCTCAATCCTTCCAACTGCAATTAGAAACATTAATACAGTTTACGATTAAAAGGTGGCTTGCTCACATATTCCGTCACAGAACCAGTGATTCTGTTTGATATTTTAATAACCTGCATACAAAGCGTAGAAGTACCTAGGGGGCGCAGGGTTTTCGAGTTAAGCTACATTTAAACCTTGGCTGATCCTTATTAGCATTAGCGCGATAACAACATCAAGAGTTTGGTTCCAGTTATATAAAACCTAGTCGATTGTCTGTGCAAGAACGTGCCATAATGTTGGACGATGGTTGACTTCGCCCCATGTTGTGATGGCACAAGCCGGAAAATAATTTAGGAACCGAGTCATTGGCGTCATTGTCAGTCGTACAGTGAACTGCGCCCGCTGCTTCGCATTAGTTCAGTTATTTTTGCCCGATTCGCTGCAGACAGTCCATTTCCGGTAAGGGTGATAATCTAACATGGGACAAAGATATGCCAGCTAAAGCACCGGTTTTGAACGGAATCATTGGCCATCATCGGACGGAACGTTAGCTATCGGTTATGGGAATCTCGCATTTGTTATATTACTGATAGTGCTGCTTACCGCGAGAAACACTACAAGCAGAGCCGAACGGCGGGGTCATTATGCACCAGTACGTTACGAGGCAGTAATTCCAGAATTCCGGAGCCGCAAAGGTCATAATATGCTTAACTGCAGTAATATCGGTTAAATTTCGCACAGCTCAGTATGGAAGCTTGTAATTGTAATAAAAATAATTACTAGTATTAAATGGTCAGATTTACTCTGATGTTAAATAATACTTATTGTTTAAGTCTCGTCATTGCTGCAGTCTGTTTGCTTATCTGTACAGCGCTGATATAAACTACGACGGTAACAGTCCCTCCGCAATGTCGGCGTTCTGCAATAAAGACATGTCCATATACTGTACAATAATTTTATCTGCAAAAGTACAGTGTCGCCGCGCAACTGGAATTGTTACTCGCATGGAAACTGAAGAGCAATTCGACAGCAATGAGCATGTACTGTACACATGTAAACGCTTGCAACAAAGCGATTTTTTCACTGCTGCTCACAACCAGTACTTGAGTCTTCGGCATTTCTCAACAATCGGTCAGTCCTACTATACCTACCTAGTGAACAACCGTTCATCAGCTCCCATGCACGGGGTGTGTTGCATGATGAGCTGTTGATCCTAGTTGATCTAATGTGTAAAAGGGAAGTAAAAATAATTTGATTCTACACCTAAACCTGTTTTGCGACTGTATCCGGTGCGTATCTGCATAAGGGACTGGAGATAGGGAACAGACAGGAAAATGACCGGACGTTCAACATGAACAGTAAACGTGACCGGTTGTTAAAAAACTGAAGTGTTGTGAGAGCTACCATAAGTTGTACCACAGAGTTTGTGTACGTCTGAAAGCAGGAGCATGCACAAAAAAGCAAGCTGCCTGTGTGCTATTTTCTCGTACACATACTCTGTGGTACAACTTGTGGGAGCGGTGCATTTTCGATAACGCGGTCAAAAAGACATCGATACGTAGTTAATGCCTATAAAGTATTGTAGTTTGCAAATGCACTTTATTAAAAACAAGATAAGTATTAAAAGCATAAGTTTTGATAATACTGTATGCATAGTACGATATCATTGTTGTATGTATTCTATAGTTGTCGGTTGCTAAAAATTTAATATAGCAGTGTGAAATGGCACCGCATTATTTAAACACAGTACAGTACCTATAGTACAATATGCCGTATCTTTATTCCAATAAATTTAAGAATGGCTGCGCTTGCTAAAAAAACATATAAACGCCAAATCACTTTCAATTATTGCAATTGCACAGAGTCAGGTTTTGATGAGAAGGATTTGGTGGAATATGCGCGCCGGTGTACGAAGTTAATTCTTGTTATACAGTATTACGTTAATATCTACAATGGAAAGTTGTGCATATTAATCGATTCTCACTAGCAGATGCTGCATAAATGTGGGGAAGCGGAAAATCCAGACGACGTCAGCTAACTGGATTCCTGTTTGTAGTGCTTAAGCAGCAGCCGAACAGGAATTACACAGGTCAAACCTCTTGAACTACACCGTTAACTGAATGTTTCCCATTATGCATAGCTCAACAAATTAAATACCGCATGCCACAAGAAGTTATTTTCCTTTCTCAAACTGCCATTGTCGCGACGTGTATCTTTCAGTGAATGCTCGTAGCTGTAGAGACAATGGCTCGGATCGGAGACTTCTATTTTATCTTGCTGCTATCCGTCGCTACGCTTTCTACGTACGCATAATTGAACAATACAAACTGTAATAATCATATTTTGCTAAAGTTAATACGATAAGAATTGTTTTTACAAGAAAAAATTAGCTATAAGATATTATGAAACTTCGTTGAACACTTTTCTTTTTGCGTACTAGTAATTTTTTTACTTCAGTTGCAATTTTATACGTACAGAAATGGTTGCATTTGCAGAGTATCAGCCAGAAGGAAGAAATTCCCTCCGAGCGGCTTCCAGCAAGATCCCGAGAAGCACAAGCACCAACAGTATGAGAAACTGGAAGCCCATAAATCTCGTCACGGACAACGGGGCGCCGCGATCGTGCCAGCGACATTTGACTCGCGGCGTGCTTGGCCTAACTGCACCAGTCTATCGCTTATCCGCGATCAAGGTCACTGTGGAAACTGTTGGGTAAGCATTGTGTAATTGATTTGGCACTGTCCAGTGCCCATCACTTTAGTATCATCAACATCTGATTCTGCTCAGTGTTCCCAGCGCAAACTCGTCGCTCTTTCTGTTTCTTCATTTTCTATACATGGGCTCCTTTTTTAGGCCGTCTCAGCCGCCAGCGTGATTTCCGACAGATTGTGCATCGCGTCCGGCCAAACTGACCAAACGATCATTTCAGCCAGTCAGGTGGCGGGATGTACGGATACCTCGCGAACACCACAACAGAGGTATGTAAATTAAAGGCGTATACAAAATACTGGACTTATTGTACACAAAGTGCTGCATTTATATAAAGCACTGCAGTCCGCATTATGAACAGAACCTGCTGCTCTTTCATACATATTAGTTTTTTATTTCGTCAAATGTTAAAAAAAGTGCTGTTATATTGTCTACTTTGCAGAATTTCATATTTATTTTTTTTAAATTTAAAAAAAGTGTTCGCGTTTAATCTTGCGGCCCAACAGCACGGGCAAGTGTGTTTGGAGGGTGGTAGACGTGTGATTGATTCGAACAGTGCAGCTGTACGAAATAACGGTGATGTCGAAGCATATAAGAAAGTATGGACCAATTAGAAAACTGATCAAAATAAAATAAATCAAAACGAAAATAAAATAAATCAAAATAAAATCAAAATAAAATCAAAATAAATAAAATAAATCAAAATCAGAACAAAAATGATATCACACGGTTTTTCTTTCTGAAGTCCATATATAAAGCTTTTTTTAAACTTGATTATGATGTACTCGTATAACTTAGATGTGAAGCGGGAGGAGATCCAGCCAACGCGTACGCGTTTGTTGCATCGCGCGGGGTGTGTTCCGGCGGGATGTACAACAGCAGCAGCGGATGTATACCGTATTCCGTATCACCCAATGAATCGGTGCCGCAGCAGTGCGAAACGCGCTGCACGAATCTGAATTTCGGGAAGACGATTGACCAAGACCAGTTCACAAGTATGTGCGACAAAAACTCATGCAAATGTAGATTTCATGTTTGTATAACGGGACATTATTTGCAATAATGTGAACCGAAGTTAAGCCGATAGTTTCTGATTGCTTGCTTTTCGATTTAAAATGGCACTGTGAACATACGTGTGTTGAATTGTCACAATTCGCAGTCGACTCTTATTGGACTAATTACGCCCGCGGCATATTGAATCAATCCGGCATTCTTGACCACATGCGTAACATGCAGGACGACATTCTCCACAATGGACCAATCACAGCGGCCATTTATGTCTACGAAGATTTTCAAACTTGGAATGCTTCCAGAGGTCGTTAGAACTTTTCGCTAATGCATTCGTAATGATTTGGCGACAAAAATTAATCTGTGCGTTTATTTTTTAAGGTCCGTATTGTCTGCCGCCCGCAAACGCTACTCTACTTGGTGCACATGCGGTGCGAATCATCGGATGGGACCGAACATTGCAAGGCGTAACATACTGGCTGATTTCCAACTCCTGGGGTGAAGATGTGGGTGATCATGGAATTTACTGGATCGAAGCGGGAAAGAATTGTTTAGGCATCGAAAACTTCATTTCGGCACCCATCGCCAGACTACCCAGTTTGTGTACTACAAACAGTTTTTGCGACCGCGCTATTAATCAAGCCGTTCGGGTGTGGCAGAAAGATCCAGCGTCCCCGGTTTTCCTCTTTCAAGGTAAAGAAATTATACGTAAAGCATACAACAAGCGCTCATCATGCCAGTTGCGCATGAGCAGCACACTAATTTTCAACACTATTAGAAGGGTCCTAATTTTATCCGATTTGATTATAGATAACTGTGTCCTCGCGGTTAACCTTAACGCAACCGATGGCACAATGTGGCCAATTGGCAACGCTGAGCCAATAGCCAAGGCGATTATCGGAGCGCCACCGGGTCCCATTAACAAATGGATGTCGTATAACAACCAAGTGATTCTTATATCGGTAGGCAGATTCAAATACTTTGCAACATACTTCCCACTTTACGTTTACATGTGTGCTTTGCTCGTATACCCCTAACCAAAGCTGCAACTGAAAATTTTGGTTTAGTCCACCAATGATGCCGCCCTAGACTGGAAAACCATTGATTGGCCAAAATCTCGCAAGACAACATCGGTTGGCGGTGTTGCCGGTACCGGGATCATCGCGCAAACCTATGCCGGCTCCAATCTGTACACTTACTGTACGTTATGCAGAAGCTTTTAGATTCTGTAGCAACTAAAGGTTACGGATTTTCAGATTCCGATGCTCTGAAGCATATCTACCTGACGAAACAGAACGGAAATTTCACCATGGAAATCGACAATCGCATTGACTATCTACTGACCAGTGTCTTCCGTCAAGTGTACTCTTTCTTGGATCTTAGCGGCAAACAGCTAATGGTCTTCGGGACACCGGTAAACACAACATCACCCGAGACGTTTGTCGGGACACTGGCTTATCCCAACGCGAATTTCACGACTTTCACCGTAAGTGCCATCAAAAACTGCGATATTCTAGGCCTGCCTAACCCTGTTTTATTTGCAGTGGATGACTCCCATAACACCGCTGAGGAATTATTTAAAATGCAGTTAATAACGCCAGTTTCTCAGAACACAATTATAATCTGCATTTTGATTGCGTGTGCTTCTATAGCTAGCCGTTAGCTTTACTGGAACTTCTTTTTAGCTATTTTAAGCTAACCATAGCGCAATGTCCTTGCGCGGAAATGTATCACATCCAAAAGGTCACCAATTGGAAAATTATTGTACGGCGCTGTATTTCCTTTGATTGTAATCAGAAACGGTATCACCAGATTATACGGGCATATATATCCCCGAAATAATACGTGGAAGGTCATGTCCTCTTGTAGCCACAGCCACATCCGCACGGCATACGTCCGCTGGGAATTATGGCACATCCGACTCCGCTGGCGATCTCGTGAGAACAATTACGAAAACGTCGGATACAGCGGAGAAAAACAATCCTATTGAGTTACAGTCAAGCGAAAACAGTTTAAGCAGATTAACTTCCCAACAAACATGTGCGCCACGAAAACACTTTCTCTGTTCTGGTCATGTTGTTCGTGCACGGTTCAGCGGAGCTGCTCAGAACCTCATACGCGCGTGAAATATTCCTCTTCTGGCAGCGGTCGTCATTAGACAATTACAATGTATTTCTTGTGCATTACGTGTGCATGTATAATGCAGATCTGGGTGTAATTACACCAAAGGAAGGCTCATTATTCTATTAGTGCTGCCATGCACCCAAGGTCTCCTTTAACTCCATATCTAACGGTGCATTGATACACCCAGGCGCGTGTTCACTGTCGCTTCCGTTCTACCGTCTTGGTGGCCCTTGTATTTATTTCCGCTAATTTCTGCCCCTGCTGATACAGTGCCCTTTTGTTATCGCCTCATTCCAGATTATACCGGCTCATGTGCATCCTTTATGCTGCGTTCGTCGTGAATGCCGGGAGAAATAGGGGCGCGCTGTTTCACCACTTAATTGCCGTTATAAACTGTGCACTTTTTATCCTAATCCAGCTCAACGGGAAACATTCGGACTAGTAATTGTGGTTATCGACACGGTATTTATCGGTTTGGATCTTGTATATTTATGCGCGGTAGCGTATTCTTAAAGGGCACCGTGATACGGCATATTCTGTTAACTCCTCTTTTTGATTTCGCGAGACAATTTCCCTTCATCCTCCCATTACGCCATATGACTTGAAGATGCATACCGGTATTGTACCGGCATATCGCTTATTACAGGCATGAAAAGCCTGGCTCCTTTCTAATTCGCTGCCTCGTCTCCGATTTCTCGCGATGAGCTCAGCACATGATCTTCCGACTAGCTCTAATTCCAGCTATCCATAATTAAAAAGCTTTTTCTCCGCCGTTAACGGATATTGCATTAGGGAACCTGAACAATGTGCCGGTCTTTATGGAAACATATTGATCCATCGCGACGCAGGGCTCATAACGGATTTGCTAAGAAGATTAACGGGCTTCTCGAGCGCTCTCTTTCCTGCATACCTGTGTACCCGCCTCCGTGTGACATATCCACGCCGCATAACGGGAATTTGTAATAATCCAATTTATCCGAAGCCGTCGCTCATATCCCCGGCTGTCTTGTGTTTCCGATATACGCCAGATCATCATGTCCTGATTAATTACCCTAAATGCACTTCTGCGCAGCGTCGTTTGCAAATGTTCTTCTTTGTTTAAATGGACTACATCCATGGTTTTAGCATTTGACACGATAATGGACAGTTTTGCCACCAATACCACTTTATCCGATAACTTTACTAGCAAACTCAAGATATCGCACACCAATTTACCATACGTGGTAACCGCCGCATTCCAGCTGATTATCGTCACCCTAGCTTTTGCGACCAATGTCCTCCTAATCTTCGTGTACGCCCGATCATCCCAGCTCTACACCGCTTTTAACATTTATCTCCTATGCTTGTCTATCGCCGATCTACTGAAAGTCACCTTAGGCAGCCCCTTGAGCATCATCGTCGGGATCGCCGGGGGAATATGGCCGTTCTCCTTAAACCTCTGTTATTTATTCTTATACACCAACTGGACATTTTCCGCACTGGTCTCGGCCAACTACATGATCCTGGCCATGAACCGCTTCTGGGCGCTAATGTTTCCCACCCATTTCAAAGCCCATCACACCCATGCGGTGGCCGTGGGCTTCTGCATCCTGACGGTGCTGGCCGCCCATGGTGTGGCCATACCGGCATTGGTGCAGGCGGTGTCCGAGAAGCAGTGCTATGCCAATAATGCCACGCAAGTGATGTGGTGTGTGCACGTCATCTTCTGCTTGACTGTGGCATTCTGCGGAGTGGTTTATCCCATGGTGGGCTATGTGGTCTGGGAGCGACGCCGATTGGTCCGGCCGAAGCGCGATCTTCAGACGACCTTGGCCATGACGTCGCACACGCATGAAGCGCTGGGTAAGGGTAATCTCATCAATTTCTCCATTGTTCCGCATGGCCTGATTGGTTCGTAATAACAGTCTTAATGGATAAGTGTGTCTGTTGCAACCTTTACACAGGAGAGTACATTAATTATTAATCCGTAAAATCCGATCCTGAGTATCTGAACTGCATATGATACCGTATATGCACGCTAATCTGCATTAATTTTTTCTCAGAAACCAAAAATATTAATAAGATAGTGGTTCTAAAAAGCAGTAGCAGCTGCCAGTAGTAGCTCTAATGGGTCTTAGTTTGTTTAATAAACAACCTTCACATCGGTTGTTTGGAAAAATTACTTATACAGTAGTACTACAACTAAAGCAGCATAAGTTGCTAATATCTGTATAAATTTATCGTGATAACTCGTATGACAAAAGGATATTACTTTTGCTACAACATGGGAAAATTAAATTTTACATTCGCTTTGAGACAGCTGAGATACATTATGGTGTTTCTAGAAACCGTGGAAAAGGTCAGTCTTTTGAATTTCGTAATTGCATCAAGTCTTTCGAAAACCATAAAGTATTTGCGGTATCCAACCGGCAGTTCTAGATCTAGCTAACAACTATTCTTTTGGTTTTGCAAACAGTGTGTTTCTGTTAACTGTAAACTAGATATCATTGTTCACTGTTTTGCTTACGTTTCAGTTCTAGCACGCAGTCTTTTTAGCACACAGTTCCTCTGCGTTAGCAATTACCGTTATATGCTTTACAGAACAAACATTCGGCAAGGAGTCGGTTATTGATTTTCCATCGGTAATTATGGGAAACCATGCGGAAAACTACAGCTACTGGGCGCACGTTACCTCCGGTGTCAGCACCTCCACATCCACACAGCCAACACGCCGCTCACCGCCGCAGTATCCGCGCAAATCGCGACGCTGCGCCGTTAAGGCGCATTTCAATGTTTTCTCCACCCTAACAGCGGGCGTCCTGACCTTCTGGACACCGTTGGCGGTGTATCTGACGGTGAACTACTTTACTGATTACACCGATCCACTGGCGTACGCGTTTGTTTTAACCCTACAGTATGTGACCTCCGTCATGAATCCCGTCCTGTACGTGGTCACCAAGCGGGAATGGCGCACGGCATTTAGAAAAATTATGGGTCATAAATGATAAAGATTTGCCTTTGTGTTTACATGGTGCATTGCTTGCATGTTGCCTACAAAATTTCTTGAATGATACAGAATTTCTTTTGCAGTTTCTATAAAGCCAACTGATGCCACTGATGGTTGTGTTTTATTTTTCACAGAGCCGCAGTATTATTGTATTAAATGCCGATATAATCAAGTTTTTTCTTAGCGTACTATTGAGAAACATTTCATACGCCTTAGCTTTGCCAGTACGAAAGAAACACTTAAGAAACCGTTATCTTCTCCACGAAGTTTCGACAATGATTTCACATTCTTGATCCCAGTCATCGACGAGATACGGTTTGGCTAAGATTTTAAATTTATCGAGAGGACAGTAGGCCGGGCAGTGTGGATTAATCAACACAGTTGGCTCTGCGGTCGGAATATTGTCGGGACTACAACAAAAACGTTTGTTAACTGGGGTGTGCAAATTGTACTGTTAATGACGCTCTTACTCGTTTTTGTATGAAACACGAACAGTGTGGTTGTTAAAGAGTTCCACAATCACTGCAGCCTGTAAAACAAATTTTGTGCGTACTTCGCCACCAACATCGATCAACAAAAGCACCGTAAACAAGGTATGCTTCTGTACATGCCTTACCCCATATTTTGGTTGTCCAAGACCGACAAAATCTCCTTCCGTAACATTATAATCGTAAACTCCTAATGTTGATAAAAGCGCCGCAACCGCATTGTCGTGCTGAAATAACAAACAACAATACATCGATACGCTTGTGTAGTCTACAATCGTTGATATATTCATTTGAAAAAGTTCTCAATGAGTAAAATAAAATTTTCAAAACCCGTTGAACATTGCTCGAGTTCGTGGGATACCACCAGGTCGCGAAAAATACATTATTTTATCAAAGCATACTTAATAGTTCTATATACAGACACCTAAACTTGGACACCATGACATACCGCTGAATAGATGTAGAGCTTAATATCATCCTCCGGTTCCGTAACGTTATCCATGGTAATGGCCAGATGTTCCAGTATAACTTGCAACATTCGTCCACCGGCCAGTCTGGCTCGTGGGTAGTCGGCGTTAGCACCCGCTTTCACATGGAAATCCAGCTCATGAATGCGTGTCATCTGGCGCAGCATGGTGTCATTCATCCACGCCGGCATCGCGTAGCCATTGGACACTTGACAGAAGGTCACATCGCGCACACGATTCATGATGTCATAGGCATCGGCCATTGTCTTGATGTTGCTGGCCTCTCCACTGTTTTGCGTAATCCAATCAAACAGCGGCTACAGCATTGATCACAACGTGAAGCAATAACGACAAACGAATGTCGAGATATTAAAACTTAAATCAGAACATACACGGTAATGGTCGTACAGCCGTTTGGTCTCAGGATGGCTCATCTGTTCTTTTTTGAAGCGCTTATATGCCGGACAGTCGGTTTTCTGGCTGAGTAAATTTTCTTCCTTCTCAGGAACCGTGTGGATCGATACAGGACGCCAGATTTGGCCAAGCTGATTGTCCCATTTTTCGTCAGCTGTTGGGGGAAACATACCGGCAGCAAATGCTCCGGCGCTGTGTAGTGTACGGTCCGCGTCCGAAGACCGTATGTATATCTGCGCGCAAGCGAACACTCGGGTACGAAAGCGTGAAATAATGCCGCAAATTAATATTAGTCCCGCTGTGAGTTTATAATATGCAGGTAGAAATACTCAGCTATGGCTTCGAACTGTAAAAGCTAGTTAGAGCTTTTGCTGTAGCTTACCTGACTTCGAGCGTTTTCAGCATCCAGAAATCGACTGTAGCGCGGTTTAAAAAATTTGCCCATTTCGTATAGTTGTTTGGTACCCTTGTTTGTTAGTTTGCCCAGACCTCCTTTCCAGATTTTCACACCATAAGGATCAGATTTGTAAACATTTAACGGTGCACGGTCACCATGGCGGAACACCTACCAAGAGTGAGCGTACGTGCGTCTGTCCTCACTGGATATGCCAAGCTCAAGACTGCTACGGAAGCATTGCCGCAATAATCTATGGGTCCATACTTCACACATACAGTACATTATTATTATGAAATAAGTAAATCGAAAACATTTTTCCACTTACAATGTGTACTAGTCGAAGATCATCAACGACATCCACACTTATCACAGTTAGGATCAAAGAAAACAATATGCACAGAGTGGTCCAGATTCGGAACCGCATGTCGGCGCGAAAATCTACTCAGTAGATACCACTAAAAGTATTGTACTGAAGCGGCACGGGCTCACTTATCAGTAACAAAAACGCATTCGCACATAAGTAGTAACTGCTAATAATGCAATAATTAAATTAAATCAGCGCATAACAATAAGTACAGTAAATCCAATGCTGAAAAAGCTGAATAAGCAATTGCGGAAATCCAAGGCATAGTCGAAAGTGGTAAATTGGCGTAACACCGATTTTAGGTGGATTAAATGCTATCAAAATCATTAAATTGCCGCAAGTGAACAGTTAACATTCAACGGGCATGTATCGTCCATGTACCGTGCACGAACCATGCATGTACCGAGCATCGTGATTACGGTAACCGATCGACCACAATCTAAAGCGAAAGCCGGAAATACTACATAGGACAGGTGATAAAAAAATTATACAGTACGTACAAAGTGTCTAAGATAATTATAACAGCACTTTTTTTGCCGGGTGCCGGTACCGTTTCCACATGCAGTGTAAACAACCACGATGTTTACCCATATTGAACCGTTATTGCAGCAACTGCGATACGGCATTGAAAAAATATCATACAATGTACGCCTAGATTCTATTTCGTATAGTTGCCAAACAACAAAAGCTTTCCTTGCTATATGACACTTTATTAAACCATCGCTAAGTGCTTCCAGGAAGACACGGGCACTCGCCACTTCACATGCGCGCCCTACACTAGTCCAACGTCAGATTCCGGAATCACGGCAACTATGGACATTACCGGCACAGGACGGCTGCCTTTGAACAGGTGAATCTGCAATATTGACTGCTGAGTCATCAAGCTAATGTATCTATTGTGTGAGTTATTCCGCAGACATAACGAATAAATGAATTTGACCAAATTACTTATGTTCGCTTTTACAAACACCGGTATAAATTGTAAGGAATGTGAAATGTACACATGCTGTGACAAAAGCTGTTGTCTACCGTTATCTCTCCTTGAGAAGGTTGGTTTCCGATAAATTTGAACAGTCGAGCGAACGCGAACTTTCCACGCGGAACCACAAATGGAACCTTAATTAAAGTAGCATCATGTAAAGTACAGCTAATTTCTTAGCAGTTGACGTCAAGCTGACGGGCGCATGAAACATAATTATCTATGCTGGGAAACGCGTACAGACTGTACTGTACCTCAATGTATGTTTGTGGTAGCGCGTACATTGTCTTGTCGCTTTGTAAGAAAACACTGTAGTCTGTCATGGCCGTTTCCGTTGACATGTTTTGTACTCTAACAATCAGTTTGAAAAATGGTCCCGATCCCAATAACTGCGGCAAAATAAAAAGTTATTGGCACAAATATTATTATGACGCAATATTTAACATGTCAAGATGCCGTTGGAATAGTTGTGTACCTGCGGAGTTATGAGGACTTCCTCCTGTACAGACGCATTTCCGCTTTGAAGCTGCAAGGATTCTGCATAGCGCTTATTTATTTCATATTTCATGCGGGTGATATTGTCGAACACAGCGGTGTTCATTTCTACAAAAAAAGGCCTCCTATAATTTTGTATAACAAGCATATTTTTGTGCAAACTTTTCACAGTTTATAGCTCTGGCACAAACTGCGTCGTGCTGACGCATATAAAAGTAAAAGCATTAATTTACGTAAGATGTTTAATACTTTTGCAGTTCTCCCTCTCTCGCTGCGTTTGGTCTAGGAACAATGTAGATCGTTTTGGTATCAGCTGCTGAATGGGTTTTATGACCTTTTCGGTTGTTATCTGCTCAAATTTGGCTCGGCGCTTAATCAGCTTGATGATGACAGTTCCGTCTAAATTAAACGATAAAAATATAGTGATACAGTTTCAATCACTATGACTTTCAACTGCTGCATTAATACAAAAATTCGCTTACTTCGTAACACCAGTGCCAGTGCTCCGTCTTCCCGGTCAAACTTTCCATACTTCATAGCCGTAACAACATCATCACACGTGAACGTATCCACTAACTGGTCCTCTTTGAAGAACAGCACCTCCTTGTTCATCAGCGCTACCGCGACGGCTTTAAACCCGGTCGGCTCGTATTTAATCACTTCCGCACATGCGATGGGATGTTCACATTTGTGATGTAGTTCGTTGTTTTTCTGTCAAGTCACGAAACACAAAGCTTAAGCAACAAAATTACCCAGTTCCGTATGCGATTAACCTTACTCCTTTGTAGAAGTAAATGACCCCATCCATACACGGAACCACCAGGTGTTTTCCGGTGTTGAGCATCGTAATGGGACGGTCGTTCGGTGCGACACATGTGATCTCCGAAAAACTGACAAATAATTCTGTTTACATCCGATACCTGCATTTCTGCGAAAAGTTTTTGTGCGTACTCTTTTGTAATGGTGTAAATCTTGCCGTCACGACACGAGATGAACAATCGGTATCGCTCATGGAATGTTCCGTGGGTGGCCACGGCAGCCGGCACATCGGGGACTTCGTGCTGTATGGGATAGGACAACAAATTAATACAACAGAAAACCATAAATCAGTGCACGCAGTAGTGAACTACCTGAGCTTTAACTAGATTAGTCAGCGCATCGACGATGTAGAGATGCCGGCTTTCCGTGCCCAGCACGAGGTATTGATCGCTGCCCTCTTCTTTCAGCTTCTTATTGACGGTAGCCATGCAGGTGATCACGGAAGACCGAAACAGTGGTTTTTCGGAATATTCCTGGACGAAGTAGTCGCGCTCGTCGTTTGAGATCAGTAAAAACCTATCATCAGCAAAATAAATAAAAATAATGCATTTAAAAAAAGGTTTGAGATCGTACGATTTTGTGCGCTGTGTGAATAATGCTTCCGAGTAGGTTTCTTTCAGTGCATTAAGCTTGTTAAATAAATCTGGAACCGTTAAGCGCTTCTGCAAAATAGTCAAAGTTACAAAGAGAAGATTAAAGACAAAGATTATGAACCTCTCTAGCAGCGGTCCATAAGTCTTGCTCTTCTTTTAGTGGCTGGAGATGGGGTAGTTGATAACGACAAAGAGGTTTCATCGTTTTATAGATCAGAACTGCATTTCCAACCGACACAGCAATGGCTGCAAAAACCGCTGACAAGTCATCAAATTTCGCTCACTGAACATCGTCCGACTAGTTCTTACCTGGCACAATTCGTTTGGCAGCGTCTGGAGTTTCCAGATGCAGAGGAAGCACGGCAGACGGGAATTCCGCCAGCTTGAATGCATCGCGCCACATCTGACCTAAATCCAATCGGTTGCGAACTTGCGATGTTGCGTAGCCTTGTGAGGGACAAAGTATCAAAAACAGTTGAATACTGTATTACCGTCCAGTGAGCGCAGTCGAATTTCGCCGCTGGTGTGACTGAGTTCGCCCACCACCAGCGCGCACTTTCCGTCGCCTCGGAGATCCGCCAACGCCATACATGATCCGAAGGTAAATATCCGCGCATCCTGGTCTTCCACCAGCGTTATCCATTTAGCAGGGATAGGCGCCGGGGTAGGACTGGAGTTCCCAGAAGAGGGTGCAACCGGTTGAGGCATCTTGAAAGCAGCCATTATGAAATGTTGTCCCGGTGTCACTTTATAGCAAGCTGCCGTGTCGCTTCACCACCGGCCTTAGCTGCGTTTGTACGGCTGGCAATTCTGGAATGGTTCGGTTAATTTTGGTACAACAGGGCGCCAGACATCATGCTTGACAACTTAAACGATACAACCAACGTAAGATGACTGCAGTTTCTGGGCAACATCAACAATAATAAATTGAAGATATCGGCACTTTAAACTCCGTGCAAATGTAAACTATGTAAACTCATCTCGCTCCTTGGTCACGTTTGTTCCTTGGGATATGACTGCACCAGATATCTAAAGTACCTAGCTATGGTTAACCCAGGTACAGATCAAATACCTTCGATCGATAACCGTGCGTGTACCTCAATAAGGGACACGATCGCCGCGTTTAATGTGTACTATTGTGTGTACCGTTTGATACAAATATCCATGATAACTGATTGCAAAATCTATTATAATTTCAACTTTCACTTGTGAATATTGCAATAATCCTCAACCTGAGTTTTCAACCAACGCTTTCTGTAATTTAGTGAGCACGTAAAAACTGTTTTATATTGAGACCTTTTCGTAAAAGTATGAATTTACGAGTACTGTGGCGACTATCCTAGTGATTACCAGTGCGTTCTTAATAATTACTATGAGCAGCTTTCTTATTAGCATTTAACAAGGAAACGTGCATGTTCGATGCTATGTGTAATTTGCCGGGAAGATCTTCGAAATTAAAGTTATTCGAAAGGGATGCGATGATGTCTGAGTGTGACCCACTCGCTATATATAGGCGGTACATCAGAACCAGATAAAAAAACAGCGTACATAAGGCTGTAGGCACGGAAAGTTGAAGAAATATTGGTTCGAATCGCACAACGGGAGTACGTGCGCGGAACCGCAAGAAAGAGGAAGTACAAATCCTTGCATATTTTTGATAGTCTACCTGCAAATGCATACGGAAGACCAAAAGTCAGTTTTGCTTTTTGTTTAAGACTTAATAAGACGATACCGTCTGCGTAATGTTTTATTTGTCGTGCACGTGTAAAGGTCATCACTGTGTACAATGGCTAACGTGCTGGCATCAGTGTGCACGTTTTTTAGCTACGTCACTCGTAGTCCCAGAAAACAGTACAGACCGTTTAACAAAACAAAACATTTACGAATCCATGCATTGCCATTAAAAGGTAAGCTGCATGAAAACTCAGGGTTGAACAAACGCTTTACAGAAATTTGCTGTTTAAATAACACACAAATAATGCAAACGTTATCAGTTCCGTGGGCGACAAAGTAAAGACTTCGCAATACTCCGAATGTCTTGACGAACATTTTTAAGGGCGTATCCAAATAATATGGGATCTAGAGTAGCATGCACTAATTTTAAGATCCGACCAACCCGGTAAAACTGAATACTGTCAGACATAAGTCCAAAGATAAAGTATAAGTTACTCGGCGTCCAGCATATTACGAAACTGCACGTAATTGCCGTCAAAACGGGAAATGATGACTTGACCTTTTGTGCCGAAACCGAGTAATCAGCCGCTGTGGCGTCTGCCCCTTGGAACGGCAACACACTGCGTTGCATGTTTTTCCAGTGTCTGTAGCAAAAATATACGTAACCCACTATGATAGTCAGCTCAGGCAAACCGTAGAAGATTATATTATAGGGCAACAGCCAATCCGGCTGGCCATACGAACTTATGGTGAAAGCGCAGTTGACACTGTCCAGTTGGCCTAGTCGGAGCACACTATCAACCGCAATGGACGGCACAACGTAAATTAAAATAACAATCCAACTACCAGCACAAACTGTAACACCAAAGGTTCTGGTATGGTACCGCCGGTAGACAAACGGCCACTGAATAGCCCAAAAGCGGTTGAGCACAATGAACATATGGGCTAATGGAAGCGTAGGACCAAGCAGCGACAACACAAAACGGTAGCATATACAGAATACCGCATCGGCTTGTGCCGATAGCAGGTATTTAATAGCGAAGAAAAAGGGATTTTGGGATAATAAAGCGCTTAATAAATTGGCACTGAGGAGACTCATAACATAAATGCCGAAAGGTGTCCGCAAGCTTCGATTGCGGCAGTACGATGCTAAAACGATAGAGTTGCCTAGTACAGCAAAAACACTGGCCGTTAGCATTAGCCATTGAAGGTATGTGAAGTAGGCCCATAAGGATGATACGGCTGTTGGTCTAGACAGCGCAAAAAGCGTGCTAGTATTGTTATTCATTGTGGGTACTGCCCTGAAATATCTTCAACGTTGCGAGAAAATTACAAGAGGTTAACTATTTCCGATTCAAATAATGAAGGGAATGCAAGCGCATCACTAGCAGTCTAACACTATATAAGCAGGTCATACGCATACACACATACCGAATATTATAGAGATAATAGAGCGTCGATGTCTTGAAATTTTCAATCTTATTTCGCCTTATTCGGTAAATAATACGAACTACTTAAGGATGACTATTATACTGTAGTTCATATAATTTTTGGCATGGACTGGCTCTGGATAGATAATAACTGCCCGCTTGCGTCTGTGGGCTAACAATTAGGTTGTACACATTGTCGCCCCCACGAGAATAGCTTATTTCGGCTACTCGATATGCCTTTAGAAAGGTAGTATATGGTGGCAATAATAATTAAGCGTGTTTGCATTTCTAGGTGCAATCTCATAGAAATAAACGATAAATTAGTATTGCCGTTGTCCCATTGACGTAATGCTCTCTCGCAAGGCAGGTTGCTGCACCTCAAGAGAACTGCGGATGTAGCCTGACAGCCTGTGTTTCAATGTTCATGCACACAGATATTTCAGCGAAAGGTAAAAATTAATAAACTAAAATAATTTAATTTCCGTACACGATGCATGATCGTATACACATGCAGCGCGCGGCAGCGCTTAATATTAGTCCTTTTATGTACGCGCTACTCGTACAGCATTATTACACGTTATTAGATCATTTTCCATCTTACGTAGCCCAAACTCAAAGAATAAGATCCGACGCACGTTCGAAGAGGAACACTTTTTTAAATTAATGCTGTTCTTCCGATATGTGCTTCGATATGATCATCACAATGACCATATTTGTCATCTGTGTAAAATACTGTATTTATTAATTACTTATCCGGTACGGTAAAACTGAAAATATTCAAAAGCGTCTAACGGTTTTTCACCACAAGGACATGGTCATCCAGTCAGTTCTGATTAATAAAATATTTAATCGTTGGGTAATCGATAAACAGTAATTTATATCAGGAACAGTTAGAAATCTAATTATATATCAGAACAGCGAAGCCGCTTTATTGTAAACAAAGCGGCAATATTATGTAAGCAACTGAAAACATTTTGCTTGAACGCCGCTGAAGAATTTGATCAGTATGATTAAATCATTAGACTGTGGTATATAAAAGTACTTGCCGTGCAATTTTTACCGGTTTGACTCCTTTTTGATCACATCATAAAAAATTATTGACTGAGTCGCGATGTCCGAGTGGTTAAGGAGATTGACTAGAAATCAATTGGGCTCTGCCCGCACAGGTTCAAGTCCTGTTCGCGACGAATTTTTTCTTTTTTTCCTTACATGTAATGTTACATTAATTTTACTTTCAGATTTGTACAAGCAATGCTTATCCGTTTTCGCTAAAACAAAAATAAATCGATAGATTATAACAAGACAAATAACTTTTTGTGGCTCTTTACCGTAGAACAGCTCACACTTCCCACAACGGAAGCCGGACTTTCGCACTGAATTTCTACACCATACATTTAAAGAGTACTACGGTAGATTATGACATTGTTTGAAACGCCGGCCCACCTCAATGATAAACGGACGGCAGGGGTTGGCGTCGCAACTTCCCATGGTTTTCAAAGCTGCCCATCAAAAAATCAGTGGGCTTTGACTAGTTGTGTTTCTTTCTTTTCTCCGGTATTTCATGGTCTCACTATTTATTGCGCAAAATCAAGTAAAGCTTTACAGCTGCAAAGAACGAAATACAGCTGAAACAATTGTGGAAGATCAAAACCGTTTTCATGATCAGAGCGGCCATTCGTATTTCGTACCGCATTTGGTTACGGTCTACGAAAGTAAAGTTCTTTTCATTGCATTGCAGGGGTCAAGGTCTATGACTGTACAGTATTATTAGCGCCCACGGTCTCGGAACATACAGTGTCCAAAGACACTGTGTATTCCGAGACGTGTAACTCATTGTTTGTAAATTGTAAGGTATGTATATTATCAGAAAGCAACATTTAAAGAATTAGTTGAACAGTTAGATGCAGTGTGACATTAATAGATAAAGACCCTGTGCAACACTGGCTTCAATCGGCAGCAAGAAATCCGGAAAACTCGCAAGTTCTTTGGCAGCGATACATATCCACCCCTTCATTCTTGATTATCATTACTTCCGCTTTCTCGATTTTATAGCCTGAGAGCGGGTCATTTTCATTGATTTGTGGAAAATGGGACGCAGTCAGCATTATTTTTCCATATATTTCCACGTATTCGACGATCGTCTGAAAACAACACGTGTATTGCACACGTACTGTATTTGCAAATGGTTTTTGATTTGCAGCGTGCCTCCGTATCCGAATACGGTTGGGATAACTTGTCTGGACGGTTAAAAGTAAATGTTAGCGAATTCGGACCGAAGCGCGTTGCCACGGACAAGCGGAACTGATATTCGCTGACTTGCTGGATCGCAAGACTGGTGTACCGCGCCGGCTGGCTGTCTAAACGGTAAAGAATGAGATCAGTAACCCCTATAGGGAGCGTACGCAATTTACCGCGTCTAAACCTATGGACATGCACCTAGTCGTATACAATACATCAAACGCATTACTCAGATACGTGCAAATAACTGGTAAATGTTTTCTTGGCAGCGATTTGTACCATTACTGCGATAGGTGAAATTGCGTAAAACCAGAGGAGAAATAATGCGTTGGAACTGAGTGGTCCATTGGTTGTTGTATGGCAAGCCAAACATTAACAGCTCATCGGTATAAACCTACTCAAACGGTAGTGCATTTATTTGCTTGAACCTTCTCTGTACTGTATGCAACTCGTGTTCTAACTATCATAGATTTTTCGGTTTTTTTAAATACTTTATTATACATTAGCACAGTACCACATCCAGTCGTGGAAGTGAATCCGTGGAGTAATTCCATGACAGGTCAATGGTCGTATTCCGTTTCAGTGCGCCATCAGAGCCATTCTTGTGCCGGTTATAAACCGTAAGCCTGATCACCAGATCTCCACCTGTACCCATTTCCGCTGCAGCCTTTTAACGCATAAACATTGTAGGTTTAAGAACATTCGGTAACTATACGCGTGACCGAAGTGACAGCCTGACCAGCAAGCGGTAGCGCGCTGTCGAGGTCAAGTGCTGTTCGACAACTTCATTGATCCTAATCCGGTAGGAAGTGGTACGACAACCGTGGTCTTCCAGAATAACATCCCGACCGCCGTTTGAATCTTGGAAAATCCGCAGTTTCTTTTTTGTGACGTTGCAATTTGAGGAATTGATCATATCTATCGCATAATATATATTCACTAAATGTCAAAGCATTAGAGACAGACACTCAAAATTATAACGATTATAACAGTACTCTTGACTGAGGACAAGCTAATTCATGGTATACCCGTTTCGAAAAAGGTGAAATCTTCGAAGGGGGTCACGGACATGTTCGTGAATGTTCGTATCTCTTCGTATGTTCCGTGATAGGACCAGGGTACAGTGCGTCTGTATGTTAGAATTATGGAGTCGTTGTTGGTAGTCATATTCTGCAAAACTCACACTAAACGCGACTCTTCGAGTAAAAGGAGACGGCCAATGTCAAAACGCCGACCGAATTTCCTGCCGGCAGAATTTTTGTCTGGTGAAAACGCCTGCCGAATTTCCGGTGGCCAAAATGCCGGCAGAATTTTTTTAACATTCATAACTTTAAGTATAGTCGAAATTACGAATACAAAAAGATATTACCTGCCTCGAGATATCCTTGCCACGCGATGGAATCCTAGGAAAGGTTTATGGACTCCACACTTACAATTACACAAGTATCTTTATCGGCACGATTTTACTGTTGCGTTGACAGCGTATAGAAAAAGAATTTCCTTCGCGTATAGAAAAAAAATTCCTTCGCTGAGTCAACTGTGCCAGTCTAAATAGTTACTCAGAAGTTATAACTGATTTAAGATGCGATTCAAAAGGGATCAAACTAGAATCACTAGATCACGCTTCGTTGTTATTGCCGCAGTGGCATTGTTGAACATCTTGTTTGTCTCTTCATTTTTGTTACCCTGCGCATCCTTTTTGTTCTCTCCCGAGCTTTCTATGCAAGCTGTCAATGCAACACCAGAAGCGTGCCGATAAGGACACTGCACTTGTATAAATGCGTGTAATAATAAGTTCATACGCCGTGTGTCAGACTGCCAGGTAATATTTCTTCAATATTAATTTTTGAATTTGACTTTCAGTAGAAATGTTAAAAAAATTCTGCCGGCATTTTGGCCACCGGAAATTCGGCCGGTGTTTTGGCCAGACCAAAATTCGGCCGGCAGGAAATTCTGCCGGCGTTTTGACATTGGCCAAAGGAGACTGTTACAACCTCAGTAACAGTATTCCATTCGAATTTCGTTGTATACTCGTACGACGTAATAGGCAACGATGTATCCCACTGAAGAACGGTCGAGAACGGCGTAGATTGCTTCAGAGCAGATGAAAAATTCTGTGAAAAAAATAATTGTTACATCAGCTATGTACAGTATGTTATATAACTTTTACTTTACAGCACGTCTGGAGTAGTTATAAAAGGCCAATGTCAAAACGCCGGCAGAATTCTCTGCCGACCGAATTTTTGTGTGGTCAAAATGCCGGCCGAATTTCCTGCCGACAGAATTTTTGTGGGGTCAAAACGCCGGCCGAATTTCCGGTGGTCAAAACGCCGGCAGAATTTTTTCAACATTTTCGATTTTAAAGCAGTTATAATAAAAATACTAAAACATATTACCTGCCTCGAGGTAAACTTGCCACGCGGTGCATAACAACGATCTGGGCACTCTAACAGTTACATAAGGAAATTTATCGGCACGCTTTTAGTTGCTGCTGCATGGACAGCGTGCATAGAAACTCCCGGGAGACCGGGAGAGAAAGCAAAAGCCGCGCAAAAGAGACAAACAAGCTTTTCAACAATGCCACAGCGGCAATAACACCGAAGTGTTATCTAGTCTGATCCCTTTTGAAACGTACCTGAGATAAGTCAGAACTTCTGAGTGTAGACTGGCACTAGTATTATTGTAGTATTGTCTGGGAGCGGCATGCATTAAACGGCGTCATCCGCAGTTCACAGCACAATTTGCAAATCATCTCGATGGTGCTGTTAACTTCACTAAAGAGGAGATGGCTGCAATCGCAAAATTCCGCGCTGAAATTTAATGGGCGACGTCGGGCTTAACGTTAATTTTGCAACATCTATGTTTTTTTTGTTTTGCTTGTTTTTATTAGTTTGTCAGGTATATAATTAGGTGATGGGGTTTTGAAAGGGCAGTGGATACTCCTTTAATTTTGCTTATTTGTCGGACAATGGAGCATGTCTGGCCGTACAGGTAGAAACTTCTTCTGAAACGAATACAGCACATAGGTAAATATGCTAACCCTTTATTTTATGCGAGGATCGCTTTAAGTTGGTTGTCCACCTATTTTGTAACACCTTGTTTGTCTCTTTTGCGCGGCCTCTTGATTCTCTTTTGCGAGTTTTATACACGCTGTCAAAGCAACACTAAAATCGTGCCGATAAAGATACTTGTGTAATTGTATAAGTGTAGAGTCCCAATCTTTGTTATACACCGCGTGGCAATGCCTCGAGGCACGTAATACTTTTTAGTATTTTTACTTACAGTTGAAAATGTAGAAAAAATTCTGCCGGCGTTTTGACCACCGGAAATTCGGCCGGCGTTTTGATCCCACAAAAATTCTGTCGGCAGGACATTCGGCCGGCATTTTGACCACACAAAAATTCGGTCGGCAGAAAATTCTGCCGGCGTTTTGACACTGGCCGTTATAGGCCATAAAACTATCGAGTTTGTTTCATGGTCCTTACCCTTCTCATGGATTCATAGACAGATCCGTTAGGATGCAGGGCACATTCGAAATAAGTGAAACCGGCTGAACCTTGCCCATAAATTGCCGCGTACTCGTGGGGTTCGTGATACCACTTTTGCGACAAGTCGATACTAAACTGGCTAGAAATTAGTGGCAGCGTTCCATTCAAACCTGCGACAACGAGCAACGGTTGATTGCAGGGTTTCGTCGCCATTTATTTGGCACGTCACGTACTGCGATTGACACTATCGCTTTTGTCCAGAATGGAGTTAGCAAGATCAACTTGGAAGGCACCCAACATGTACCACTTCAAGGATGCCCGATACAACGATTTTGTCTGCCCGTTGAAATTCTACAGTTTCGGTAAATATAAATATTTTAGATCACATCTCGCAAACGACACTTCGAAAGAGTCTTAACTAGAGCATTTCTGCTGTCCTCCGGTGAACCAGGAAAAGAAAATAAAACTTACAACTTCTAATCCTTCTGCGTGAGGGTTGAACAAAATAGTTGTTTCCGTAGCGCTGCAGTTGGAGTGACGCCGTATTGCGGCATGTATGGTGTTGTTTACAAGATTAAACATCACCTATTCACGTCAAAAGTGTTCTTATTTAATGCTATCCAATAAAATGCAGAGGTATGTTTCGATCATTTAGCCTCAACGCTCACATACTTGCAGAGTCTTGCCGTCGATGTTAACGGTGACCTTTTCATTCAGCTTGAACGGAATGCACTGCTTGAACACATTGCGTTCGTGCGAGATCCCCCGCAACGCTACGCAGTAGTCATATGAATTGCCCGAATTGTGAAGGAATTCGAACGTGTTCCCCGTAATCAAACTGTCTGTATCAGGAACGTCTGCGTGAATTTTAAAAAGAGAAGCCATTACATATCCATGACCAGTGAAAATCCGTAAAACATCACTTACCGAAAATATTCCAAAAAGCTTGTATATGGTTCATCTTGTCTTCTCCGTTGACAAATGTATTAAGATATATGTCAGGAATCCTTCTACTTAACAGCGCATTCTGCAAAGGCTTAATGGCACAGACCATGGCTGTAACAGGAGAAAGAAGTTGTAGAGACACGTGATCATACGTCGATTTATCAGCCAAAGCTGGGTGAATTATATGGAAAAAGCTTACCGAAAACGGCTGCTTGGAGACATAATGGTATTACAGAGACCGACATTTTAATGATATTAGCGTGCCCCTTCGATGAATTCGATTTTCTTGGTACGACTTGGTACCGGTATCACTGCGAGGTTTATTTCGGTAAGTCTGAGTACATAATTTCTGCAGGTGCTGTAATGCCACGGTTTTTAATATATATTTAGTGCGCACTCGTATATGGTGCAATTTCCGGCAAGAAGTTTGGCTTTGATTTTTAAACGCCAAGAGTAACTTCCCTGGTATCGTTGTACACCACAACACTGCAAATATCGGCTTATCATAGAAAACAATCTGTGGGTGTTATCGTATTGTATCGGTAAATCAAAGGTGCGGTAGGGCCTAAAATCAAGCCAAGCGCTATAATAATTTCTATTCTATCAGTCGTGCTCAGCAACTAGAAAACCTCCGTGAGAACACACTGGGGAGCAGTGGTACATGTTCACCCCGTTATCCTCAAAAATCATTTCGTGCATTTTCTCCCTTTTCGGATGGAGGGCATAGTGATCTCCCAGGGCATAGTAATCTCTTAACGAATAGATGGTGACAATCACTTTACCATCCATCTCTGCATATTCCACCACGCCCTACAACCAAACACATTTGCATATTTGTGGTGATTTCAGGCGATCACAGCAGAGACGACAAAAAAAATGTACCGGCATATTATGGTTATTTTCTAACATAAAGACCGGCGTGTTAAAACTAAAGTTGAAAGAGATGAAAGAGGAACCGTAGAAGATGCGGCTGGAGAAATGAAACTGGTGCTCGGACAGCTGCACGATTTCCAGACTGGTGTAATACTGCGATGTTCCTAATAAACGACAATGTATTTAATTAAATACTCGTGCAACTACATTTATTTCTATTTTCTATCTACAGTATATGCAATAGCACGGTTGATATATCACCTGTGCTGACAAACAGAAGAGCAAGTTCAGGAATTAACAGCTGCTAGTTACCCGTCTCAGCACTCTTAAACTTCTTCAAAACTAAAGGTGAAATCACGCGGCGAAACTGTCTTGTCCATGGTACGGACCGCCTTGCTTCTTGATATGCCTAACAAAAAATTTATATTATGCTTTCATGAAATCGGCATTTTAAGGAAGATACATTTGATTTATCTTTGCACCCATGTGCGTAAAAGATGGAGACTTTCATATTTATCGTAATGTACGTATATCATGCGATCAAGGTCTCGAAACTTAAATTTGTAAACAATACCACGTTCAGTGTCGGAAAAGGATCGCTAAAGTAATCCATCGACATCCGAATGGTGGAGTCCTTTTTAAAGCCACTTTCAGAGACACTGCTTGCATTCAGCTTAAAGGTCAAATCCCCATCGATGTCCAGCCCCATCGAACCCTGAATGCACGCGGCACGTACTTTTATAGTGTACGCGCACAGCAGGCAAAGCATTAAGCGTTACCTTAGTCTAAATCTTAAGCTGCCATTAGCGGAAATTTTTGACGTTTATTTCGAAATCTTACCAGTATCACGGAGCCGCTGGACGAGAGCAAATCAAAACTTCCGTTAATTCGAAAGCGGTAAGTGGCGTTCCGGTTTCCTTCATCAAACCACAAAATATCTCGGCTGTTTGGACCGTGGGAAATCGTTAGCTTTGGTGTTAATTGGTTACAGGGTACTGGATCAGAATCTACAAATGAACTAGTGAATCTGTCATTTCTGAGGATACTTTATTCTAGCATAACTTAAATTCGATCTTTCACTTTTATTTTTTATTTTCCATTCAGACGATGACTTAGTAGGGGGCAACCATTTATAAACACACATACTAAATAAAGTCATAATTACTGTACTACAATTTATGTTTTATTGTGAACAGGATGTTTGAATACGGAATAAAAAAACACCGGCAACTAAGCAACTTGTTTAGTCACGTTACTTAAACTTTAGCTCATGAATCCTACCTACGTTGCTGCGGCAGGTGAGCCCCTGTGAAGATCTAGAATGTTTGTTCGCAGTAGCAGATTTTTCAGTCTCCACGTAAGTGCCGTAATACGGCCAGGGCAATGTACGTTTGTAAACCAATGTCACGGTGTCGTTGTTAACGGTAATGTTCTGCAAAACAACCAAAGCGCTTTGGAAGAGCTTTAGTTAATTAAGTGTGTGATATGGTGCCATGACATTTAGATACCTGAGTGACGGTATTCCATTCGTATACCGTTCGGGATACGGAATAAGCGTTGGTCATTATAAATGTTGACAGTAGGACGGTCGACGTTGGTGTCGATTCTACTACGGTCGATGTCCAGTTGCCCTACCAAAACTATGTTATTCACGGAACGAACCGTTGCTTCCTCTGCTGCGCGTCTTACAAAAGCGATCTCATCATGCAGTGACCCGCCAGCCGTCACCACGGACTTATAAGTACCAGATTGGGCCGGACCGTGCGTAAACACTGTGATGAATTCATTTGGATGATCGTATTCGGATTGAAACGACCAAAAACCGCTGCGGCTTGACACCTCAGAAATCTTCTGCAAACCTGAAACCGAAGAATTATGAAACGACGAGCACGCTAGGTATGTCAGTCTTCTGTCTTATAATGTTACATCTTAACAATACATACTACCATACGTGGAGGTGATGCCTAGTGACCTTACAACGTACACTCCCGCCAGGCAGCCACTATTAAATTAACTAAAGTACTACTCGTATCTGTAGTTCGTGTTTTGCTTACTGCCGTTTTGACTTACTGCCGTTGACAATATCTAGTTTATCCAGAACCGAACTTTTCAAATCGATTTGGAAAGCGCCTAGCATGTACCATCTTGGTGTTGGTCGGTACACGGCTTTAGGCAGGCCGTTAAAGCTCTGAAAGTTGGTATGTACCGCTAAGTTCCCAATTACTAAACCGAGACATACGAACTTTGTACTAACCACTTCTATCCCTGCTTTGTGCGGAGTGAAAAGGATTATCGCTTCCGCACTAGCGCATGGTGACGGATTCTGCATTAGTGTATCGCGTTGTATGATGGCTTGAAGGCTTTCGTTAACGAAGCTGAACATCACCTATCGATGTACCCGCACCGCAATTAAATCTTAAACAATATTATTTAATGGTAATTTGTAATCCCTAGTATACTCGTAATGTACAGATATGATTACAGATATCCTTATATGCGATTAAGCACCATTTAAATTCCGGACTGCAATCGTGATTGTGCGTACCCGAAGTGGTCGAAACGCTACATGAGAGGACGTCCTTTGATTTATTTTAAACGGAATGCAAAATTGCAGTTCATCTGCTTCGTATTTTGGGGCGTTTTGGAGCGTTACGCAATATTCGTAAGTGTCTTTCTTTTGCCGGAACTCAACCGTATTGCCACTTGTCAAGCTGATAATATCGGGAATATCTGTCCACACAATGCATGCTTATACATGTAAATAATTTTTACGTAAACTTCAGAACAATCGGCGGATTATTCGGTCGCGGCAGCACAAAAGTTGACTTCTTACCAAAAATGCTCGATAATGCTCGAATGTGGTTGATTTTGTCTTTTCCATTGGCAAAAATATTGAGAAATGTATCGGGTAAGATGGTTCTCGTAGAAAAGCGATCCAAAGGATTTAGAGTGGTGACAATGCCTGCACAAAAACATAAATGCCGTAAGGCTACTGCTGTGTGAACTCAGCACGCAAAACGATAGCATGCACGTTTTCTGAAACTTACCGACAAGTATCGTCTGAAAACACTGCAATCGGGTAAAAGAGAACATCGTGATAAATTTTTATAAGAAATCTGATTAAGTAGAACGTTCGGAATGTGCACCCAAACTAATAATTATGTACAAAAATCAAAAAGGAAGTTACGGATACACAGCAGTCTGTGCGAGCAGTGATCTTTGCAGCTTGCGGACGCGAGCCAGCAATTTTGCACATGCACAACTGCTTATGTATTAATACTGGATTTCCATTTAATATAAGTGATTTTAGGAACTATTAGACAAATATCCCACTAAATTTTTTTACTGTACTACAAGCACAACAAGAACCGCGGTTCTCCCCATTTGCCGTGCTCTTTAGCACCGATTTTATCAAATAAATATCACTGAAACGATCAAAAAAGTAAGTCCGGCATTTTTCAGCCACAAGATCGCGCGATTTAAAGCCCAAACAACTTTTGTACGAATAAGTATTATGTATGCAGTAAGTGACTGTTAAGCCACCTTCCCGGTTATAAATTGCTACGTAATTAAATATAATTTTGCAGTAAGCAGATTTCGTCTGTTTGTAGTACTCTGTGATTTACTGCAGCGCATCATGTTTTACAGCATAAATGCAAGAAACTGAAGCAGTAGGCTGAAGCTGATTTATATATGGCGATCGCAAAAACGCCATATAATATTATACATATTTCATGGTAGACGCACGATCATGCACCCTATAGTCCTATTCGAATATTACAGGTTACAGACATTACTTAATCTGTCCCGGTGCGATAGCTGGCAGGGATGCTGTTTACGATACTTACAAACTCGTACTTCATCAATTTTTGATCTTTTGATGATTCGTAATAATAAATTATGATCTCTGAACTTGCCTACTGTTTCACGACATATAGAGTACCAGTGCTAAAACATTGGTTGCGCTATTATATTTAACGATATTTGCACGCCTTCAAGGTCATGGAAAATCTGAGATTTAGCTTTGACATAAATGATGAGATTTAATCTCTTATTTGCCAGTTAGGAAGCACAACGGGCCGGTAGCTTGGTAATATTGGGATCCATCTTTGAACGTTCGTCTGAATCTCTAATGGGTTATTTCAACATTCACGTGCAAATGCTACGCTTCGTTCAACCGCAGACGCCACAGTTTAATTGTTTCGCAGCACCCTTTCCCGTGATAACAGGAGTGGCATTTGCGTTGTGCCATCAATATTGTATGGACTGTATCTGTGTGGGACCGCTACTTGAAGGTCATCCTTTGTTTGTTGCTCCAGATTATTTTGGCAGGGTGGAATAATCATGGGTCAATAATTGTCCACCCAACAAAAGATGCGCTAACGTGATATCGGCAATTAATTCCCATAGGCTTCCCTCACCTTTTCGGGGATTCATCGTAATGATGTACGATGTATATTTAAACTGGTTACGGGAAGCAGTGGATTAGCAATTTGGCATGGTCATTGCCTGCAAGCATAACGTTTAAAGACTATCCAGAAGGTGAATTCCTGACTGCGCCAGCTTTATTTTTTAGTCTGGATAGAGATATTTTGACAGAAAAATATTCTGCGACTGTTGTTGAGCATGAATCTAAAGTGTCTGGATTACAAGGTCAGCGGCGTATTGGTTGTTCTTGTAGTGTTCTTAACATGGGGCTGCGAAGGACGAGCATGGTTCCGCAACCCAATGGGGCAATCCAGTCGGGCCCGGATGAATTCGGGAAACTCCATGGACTACTATCGCTATCGCAAAACAGTGGTATGTCGATACCTTTTTAGATTTTGACCAGTTGGTTTGTTGCAGTAAAATGTTGTTTAATTCTATTGACCATGTTATTGCCGGCCCTAAAAAGGTCACCACTTAGAAATATATTTATAGATTCGCGTGGGTAACTGTTATACGTGACTTATCTCTAACATTAGAAATGAATTCATAGATAGTAACAATTTATAATACTGTAATAAAAGATTTATTAACGGATTCGGACATTCGACTACGGTTTCGCAGGACGTTGATCCTTTCGAGATGGCGCTGCCTCCGCTTCTGTTCCCTCCGGCAAGCCGCTCCTTTATCAAATTTCAAACACTAGGGGCTGACCTGGGAGATGGGACAGGCACCGGAAATTTAGCATTCCCGGTCAAGCGCAGTTTCGGCTGGGGTCCCAGTGTCAGCCACATTGGCTCATGGCGGGACAACGACACCGGTGACCTCGCTTACCAACAAGCCCGCGACAACCTGAAAGAACGCGCCGTCAATATCAACATGCTGTGTTCATACTTTTCATCCGTGTCGTGTCTCGGGCGACGCGTATTTGCGGCCAGTGCCGAGGACTTCAAGAAATAGCAATTTGGCCAATTCAGTGTGTACAAGTGGTTTTGTTAAGGCGAACTTATGCTTCTACAAAACAAGAAAAAATCAGTGTGTTATCGACACTCAGCAACCTATTGCAATGTGTGGGTTACTTGGCTGAACTGTTTTGTACCCAGCTCTCTGTTTCTGCAATGCGCTTGGATATAACATTCTCGATCAGAAGGCATCACTTCATAAAATGCAATCCCGTGTTCTCTATACGCCACGGCTCTATCATCTGCTGCGGCGACAAAATCCACTTCAGTCCCATGTTGACCTACTGATTAAACGCTTTTACGTTCATAAGGTTTATTTAGTATCCGATTTGGCTTTATTAAAATTATGATTTTATGATGGATTACAATCTGTATATAGGCCTTGCATACCATTTTGAGTCTAAATAGCGTTTACTCGTAACTTGCTGTGAACACTTTTTAACGATTAATCCGTGCATCTTAGAATTTTTATGAACTGTTTTCGCTTTTGTTTGCCTACCAGGAAATCCGCTTGTTTAACATGGTGCCTCGCTGCTAAAGAACTGAAACTTCACGTGATTACCTTGACTATATAATATTAAATTTTGATAAAAAAGTTGGTTTCAGCGCGTCGCAATGATTACCGACGGGGGTATTTCGGAATATATTGCTATTACAGACATAATAATAATTATACAAAACGAGATTTGCGCTTAACAAGCCAGCTAGGTACATATATCAACTACATGAGTACTTCTGTAGCGCATTGCAACTGGGGACATTAGAATTAAGAACTCGAATGATCATATAATATATTTACTACATGTGCGGTGTGCCCGTATAATTCCTCAGAAGAGTTTAATATAGATATGCCACAACATCTGCTGCAATGGTCTTTGATAACTGCATAAGCCCATGTATGATGTAGCAAGGGGTAAAGGCAAACGTACTGTAACTACTTTACTCTGTACTTAGTGGGTAGTTTGCATTACTTTCATATAACGTCATAACGATATTGTAATATCGTTTATTCTTTTACATGGAACGACTCAAAGTACCCGTACACATCAAAGTAAATAGTAATGCTGCTGTTCAGATTTGTCACTTCTTTGAGCGGTGCTCCGTACGTTCCGTCAGCTTTCACATGCACAAAACCAAAATTACTTAAGTGCACCTTGAACAGTGACTACGAGTCAATAACGAGTGGTATTATAAAATAGCTTTACTATAAAATAGCTTTGCTATTACTTACCATACGAGTATAATACTCGTATGGTAAGTAACGAACAGCCTGTAAAAACTGGCTTACTGAAGAAACATCCGATTTCCCTGAAACCGTCGGCACCAGACGGGATCCCTTTCCGTCGGTCGGACAATCCGTATTTCTTTTACGCCTTTTGCGCGGCACTTCCATATTCATCGGTCGCGGCTTGGTGACCGTCGTCGATCTAATCATTACGCTTGGGTGACCTCCGACCATTTCTTTGTTTTTCAGGGATTACAGTGAAATTTCTCGAAACGGGTTGGTCATATGCGTCGAGACTTAACGTCGAAACACCGATAGAAGTTTTGTCCTGTACTACAAATCATACCTGATTGCCTGTATTTTACAAAATCGGTGTACCAACTACTAACCAATTTAATCTATTCGAGTGCAAGTACTCGATCCTACTGCCCTTTTAAAACTTATGGTTATTACAACTTATATACTTAATTACAAGCACAATATCCGATGTCAGCTGTCTGTGACCCTGTATGTACCGTGTGGATGACAAGTGAACGATGATCTGAAATTCTGTGACCCTGATGACAAGTGAACGATGATCTGAAATTCTGAATACGGGTTACCCGTTTGCCTTGTGTTTTACGAAATGTTGGATCGTTTGCCTTTTAAAATATTGCATTTCATCCGTTAAAGATGAATTCTGACGTACGCCGATATATCTACGTACGCCGATATATTTTTTTTGTGGATCTCTAGTTTTGATCGAATACAAAGACAAGATTACAATTCACAAAAGAAACATCAGCTCGTAATATTATATTATTAATATTAACAAACAGCAGAAACATGCGGCCGGATTACAGAGAACATTTGATCTAAATTAGCCGAGGCCGGTGCCGTTCCTGCAGGATGGATGCCGCGTTTCCACGTTGAATTTCGATGCTGTACCTCTGGGCTCTGGCGCAAAAACTCCGTTGCACGCTTCTCGCCTGTTTCCTGCCATATCATCTTGCCCAGTTCGCTAATCAGCCGGGAGGCTTCCGGTCCGAGTGGCCCCACTGTCTCCACGCCGACCGCTCGGAACAGGTGATCATGGGTAATGTCCTGGTACTTCTCGTTTGTTTTTCGTTCGGCCTGAGCCGCTGCTGCGCCGGCTTGTGTGGATGTTCCAGCGCCGATATACGGCTGCCGCTGCACATGGTACAATTGGTACTTACGCACGCCGCCCCCCGCCATCACGACGGCAGTCACGGCCTCATGTCAAAATGGGAGAAGAGGCATCGCACTGCAGCGCACACGCCGACCACCTACAAGCGCGCAGTCGTTGGAATTTCTTTCGGTGGTGAAATGAAAATATGAAGAAAACACCTCGGTTTAAAGTTTTCACTTTTCATATTTTTCATACGAGCGATTCCATCATGCTAGATGACAAGTGAACGATGATCTGAAATTCTGAATACGGGTTACCCGTTTGCCTTGTGTTTTACGAAATGTTGGATTGTTTGCCTTTTAAAATATTGCATTTCATCCGTTAAAGATGAATTCTGACGACATAACTGTGATTGAGTCGGGATCCGTAGCTGATCTGAATCGGATCCTGCAGGAATTTAATGCCCGGGTACGTTAAACATCAAAGTGTGATTAGTGGGTTTTTTAGGTCCTGTTTCGAATTTTACAGCTTGGTGCTTTAAATTTGGAATGTGAGCCGCACTGATGGATTTACTCGGTGAAAATCAGTGCTCAGTGATTTGCTCTGTTGTGTTTAATATGAATTAAATTCTCAAACGAATTTTTGATTTTTTGCTCTATTTTAATTTGTAGCATACGTCAACATTTACTTTTTCTGGATTTGACGCCATCGGGAAGAAGGTAATTTTTTTATATTCCAGCCGTGAAAAACGGAACATGCATCATGCATGAATAATAACTTCGGAATAATGGGAGTTAATTAACATTTTTTTCATCATTTTGTGAGTAGCGTTTGGGCGAAATCTTAGCACGGAAACTATCCGCTGCGGAGTTTGCGGACGCCCACTCCAGCTCGCTGGAGTTTTTGCGTCTCGTAGCGCGGGATAAAACTGATCTGGAGAATCTTATCAATGATGATCTACTGCACATTTTGGCCGTTCGCGCCCGTCTGACGAAGGAATTACAAGGAACACTTCCGGCTGAACACGAAATCGGCGGTAAGCGTCGCGTTACCTGTATTCCCTATGCGCACACGCGATCGGTCTACAGGGATTTCTTAACAAAAGCTGCAATTAAAATCTGCTGACGTATAATCCTTTCTTTTTGGATGAAATCGATTTTCTCAAGTGCGAACCTCTCACAGGAAAATAATAAATATGTCAGAGAATGGTTTTATGGAATTTTCAATGGGTTTGGTTGGGCTGGTGGTGCGGCTGTAGCGAGTCCATCTTGTTTATGAAACCGGAAGTGAGGAAATCCATTTGGTGGTTTTCACGCGAAGCAATCTGCTATTTATTACTGTTTGTAACAGAATTTAATCCATCAGGCACAGGAAATCCGCGATGCTTTTGCAAATTTACAGTGATGGAATTAGCGGTTCGCAGCAGTTTTAACTTTTATATGGAGAAAACTAAAAATTAAAACCATCAGAATGATTTAAGAAATAGTTGAATTTGCACTTGCATATAAATTTTCGCAGTTGAATTTACTAGGAAGATTTTCTTGATGGCTATCGTGATTTGTAAAACCCGTAAAACTGCGGATAACGTTTTTACATTGCTTTGCAAAATTTCTAAATAAATTCTTACAAAAAAATTTAATTGGAAGTTTCTTTGACTTTTTATCGCTTCTGTTAGGCGTTCGTGCGTGGTATTCTGTTGTTTTTGTTTAATATTTATATTAATAATGAAAAATTTTGATTTTTTTATTCGTTTTTAAATTTTGCCTTGATAATAATTTGTATTGCTTTTCGGTTTGCCGCATGATTTGCTGGAAGGCCGGCTTTTTTGTGTACGTCAACATGTCGCGGACCAAGATAGAGTAAAGAGAAAACGCGATAGATTCATTAGATTGCAACGGCCATTTTTAGTGCCGTGATTTGTGCGACTTCCCAACTAGAAACGCCCTGTTCATTAGTGGTTTTAATCAGCGCGGCGTTAATCTTGCAGTGACGACAGAAGCCCAGAAGGTCCTATGCAATCTGGTGTTCCACAGTGCGTCGGGGCAGCGTTATTTCAGCCGCGAAGAGATTGTGGATGTGCTCATGTCTCGGATAAGCTCCAATAAGGAAGCTGCGCGATGGCCTTTAGAGAACCAGGTACAATTTTATCCCGGATTAAAAATTTAGTATTTTCGAAGAAAATCAAGCCGTTGATGGTCGTCAAGCCACACAACTTAATTTAATTAGCACTGTAGTAGTTCAAAAGCAGGAAACACGCAGGTTTAGAAGTGGGCAAAATTGGCAGTGCGTCGACTTGAATTTAAATTAAGATGTTATTGTTATAAGGAATGCTTAATTTTTTAATTAGTTGCGTTAAAGAGACAGTATAAAAAGTAGTTAAACAGTTTAGCATTCTCGCAAAAATTCGTAGGAATTAAGTACCGATGAAAATACCGGGGGAAATTTTTGAATTCCTGTCGTAGTATGCAACGATAGAAAGGTTTATAGACTGGTTAATAAAAGAAAAGAATTCTCTGAACTCGAGGCACTGAGTGATTAGGCAGTAAAAATAGCATATGAATTAATAGGAGTAAATTGGAATTGACGTGAGAAATATCTGCAGGGTAGTGCATGGCGGAAAGACTCGTATAAGGCTGTTCGTTGTGCACGCCGAGAAAATTATCCCATAATGTTTATTATCGATCCTGTTTTCTCACTAAGGGAACTTGTCAGCGATCACTGAAAATGAGTCCCAAGCTCAAGAAAGTTGTCGTTTTGAGGATTTACCGAAAGTATTACGTTGGCAAAGAAATGAGGCCGCTTTTTCTTTGTAGTAAGCTTGTTTTCGCTTGCGCTCGAATAATCTCCAATAGATTCAAAGGGGATTCTTTTTAAAAAATTATTTCCCGAGTATGAACACGTAAGGCTGGACCCTGGATAGCGTTTGTATGTGGCTAAATAAATTGAATGAAAGGGAATTGTCAGCCACAATATGTGTATTTATTTTCTGGTTTTAGTCAGTGTCTATCGTGGAAATCTTTTCCGAGAAAAAAAAGTTGGGCTCCGAAGGCAAAAAACTTATTTATGTAATGGTTATTTTTTATATTTTTTTTTAGCACAGGCCTGATCACGTAAGGATATGTTAGCGCATTAGACATTAAATAAAATTGATACCGAATTAAACATTGAAAAACACCTGAAATCGTTCGATTTTTAATACAATGTTTTTTTGTAAAAATGTGAAATGATTAGTGAATTGAGTTGTATAAGTTGAAACGTTTTTTCCCACATATTCATGGGTGAAGTTTTCCTCGTCCTCTGTATTATGATTTATGACACGAATACCGCGTTCTTTTCGGGTGATGTTTATTTACATTTGTCTTTTACATTGGCCGATGACAGATGGTGTGGTAATCGGTGTGTAATTATTTGCCCTGTGCTCTGTATTGCAGCTGTTGGACATGAAACTGCTATTTATCATCAGCATCCTGTGCGCGGATACGCGGGTGCATTTGCGTAATGATCTGCGTGCCGTGCAGGATCTGTGCGTCACCGTTACCATGCTGGCCAGCAGTAGTGCATCCGGCGCGGCAGCCGAGGGATCGCTTGTCAATAGCGTCCTCTGTGAGATCCTCAAAGTGCTCTTCAATCTCGTCTGCAATATGAGTCCCACCAATTTGACACTGGTTCGTACGATCATCAAAACACTCCTTAACCCGGCACTTCCGGTTAGGTTTTCAAGTGATAGCCTGTTTTGTGTAGTTGCTGTTTTCCGGCTTTTTATGGTCCTCATTAGAAGCGATCAAAGAAAACTCGAATACGGACCGAAAACGTCGAAATGAAAATAGTTCGATCACAAAATAAGCAGCAACTGCATGGGTTTTAAATGCAGAAGGCTATCGCCAAATTTTTTAATTTTTTTTCTTAACTTTGAACGAAAAAATAAGACTGATTTGTAAATGCAATGTTCGTTTTTCGTAACTCCGAACGAAGAAAAGATAAAATCGGTTAAAATAGAGAAGGGTGATAAATTTCGGTAGATTTCGAGTGGTGAGAAATGAAAATCTCATGCTCGCATCGCTCAGTTATGCGGTTAAATAAATAAGCATCAGGACATTCGAAGACGGCCGCGATACTGATATTGTGACCGATTTTTTCAGGGTGAAGAACTGGACTTTGTCACACTGGGCAACACCTGTCGCGAACTGTTGATCTCTACCACGTCTCCCGATGTGAAAAAGTACGTTTTTTTCTTTTGGTAATACAGCGATCACTCGTACCATAACGACATTGTGGTGATGAATTACAGGCACGTGATCAATCTCCTCACCGTCGTCAAGAAATTCGGCTACAACCAGCTGGTTATTCCGCTCGACGATGGCAGTCCCGGCGCGGTCCCCTATGAAAATTTTGATCTGCAGGCGGTCAGTGTTATTCTGAAGTATCTCGATGAAAAATTGTCCGGTGTGACGGTGGGCAACGGAAGTGGCCGTTCGGTGGATGACAGTCTGGCGCCGGTGTTGTGCGCGTTAACGGAAGCCGCCAAGACCGTCCCGATCATCCGCAAATATCTCAAAACCCAGATTCTGCCCCCGCTGCGCGATGTCCACAACCGACCGGAAGTGGGCAGTTCGTTGCGGAATAAAATCTGCCGATTATTGACCGTCCCGTTGGTCAGTGTGCGGGATAGTGCCGGGGATTTTCTGTATATTTTATGCAAAAATAATGGTAAGACGTTTATGAAACTGGTAAAAAGGATAATAATGTACCATGATGAAATTTTTGTTGCTTTAAATACGTAAATAGTGACATAAATCGTAAGTTAAAATGCGTTAATGAATTGATTTAATCGAATTTCGATTAAATGAATTTGTGCACATTCATTGAATTAAAAATTTGTTAAGTGATAATTAGTTAAATTAAATGTAATGAATGAAAGCCTGCTAGATGTAGGCTTTTTATTATTTTTGTCTTATTATTCATAATTTTTTTGCCGCTGTGTTGGATGTATTCCGGTGCATTAAATTATGCTTATTTTTTAATTATTTTGTTTCGCTGATGTTCCAAAGGTTTTTTACGGAAATCAGTGGCAAATCTAGTTTAGGACAGAGTTTCATTCCGGATAAGCCAATGTTTTTTTAATGTGTTAATCCAGTGAACCGTCTGATCAAGTATACGGGTTATGGGAACGCCGCGGGATGGCTGGCGGATCGCGGCATGATGGGCCTACCGCGGGCGCATGAGGAGCAGATGGAGGACACGGAGGACAGTGAGACGGAGGAATACGAGCAGCACAAACACACGTAAGGGGGGAAGAGAAATATTGCTCTTGAATGACTTTAATGAGGTTGACGTTTTTCCTGCTGAATGCGTCTGCAGTATTGATCCCATCACCGGCGCAGTGAAAGTGGAGGGTCCTAATCCCATGGAGGGCATGTCAGAGGAACAAAAGGAGTATTATGCGCACGAACTGGCGCTCGCCCTCGATAAATTAATCAAGTAAGAAATGCTGTAAATGCTTGTAAGTAAACTTTACAGACGAAACCACTGTTCCAAGTCCGAGTATACAAACTACAAAGTTGCTCTGTGTTGGGCAGTACAAACGTTGAAATGGTGAAATATCCCAAATTATTCCTCAAGTAATTTAACATTTTTCTGTCGAAACTAGGATGCGCAGTGATTTTATTTCTGATTGTTTTAATTTAAAATTGTGCTCAGTTAAGAGTACTGGAAAAATAATTTTTTCTTTTCCAAGGAAATATTTTTAATGTACTCGTACACAACCGTTCGAAATCTTACACATGTCTTCTGCATGTCAGAGCCTTGTACTACGATTGCTCGCTTTTAAGTTAATGACTATTTGATGAGTTAATAAGTTAATAACTTTTTAGATAAAGACTACCGGTGAACTGTGAAGCCATTTTCGTTACATTGTAGTTTTAAATACGACAACTGGGAATGTCACTATTTTTTACTGGAGATGCTTAAAAAATGTTGACTGTAAGTTATAATTCATGTTTGCACTTTGCAGAAAAGGTGATATTAAACCGGCAGCTATCGGTCCAGACGGTCGACCACAAATGATTGACGATGTACTAAAATATCGGGAAGAGATGTTAAAACAGCAGAATCCTAAACCCAAACCACAGCCCGATGACGAGGACGGATAACCCTCCATTCGCAGCATTTTTTTAACGACAGACGATGATGGCAGTTTCAAGCGTGATTGTTATTGTGTTCGTAGTTGTATACACTTGTGCTAGTCATTTTACTGCTGTATCAGTTAGTTCTGATCTTTATCTTTTTAACGGCATTTTAAATTTCCAGAGAATGTTCACGGTTTCAATAAACCTTACCAACTACTGGAGAAATTGCGCAGTTTTTAAAGATTAATAATAAAGCACATCAGGATGATGAAAAACAAAAACTGTCCACAGAATTCCAGCCAGCAGGGTGTTGGCCGCAGCACAAAACAAATACACAAATTATTCATAATTCCATTAAGCAACACAGGTGAACGTGTGGAAAGTAGCATTTCAGCGTAATTCGTCCAAGCGAGTAGGCGCACACAGCCAGAAAGGCGGGCCTCAGCGAGATTCACGGCTTTTTCGCTTGGAACCTCTACAACACAGTTCAATCCCACAAGTATGCATTATACAGCTAATAATTAAGCGCGGCAAAACAAGGTAGTTACCTAACGTCATTAATTTTACTCTTCTATCACAAAGTTCAAGCCTGCGTCACAGTTTTCGGTGTACTGCCGCTAACTAAACTTTTACCGTAACTAATTTTTAGCTCTCACATTTTTAAAGGAATTTCCAAAATTGAACAGTTCACAGATATTAGGGGAGTCTATAAAAAATTAATTTAATGTTAAAGTTAACGACTACAGTTCTACAAAGAAACGCAGGTGACTTGGTCATTTGTTTGTGCATTTCCCTGAGGTCAACTATTTCGACACTGTTCTACAGTAGATGATAACTTCATACTTTACAGCAACAAGACCAACTGAAGAATACTGAAGTGTAAACCAAAAAAATACAGATCGTTGATCTTATGTATGGACAAACGGGACTCACGTATCATAACACATCTTGCACTGATCACAAAACACATCTAACACTGACCATGATAATGTCACCGAAAACTCTACTTAACTCACCTGGGAGATGGTGACCGCGAGCGGGAGCTTCTGGATGATGATGAAGACGAGGATGATGAATGCGAGGAGCCCGAGGAGCGTGAAGAACTCGACGAGGATCTGAAATCAGATGACATACAGAGACGACGATAAATACACAAACCACACACAATACACAAACCACAGTGCAACAAAAACCACAAATTTGTTAAAGAATTAATAAAAAGCGTACCGAGATCCGGGATATCGTTTACGGGCTTGTCGTTTATCCGTAGAGAGCACTTTTTTATCTTCATGGCCATCATCACTCTCATCACGATCACGGTTCCGGGACACTTCCGCTGGCTTGGATTTATTCGGCTCTTCGTCATCATCGAATAGTTTATACTTGTCCGTATCACCATCATCCTCGTCTTCTTCCTACAGAAAAACGAATGCAGAAAACTGCGAAATATGCTCAAAACGCAAAAAACCCTGTAACTTTTTCAGCTTTTCTGAGTATCAAAAAGAACTAACTATACTATCAAAAAGAAGATAAGGGAGAACAGGCAATAAGCAATACGAAATGTATGCAAAACAACCATAAAATCTATCGGGTACAACTATAACGTTCCAATTTAACGAGGTATGCCCCACCACAGTGCTCATTTGATATGAAATCGACTACGAATATCCATCCAAAAAAAGTAAGATGTCTATAACGAAATCGAGTTGTTTTTTTTAAATGTACCTCTTCATCATCATCGCCCAATCCGTACTTGGCGGCCACCTTCTTATCATCATCCCCCTCCTCCTCTTCCTCCTCTGCATCACTCTTACGGTCCTCCTGTACGAGTGAGAGAGAAAGACGCAGTGTAATGCATTTAGTCTGCTGATTTGTTTGGGGTTGCGTGATTTTTTTGTTTGACGGCGGTAATCAAGTCAGTTCCCATTCGGTCCGATGCGGAAGCCGAACGAGAAAAGAAGACTCCACCCAACAGACCAGGCCTGCACCTCACTCTCACGTCCTTCCGCTTCGGCTGATTTCTCGCGGATGCCTTCTTTGCTGTGGTTGGAGGATACGCCCGGCTCCCCGTCATCGGAACCACGCTTATTTTTCTTCTTCTTGCGGCCAAACTATAACAATGCACATTTTGTTCATTTTTATCCTTATTCGCAAGTTGCAATACATGCTGTCGGAAACTTCACCCGACATGGACAGCAGCATTCATAAAATATTACAAGCCTATTAAAGCGACACCACTCACCTCTAAAACACAACCACAAACGTTAAAGTTTAAGAAAAGTTATTAAAACTTCAATTATTATTATTTTATAAGAAGAACATTATCAGACCGAGCGATCATATGCAGAATAAATCACAAATACTTTCTTTTCGCGTGTAAGAGTACGGCTTAAAACCACTATCTGGCTATTACCGATGCTCTGTTCAACGCATCCATAACATTTCTTACTATAGATATAAAGTTAAAGAAGACAATTACAGTATTTACATTACCAAGCTAAACTTGAGCATCAAAAATTTTAAAAAAAACAGATCTTTATACCATAACGACGAAACAACAAGCTTGCTAGCGGAGGCAGCAACTGTATTTACAAAAATTCAAAAATCTTAATTTTGGGGTCTATATTCAAATTAAAACAGTGCTAAGAACTAAACGTTTATTATTCCATAAATTATTTGTGATAAATAAATGATCCATTTTTGTAAACATTTCAACAATCTATGCCTGCAAATCTTGGCAAGGATCGCAACGCCCCTGTTTGACGCAGTGAAACAGCAGTCTGTACAGGGAAACTGGCTAGATGCGCATGCAGACAGTAAATGTGCAACTTACGTCGTCGTATTCGCCATCCGACTCTTCGCGCTCATTATACTCGATGCCTTCCCGTTCGTTAAAGCCCCCACCAAAACCTAAAACGACGTAAAATTTTTGCAAAACACAAATCGTAACGAAAATCCAATGTAGTGCATACCTGTGCGTTCTTCCAACTCCTGGAATTTGGGTGCATTGCACGTGTTGCAGTTTTTCCTTCGAGCCCAGTTGACATTCCCGCATCTATCATACAGACAGTTTCATCCATTCGAAACTCCAGCAGTAAGAAAAATTATTACTTGGTACACATCCAATCATCCGCCGAGAATAATCCCTTGCTCTTTTCGGCCGCCTGCTTGCCGATTTCAATGCCTGTCTTCTTCATTTTGCTCTTCTCGTCAGGCTTAGCTGCAGCGCAGAACGAGAAGTGTATAAAATCCACACGACAGAGACGACACACAGATGATTTTTACAAGATACTCACGCTTTCGACAACGATTACACTCGGTGCGCTTGCTGAAGTTGAGGTTGGCACATCTAATCACACGGTAAATCGGATAGAAAAACAGTCTCGGAGCAACGGATAAATCGTAAATTCCGACTGCAAAATGCAAATACAGCTTGCTTACTCTGGGCATTCCCAGTCTTCGAAACTACGTGGTCGTCCTCGCGTTGCCATATCGTCCGCTCGTCGATCCAGTATGAAATCCGAACGCACCAACAGACCAAACTTTGGTGATATCTTTTCAATTTCAATTACATAAATTTTAACGTTAAATGATAAAAACTAGTCAGAAATCAGAAACCGAGAACTGAAAAATTACTATTGCAATTTTCCTAGAAGCCTGCCAACAGCCAAAGCATGCGATTCTTTGCAATGAAATGAGAAATCTGAACTTTTCAGTGATCTCGGTCTACCGTAAAACTGAATGCCCCTCCCGAGCGCTTCGCATTGCGACAGGCTTTCACAACATAGCAGGTACGAACAGTACCTAGCTCCCGTAGGCGGTGAGTCTAACGACATTACATTTGGTTATCCACTGAGCAACCACAGCTATCTGTAGAGCTACACCAGACATTTATTTAAAAATTTTACTTTTCAATTGGAAAATTTCTGTTTAAATTCCAAGCTTTGATAGTTACGAGCTGTTTGCAAAATTCATAAATAACTGTGGGATGAGCAATTTTAAAACCAGTAAAATGCATCGAATTGTCTGAATGCACCAACATAACAATGTGTTTCATCGTCTTCGCCACCATCGTCCACCTGATGTTCCTGGCATCGATCTTCGACATCTACTTCCAATCCCCGATCATCCATGGCATGTCTCCGCAACCCGCTCCTGCTGATCCGCCAGCCCGACGTCTCGTGCTGTTCAGCGCGGACGGCCTGCGCGCTGAACGCTTCTTCCATCCCAGCGTGGACAACTTCCCCGGGACGCCGTTCCTCTTTAACATCTCGCGTCACGCAGGCACCTGCGGGATCAGCCATGCTGCCGTTCCGACGGAATCGCGGCCCGGACATGTGGCGCTCATTGCCGGATTCAACGAAGACGTCAGCGCCGTGACCAAGGGCTGGAAAGTGAATCCGGTGGATTTTGATTCCGTCTTCAACCAGAGTCGGTGGACGTTCGCCTGGGGTAGTCCGGATATTGTGGATATTTTCACCAAGATGAAGGGTGCGGATGGACAGGTGCGAGTAGCGGAAAATATCATCGCGGACACGTATTCCGCAGAGTTCGAGGACTTTGCAGCGTTGCCGTCGCTGCTGGACACGTGGGTTTTTGATAAATTCAAGGTATGCAAGATTTTGCTCCTGACTGCACTGCTCGAGTGCGACTGGAGGGTTGATTTTGTGAATTAAAATCGAGTTTAAGTGTTTAACTGACATGCAGTTAATCAGTTAAATTAATTACCCGTACATGCTACTGATGTAAGTATGTGGAAGTGTAAGCACTGCAGTAAAAAAATGGTATACTGTAATATTTTTTTGGAACCGGTATTCACGATCAAATAGTGGCAGTGTAAATTACATTATTGTGCATTTTGTGATATATTACTGTATGTGCAGATATTATATTTTTCCTTATATAGGATATGGATTATCTTATATTTGCATTTCGTTTTTCGTACTGTGATTGTCTGAACGTTTGACGTAGGTAATCGTTGGTCTGGGAACACGGTGAACAAGTTTTCAGTAGTTTTTTTGGCCTTTGGGCAAGTATCGTAACACTTGTTGCGCCGGAAAAGCTTTTTTTTACGTAGTGGTTTTGTGGTTGATTTTTGAGTAGTGAGAAGCAGTTCTGTTTTGTGCAGGAATTTCTCGGGCGCGCAAGAAATGACAAAAATCTGTACGAGATGCTGCACAACGATAAATTGATTCTGTTTTTCCATCTTCTGGGAATGGATACCACGGGGCATGTTCAAAAGCCACACAGCAAGTGAGTTAGCGGCTTTTGATATGAACGATCGCTTTCTACTTTCACAGCGAGCGTGTGTAGACGATTTTAAAAAACTGAAAGGGCCTGTAAAAAATGCAACGCCCACTAATTTCATTTAACCTTGGACTATAATGTACCATTTAACAAGCACTAACGGCAAATTTTCTAGGATTCATGCGGAGAATCTTTTAGGGGTAGACCGGGGCATTGCGGATATTGTGAGACTGGTAGAGAATTTCTACTCCAACGATGAAAAAACAGCATTCATCTTCACGTCGGACCACGGAATGACTGACTGGGGTATGTGGTTATAGATAGATTCACGAATAGTTGTTTTGTCAATTTTCTATCGGCTATTCATAGTAATTGTGCTGGTCGTTGGTGTACAGTGTACAATACACTACCGTTGTCAGCATTCACGTGCTTTGTCGCTCTTCCGGTGCATATACGATAATGCTTCCGGTTTTGCATCGTAGTTTCTTTTTAACTGCATGACTTAGTATTTTTGCGTGATTTAACAGGTTCGCATGGTTCCGGTCACTCTGATGAGACCGAAACGCCGTTGGTGGCATGGGGTGCTGGGATATTGCCCCCACGATTCACGGAGGGACAGCGTTTGCAGAAGTTTGATATCCAGCAGGTGGACGTTGCCCCGCTGGTGTCCACTCTTCTGGGAATTCCCATTCCCGTTAATTCTGTCGTAAGTTGTTTACGATGCACAAAAACAAAGATGCCTCCAGTTTAGCGGTTCGCAGGCCGTTTAACTATGCCGGAATAATGTTTTTTGGGTGACATGATTTTTTTTAAAGATTGATTGTAACGCAGTGCGACGTTAAAACTAAAATTAGACTAGCAAATGCTTATACCGGTCAACCGTTTTGGATTTGTTGTGTTAAACTCAGAAGGGAGTGGTTAAATTTTCGTTTTTTTTTGTTGCTTTCAACGATTGCCGGTTCCCTGGGAGTTTTTGTTCGGTTTTCTGCTCTGTTCACTGAAGTGATAATTCATTTTGTAGCATCTGCTTCTGTAGGGTAAACTGCCGTTGGATTATTTTAACGCATCGGAACGGTACAAGATGCAAGGTTATTTTGCCAATGCGAAGCAGATGTATGAGCAGCTAATTGTGCAAATGCGAAGGAAGCAGAACGAAACGTTTTCGTGGTTGTTTGTCCCCTTTCCGTAAGTTCGGATTAGTGCCTACATGTCAGGTGAATGTTTTGGTAACTCAGATTAATTCTTGATTATTAGGAAGTTAAGCCAAGATTTATGGGATCGGAAATGTGCCGTGATAGAACAAATGCTCACGAGCCCAGAGGAACACAAAACAGAACTTGTAAGTCACGGTTTTCTTCGAGGTCATTTTAACGACATGCATCTAATTTTCCTAGCTGCCGTACATCCAAAGATTTGTATTAAATTGTGATAAACGTTTTATCGTTAGCAAAAAACAGTGAATAAGGAGCAATATGTGCTTGGATATCAAGTAATAGTATATACTTTCTTTAGACTTTCAGTTACAAAATAATACAGTGTATATAGTATACTGATTGATATTTACCAGAGAATGTTTTATTTTACAGTTGACGGCTATTGATGAGCTCATCGTGTTGAGTCACGAAGGACAAACGTATTATCACAGTTACGATCGACGGTTCTTAAGGTGAGAAAAGGTTAAATATGGAACTGTGGCATACGTCACGACTCACGGAGTAGTAATTTTAATAATTTCACGGAGTAGTTTAATTGGGATTCATTCTCAGTTCTCCCGCCTCTTCATTTTTTTTACTTAAAAATTATATTGAGTAAGGTGACTGCTAAAAGTAGAAAGATTAGCTTTGCTATGAATTATTATTGTCTTTATTAGTTTATTCGTTGTTCGTCACTAGTGAAGATCGAATGCAACGGTACACGGTCATGCTTTACGATAATATTTTTTTTTCAGCTGCTTCCCGCAAATTTCAGTGGTACTCGCAGCTTTAATTATATTTTACGCTCCAAATAATTCTTAAAATTTTTGGCTCTTTTTGTGAAGTTTCTTGGTCAACACTCTCAGTAAAAAGATTAGTATAAGTCGTATACTTGGTTGCGTGTCGAAGCGTCTGTATAGCGGCATTTTTGCACTGACAATATAACATTTTTTACATAACATTGACCAGTACGAACATTTTTTGCAGTTCCGTGATGACGTTGGGATATATTGGTTGGATCTTCTTTGTGTTCCTAAGAATTGTGGACAACCATCCCAGAGTACAAGGATCCAAATCCGGCGACAATGTCATGAAAACCAGTAATTCCATAATTTGGACTGGAGTTTGTGGAGCAGCATTATGGATTCTGATATCCATATGCAAGTTGACAATTTTGAAATAATAACCTTGAAATGTACTGTATTTATGTCGTTCCCGTTTCGTTTAGTACAAAGGAGTTCCCGGCCTGTTCTTATATATACACTGCTGCCCATCATGACATGGACGGCTGCTCTGTACCGGTAAACATGAACTCAGTGGTTGAAATAAAGTGTAATGATTTGTGATTTTGCAGATTTCAATCGGTACGATGCTCTTCTTCTATAAATCTCTTAGCCATCGTTATGCCGACAGTGCAGTTTATTGTTGGATGCGAGATCCTGGTGTTTTCCTTCTTCTACCGGTCCAGCGTCAGCGTTGGATTGGTATTGACTGGTCTCTGGTTGGCCACATCCTCTACTGCCTCCAAGTATCTTCGCTTGTTGTGGTTGACGAATTCTTTGTTACTGGCTGTGTTCCCGCTACTGGATGTGGTTGGAAAGCTGAAAAATGTCTCACTTGTGTAAGTCAGTGCGTGCTCGGATGTGGTATATTGCGCTTGTCCAGTATTTAAAAGATTTCTGTTTTGTTGAGAATTTTTACAAATGAGAAGCTATTTTTTAATTTTACAAACTCTCTTTCAAACGCTGTATGGTTACATAACTGTACAATAATCACTAACCGAAAACGCACCACAATTTCCGAAGATAATGAGAATTGTAGAGCGACGGCTTTGTTGGCTGGAAATAATTGCGGAAGGAAACTTTATAGACATTAGCCACAAGAGCGAAAACGTTTGCAAACCTTGAGCACTACTTGATGGTTAAACTTCTTTTTTACATCTTTGCATTATGTTTTATTATTTTTTCCAGTCGTTACCATGCGTATATTGTGTTACAGGTATTGCGCGGGTTTTGGGGGATTTGTATTCATAGTTGGTTTGCTCATCTGGAACTGGAATTCCATCCGAAACGATCGACAAGGCTCCACCGTTGCCGTAATGCAAACTACTGGCGTGCTGCTGTCCGTGGTTATTGTTTTTGTAACCAACAGAAGCGTGGAGAACAACGCTTCTGCCGGAGTATTGTTCCAGGCCATCAGTTGGTTTTTACTAGGTAATACTGCAAATCTAACGGTAAAAGCTGAAGTGCATGTGAAGTGTCCTATACGTCTCTGGGATTTGGTTTTCACCGAATAACTTCATAATCTGAATGCGATTTAAAATTATATATTAATGATTTTCCTTCATTTATCGCAAGAATCATTTTCTCTAACATCTGGTCATCAGTTTTTAAATAGACACTTGTTTTTGGAAATTAGTTGGTTGACAATCAGCTTAGTTTGTTTCTGCAGGAACGGCTTTTTTTACGCCGATGCTCAGCAGCCAGCTCTTGCATCTGCGTTTCCTTAGCGTTGTGACATCGCTTTTCACCAGCTACATCTTGATGAGCATCACCTACGAAGGTTTATTCTTCCTGCTCTTCTCTATCCATTTATTTCTGTGGATTTACTTGGAATTCCACACGCATCAGCCGCGATTCTCCCTCTTCCGTCTGACGATCTCCTACACCTTCCACGCCGACCAAACCGTGGATCGGCGCCGACTGCATTTTGACGATCTGCGCCGGGTGTTCTTTTTCGTGTTTTTCACGCTCTTGGCCTTTTTCGGGACGGGCAACATCGCCAGCGTCAACAGTTTCGATCCGGTGGCGGCATTCTGCTTCGTCACGGTGTTCCGGCCGTTCATCATGGGACTGATTTTGCTGTGTAAAGTGATCATTCCGTTCCTGCTCATCGGGTGTGCTTTCCACGTTGTAATTGTGATATGCGGACTATCCATGCAGAAAGTATATTTAATCGGGTTGCTGATATCCGACTTCATGGCATTAGTAAGTAATTTTAAATTATCTGATCAGTAAAATTATATGCAGCATCGGTTGCACACTGACATATAAATAAATTTAGTAAACGTCTTTATTAAATAAGTACCAGCTTATTAATTATAAAAATTAATCATTGTTATTAATTTGCAGCAATTTTTCTTCCTGGTGAAGACAGAAGGAAGCTGGCTGGAGATTGGGACTTCCATTTCGCATTATGTGATCATGATGGCGCTGATATTATTTACGAGCCTGCTTCGTTTGTGTGCATGGGCGGTGATGACGAGCCGCTTGGATCTGCGGATTCTTCGGCTTCCTTTTGCTGTTGAACGTGCTTTGTGAATGAAATCTTTGTTGGGTTGTTGGATAGCTGAGTTTCTACTGTTGTTAATTACCGGTGTTGTTGTCACTGTCTATCTGAAAGCGCACAATTTGGCAGGTTTTTCGCCGCGTCAAAGCATCCACTGCTGTGCACGGTGAAAATTATAAATTACGTGTACGATAAATTTGCATTTCAAATTCTGACTGAATGAATATCGTAAAATCAGCGGAAGTTGCGAGACAGTTAGTCATTTTTCTGCGTTTACACTTTTCACACTTGCTGGAATTTGGCGGTATAAAATTGCAGCCTTGACAGAATTCGACAATACTCGGTATATGATTACCTGCTACATTTTAAAGAAGCTTCGGTTTTAAATAAATTTGTAGATTAGAACAGGAAGCCAAGTCGAAGTAGCCTTCTCCAGGAAATGATAGGAGTTTTACTTTCACTTCATACTTTTTGTTTCTGAAATTATGATTCCAGCAAAGCCGGAATTTTTTTTCTTTCAAGAAATCAGTAAATAGTGAGCAATAAAAATCATTTACCGTTTAGTAGTGTTTACGACGCCGCAATGGCGATGGATGTACTGCTGCTACAAGTTACTGTACACATCTACATACTTCCAGAGTTCAAGTGTTCAGCATCCTAAAATGGTAAAATCGATTAGATTTGTAAGTCAACACTTGATCGTTTACCCTTTTCACTAATAATCCCGTCATTTTTATAGCCTTCTCGCCGTGTTCGCGCCTTTCGACACGATGCCGGAAGAGCGTAATGATCGTACTTGTAAGATTACACGGACAGATTTAGCTGGCAAACATCATTAAGCCAATCAGTCACGTTCAGCCCAGTGTCGCATATGCGCATCGCCGTTTAATGGATGCCAACGACGAGCGATTAGTCAAAAAAACTGCGACATGCGGCCCAACCGAAGACACTGGCAATCCTCTTCCAAGACACAAACACTGGCAATTTCGACCGGGTAATTTAAACAACATCATCCTTGGTAGGGCTCATTAAGCTGATTATCATATAGTATATCGGTTTTTTTCTTCACGATTGATTGACGTGGGTGAACGCGTCCAGCCACGCCCCCATCGAACCACTTTGCCACGTTCCAGTGCTGATGGATCTACCGGGCCCGCAAAATCCAGCTGTTCTCATAAACAGGATCATGTGGGATTGCGCTGGATCAGTGCATATCAATCCCATAGAAATGCCGCAGCTGTGCAATTGTAAGACTTCGTTGCACGCTACCGGGCATGTTACACCGTCCATACAGCCGACATCCGCTATCCGATTTCACAGTATTGAAGATCCATTTACCGTTATCCAATGGCGAGCATCATCATCATTTGACAAGGCTCGTTTATTCCCCGTACAGTATGGAGGGTATGGATCAGACTGATGCGGATAGTCCCGTTGATTTCAGCTACCACATGCATCCCGAGAAGAACTCAACGAGTCTAGAGCGCACTTTGACATGGTTCACCGGGTTCTCGTGTGCCGCGGCCATCGTCTTAAACGGCCTGATCCTGACGGTGTACATTTTGCAGGCATCGTTGCGCTCGCCGTTCAACGCCTACATCGCGAATTTGGCCGCGGCGGAGATTCTGTACAGTTTACTCGGTACTCCATGGAATATTGTGAGGAATTTGTATGGGTATTGGCCGTTGAGTTTTGAGTTGTGCTCGTTCTACCTGTACGCTAGTTATGTTCTGAATTCGGCTATTCGTTATGGGCATCTACTGGTGACATTCAATCGAGTATGGGCGGTTACGTTTCCAATTCATTACAGGTATACTAGAGTCTACAGCTAAGTTTTCAGTACTGTATTCACTTATTTTGTCGGTAGGTTATTATTGCTGTGAAAAACCTTAAACGATTTTACAAATCTTTTTAAAAGCTTATAGGAGAGCTTTGATTACTTATTTTGTTTCGATCTAATTTTCCACCACTTAAGTTCAACTAGCGTTTGCTACGAAATGACCTGTTATACTGGCGCAGCTCAGGTTGATATCAAATAACTTATGGTCAGCTTCGTCTTTCGTTGTAACTGGTGCACTAACTAAATTTAAATAACAACGGTGGAAAAAGTACAATTATAAAAATTCCTATTGAAAACGGCTAAATTTTGCATACATCGTCTTTTTAAGTCGGTTACATGATAATTATAAGGCTGATTTTGTAAGTATACAATTTTGCCGTTAGGAAGCAACATTCAAGATTATCACGCAGTGCTATCGATCACATGCAAAATCGCTTTGGAGTTGCTGTATTATGATGAAACTGCCAAACTGTCGAAAATGTAATAAAAAATACAATAGTTTTCTTTTTCAGGGAAAAGCATTCATATCCAATAGCCCGTACACTAATCTACGGAACCTGGTGTCTTCTGCACGCCCTGCATTTACCCTTACTAATCCGCGGCCGTCTCCGTCCAGACGAGACAGACGCCTACTGTGTCTTAAACGTCTCCTTCCAGTGGCGTTACTCCATTGTAGTGGAAATTATCGGCTTCTCCGGCACCGAAGTGGTAATGCTGTTGGCCTGCTTTTTTATTCTCTTCAAGGTCATGACCAATCGGTCTAAGCGAGAAGTGCCGGTGAAAAGCGGCAGATTACGACACTCAGCGACGGAAACCGATTCGCTGCATTCGACGTTAACGGTGCAGCAACTGAACCTTGAGAAGAACTCCTGTATGCGGATATGTACGAATACACACAACCGTTTTCTCGTGTACTTGATGGTGGCTGTGATCGTGTGCTGGACACCGAATCATGTCTACTGGTTGATGGTCGGTTTTGGCGGATACTGGAACACGACGTTCTGTGCTATTCAAAACTTCGCCATCATCACCAACTCGTGGCTGAATCCGATACTGTGCTACTTGGCTTTGACAAAGTTTCAAGTTGCTATCAATAGTTTGTTCAAATACCGCAGAAAAGCGAGGTTATGTTGTCCTCCCCATCAATGACAAGCGCACAAAATACGCGCACTTAAAAGTGCACAAGTTTAAGGCTGCGAAGACACTAGTATCTGAAATAGTCACAATTTATATGTGAAAAATATTTTTCTGTGAATTTCTGAGAATGGGAGAGGTTACTTAAACGTAATCACCGGAATACATACGGCGCTGAACGGTTAAAATGAGCACCGTATTGTGAGATACGGTTTCTGCATTAACGTAAGAACTAAGAACACTGCGATGATTGTACGATGATTGTACTCGTATTATGGGCTTCGGCGCTTTGGATATCGAGCATATTAATGGCATACTGCACAGTATTGACTATTAAGTGTATTTGACAAACAGTGCAGCGGGAACGGATTTAGGTGTCCAAACAATGTCCACATAAAAATAATGAAAACGTTAACTGGTCAACGGTTTAACTTTTGATCTGCTAACATGGAAAATGTTCATGCGATTATATCCGATATCGCAAATTTAACTGAAACAGTTAGCTATCAATCTGTATCTTTGCTAAAATCTGTGTAACATCATTTTAGTAATATCCAACATCCGGTTGGCTGTCTTACGGTTTAGGTGAAAGAAAAGGATTCTTCTTCTGATGACATCGTGATCGTTTCGCCTTCTTCAACTGGTGCCTTCATGGGGCATTTAGACAAGTAACCTGTGAGTCGGAGTTTCTCCAGTGGAGCATTGAACAAACTACCCAGTTTGTATACTTCCCCCATGTCATAACGCTCGGGCATTTTCGGATGGCAATCCAGCCATGCCCATAGCCAGTCGTTCTGCGGATCGCGGTATAACCTGGTCATTGCGCTCACGCGCTCGGTATCATTATAACCAGGAATGTTGCTGTCGTCTATGTCCAAAAACTGCAGATCGGGCAAATCAGTAAACGTATCGCGCTCTACAGAAGCCACTGCAGACACACCCCGAAAGAGAATTATCCGAACATTCCGCAATGGAGTGAAATCGCTTTTTTTCAGTACCAACAGCCCCATACAATCCTTAAAGGTCAAATCCAGAAGGTTAATCATATCAAGTGCGGGTATTCTGGATGTGATGTTTGATGATTGGCTTCTCAATACTAGAATAACGACTTGTTGTCCAATTAAACCAATCGTGTCTGGTGAGAAGAAGTCATCGTTCTGAATGGTGGCTTTCACGGCTCGAAGGGGACTACGCTTTTTTATAGCCGAAACTTGTTTCACAAATTCCTGCAACATCTGGCGATGTGTATCCGTTGGTCGTCCACACACAAAAAACCGTTCTTCTCGCAAAACCGCTAGATTCTCAGTCAGTTCATCATAGTTTACGTACCTGCTTGGTAGCGGCCTCTACATTCCAGCAGTCTAGGGTAACGTGACTGTTTATAATTTCCCCGCTGGCATTCTTGAGTAATCCCATTTTGACCAAATATGACACCCAGTTACCCGTCGCTGCAGTCGATCTGTCTACGGCGGACGTCCAGGCATTCACTCCTGTAGCATCTCTTTTATGTCGGCTGCGCGAAGACTTCTGCAGGTAGCGGCAGTTTGACAGAGCTAGCGACTTTGGTCCGCAGTTATTCACAGGCCGGGCATTACATTCGCGCAGCGTCATTGGACTTAGGTCGAAATTCAAAGTGAAATTGAATGGCTGCGGATCTTCTTGGAAACCCTCTTAAAAGGCCGAAATAACATTTCCGTCGTATCAACACCGACTTCATACATACCTCTATACTGAAGTACGTACTTCAAGAAGTATATCTATATAGAGTCGGTCCTGGTTGTATGATTGTATGCACCAAATTTATTAATTCGTTCTCAGCATGATATACAAATACAAGAAATAATTATATGAGCAGTAGTATACTAAGACGAAGCTGGAGTAATATATGACACCGTAACAACCGTATACGTACCTGCCAGTTGCCACAAAAGAAGCGAAGGAAGAATCACCAAGTGCAGCTTGCGCTTAGCCCAATTGTCAATCAACATTCTTTACAATAACGTTTTACCCCAAACGCACCAGTATCTGTACATGCAGAACAACTGAACCAGGTTTTCGCTCGTACAGTTGCAGTATCTGGTGGCTACCGGTAACTGCTGAACTTTGCTGGGAGAATCTGATACGTAACGGTTTCCGAAAGGTGAAAACTGAATGGATGGGTCGCTTTGGCGTTTCAGTTGACTCTGATGATCAGCCACGTGTAAATTTTCCTGGAGAAAAAAATTTGACTGGAGCTAAACTTTGTCTCGCAAGTCATAACATATATTACCATTTGCTTGGAGAGTTTGATAAAAATTTTTACTATTTGCCCCGAGGAAATCACTACGCTGCTGGCCTTCTTACTCGTACATACTACACTGCATTCTTGAGTTTCGGATTTTTATTCTCACCATTGTTACAACAAATTAAGAGTCATGCGTTGTTCACTTGCCGGCATGCCGGTGTAACGGTTGAACTTGAAACTCGGCGCTAAAGGTTTGGTCGTCGGAGTTTACAGACTACAGAATTTAAAGGAACGACCAGAAACACTTCCGACGCACAGCCTCTCGCGTTTTGGCCCTTAACCACTAAAAAACATTTCATTGCATTGGTAGCATGCGTGTATACTCTTAAAAAATAAATCGAAAAGGACATGTCTTACGGTTATCGCGAAACTTACGCACAACTCCGGTACGCATAAACTTACTCCGGTGCGCGAAACTTACGCACAACTCCGGTAAATGAGGATGCCTGGATAATACATATGATTATGTGAAAACACAAAAATGGTTGCGCAAAATTTAGTGAAAATATAAAGCAACATCCAGAACACTTGTTGACGCACCGCATCATATGCATTACGCAGCAGATGAAACCGGCTACGTTTTCCAAGTTCCAGCACACCCCTTTTGAAATCAATATGCGCAATCCTTTAAATTAAAATGGACTGACATTGCAAAGAGTGTAGAATATCTCTGTCAGTGAAGATACTGAAGATATTTAAGTAGAAAGGGCTCTTTCTGAATCCTGCAGTCCAGACGTAACATGATCTGCTTGTGTGGGCGCACTAGCACACTGTCACACCATGAACATTCAATTTTCCGAATTTCCGTCAAACGGTTTCTCCGGATCATCCACGCTGTAATACTGACACCGGGCGACCTGCCGAATAATCCGTGTTGGTTGATCTGCAGGTCAGCACCAGAAATGTAAGGTCTTAGTAGTTTTTGTATCGTACGGGAGCTTTTGCATAGTTTTGCACCATTTTTGCACGCTAATGCAGTATAGGCATATTTGCACTTGCAGGCTGCACTCAACTTGTTAGAATTTCGATTGTAAAATCTTTTACAACTTACAAGCGCTCGCACCCGTTGTCGTGGTCCTAGTATCGTGGCTGGTTCTCTTCCTTGTACAAGATATTACCCAACGCTGTCAGGCTGAACCGAGGGAGCGAGACATCTGTATGACCTTTAAATTTCTTTTCGTCTGTCTTATCGACCGCGTACTGATTTCTTGCGGGTTGATTTGCGATACACAGAAAATGTTCCGACAAGCTTTCCTGTAGTCCTTATTGAGTATTAAAAACATTATCTGCAAAAAAGAATAAACGATAAAATTTTGTTTATCGCCTGCTAGTAATTCACTTGAAGGCCCTCACCGGGTGTCCACTGTATCCTAGTATCTGCAGCGTCGTCAGCCAGACAATCACAGCTGGCTGACGCAACATCACATAGGGAAAGAACAGCGTCACAACCGTCATTGGTATGAAACAACAAGCGTAAAAAAGAAACGATCCGCACAGCATTTTAGCGATGGCAATTCGCTTCTGCATTCGTTGAGTCTGCGCAGTCTCCCGTGAACATAACACTTTTAAGGCAATAATTAAATATAAGGCCCCTTGTAAACCCAGAGGAATGTACGTCCCAACAACTCCCAGAATTGGTGACCATCCATCACCGTTGGATTGACCTCCACAGTTGTAAAACGGTGGAAATTTCCCAAATAACTGACCGAAGCCGAATAAGGCCGGAATATATACCGCAAATCCACAAGCCCAACTGAAAATTACTGCACTTATTAAGGCCGGTTTTGTCGTCAGCCAATGATAGTTATGAGGATAGACAACCGCGATAAATCGGTTCGCCACCACTACCAGCGAAGCAAAGCATTCGGTTCGAAAGAAACTGAGATGAATGTACATGAATGGTGTGCAGCTGATTTTCATCGGGAAGTTTAGGTTGGACACTTTGGCGAAAAGGTCAAGTATGTAGATCGGATGTGTGCAGCCGCAAATGATCACATTGACGAACAACAAATGGGCTATTAACAATCCCGATCCGTGCCTTAAGGTTTCATTGCGCAAAATCACGAGTATAAGCATTATCATCAAGATTGTTGCGATGGATGCGCACAGTACATACAATGTAAACCAAGGATACACAATGGCCGCATTTAAAATCACTTTTGATGTTAAATTTTCAACGGTTGAGATGTTCTTGAATGGCGACATAGCAAAAGTTATAAAGATAACTGTATACAGATGAGAGTGGACAAGAATAAATCGAAATTAAATGATGTTGTACTAATTATTACTGTCGTAGACACTGCAGTGTACTGAGTATCCAAGAGTCCAGTTTTTAGGCTGTTGAATAATTTTTAAGACGCTGAGTCGCGATAACAAAGTTAGCCGGAATTAGAGATTACACTGGAAAAATTCCGGCTTTGCATGATACATTATCCAGTGCACGCCTGCATGTTCGCATGATCTACAATTACAGGTCTTCATAATTCCCTTAGGTCACGATAGTGTCAGCTTGTCCGTGGGTGGCGAATTCCAAGTGCAGGAAAAACACTAAAGTATCACATGTACAGTAAGTACATTATCCATCTATTCTAATAATGCAAGATTTGAGAATTCCAGTAACTGATATTTGTTAAAATTTTACCGCCTACATTACGATTCCCAGAAAATCTGGGGCTGTTCTTCCAAAGCACTATGGCAAACACCGGACGTCACTTGTGTAGCCTGAATGACATACACATGGTACATGTACTTCTATTGCAGTTGTCGAGGGCGTAGAAACTAGCTTTCAAAGAAATCGTAGCTCAAAATCCTACTGGTGCGTACACCTAACTGAAGAGGATGTCTTCACCTGGGAATGACATATTACCGGTAATGAGCGATTAATTCTTTTTGGGATGTTGCAGATATGAATCCCTAGTGACGAATGCATGGTCAGCGTCGTCGACAATTATCTAAGTCTATATATATGACAACCTTAAGATCTTTTCATGTGTAATCAAGCAATGTGACTTGCCTTGCGGTCAATGCTGTGTTAAAATATCAATATCTATAGGAGAGCTATAATTAATGCTGTACTTGTCGGCTAAAGTTAACCAATCCCATTACACCGCTAAATGTACTAGTGTAGAATACAAAGAATGATGTGCAAAGTACCAGGGATCTTCAACCGTTATAAACTTCAAACGTACTGTATGTATGTACTGTAATTACAGTACTTAATGGAACGCTCTGCATAGCGTTGTCGCCTTGAACCAAAACGTTTTTTATTAAACATGGAAACACATTTTTGGTAAACTGATAACAATTAGCGCACAAAATGACAAAGCAGCTGTGTTAAAATGGCAAATCACATTCTTACTGCTTCGCAGAGATTAAGTACGTATAAAAAATACAAGTATACCATAGTCAACATCGGAAACTGAAGGTCTGATAGCCCCGTAATCGTTATCATCCGCTGTATTTATGTGGGCAGCTCTGAAATGATGAAATACAGGGGTTTTTTTATTCCAAGCATGTGAACCATATTCTCTAGGGTAAGGAAAGTGACTTACTCATAATCAGTAACGCGATTAGTCCGAAAAGTAGCTGCAAAAAGAAAAAAACATCAGTTCATCGAGTTCAGGATATTATGTTTTCCAAGCTTCGAAGATCGTAGTAACTGTACTCGTACATGTAATTCGCGCGGCACGAACTGCCTACATCTGCACTTAGAAATGAAGAACTAGAAGAAGTCAAATCGTCTCTAAAAACTTTAAATGACACTTACCGGCAACAATGTGTTTATCTCATCTGAAAAGTAGAATAAGTGATTAAAAGAGCAAAACTGTATCAAGGTGACTTCGTCTTACCGCCGTTTCCGGATCCTTTAGCCAGAAGATATTTGAGCTAAAACGCAAATCACACAAAATATTATGCATTATGGGATGCCGCTGTCTACTGTTACTTTACGAGATACTCGCACTTCTACAATATGTGCAGCTAAATACAGATTCACGTGCACTTTAATACAGTAGAACGAACTACAGAATAATACATGCGAATATTCGAACCATATAATTTACTATATAGAATATATGCGAATCATCGCCCCGTAGAACAAAAACTTACCAGCCCATCATCGTCACCTCCCCATCCTTTCACTAAAACTGCATGCTGAAAATATATTCAATTGATCCTTACTTTGAAGAATCAAAAAGGAAAATTTATACTTGCCCCCCATCCACCGCCACCTAAAAATGCAGCCCTTCTATAATCCGGTTGTGATTTCATTCAATTTTAAATGCGTGTCTAGTAAATGCACGTTCGCGTTTGATTTACGTAAATCTTCCGAAACTTCAGTGTTCATTGGACAGTGGTTTCACGTATAGTATGTTTGTATAATATGACACCGCTTTTATAATCACAAGAAATTTGACATTGCTTTACCCCAGCAACAATGTCCGCCTCCTCCACCACCACCTCCTCCCCAGCCCCATCCCCATCCGCCCCAACCCCATCCACCACCACCATAGCCGCCTCCGCCTCCGTAACCACCATCTGTAAAACAAATCCCAAATAAAAAGTTATAACAAAATCCTTTCGCACTAGGTCCGCTCTCACAAAATGGATCGGCTCATGCTGATTTAACAATAAATGCATATACAGTTATACACTACATGACCTTACCGCGTGCCGTTCGGTTCATATTGTCGCCTAACTCGGTGACCTTTGCCGTAAGGTTAGGATGGCTGGCCATAATCGGTCTAATAAACGGCTGCATCTGCACGGCTAACTCTACGAGTGCCCTCTGCTTGCTGAGCCGGTCAGTGGTATTTTCTCGCAAAACCTGCAAATTAGGCACAGCATTCTTGATCGCTAGCCGTAGATCGCTCTCCATGGATCCGTTGCCGGTGAACACGATGTTGTAGAGTTCATCAGCCAGCGATGTCCCGGATGTTGCAGCCACCGCGGAAGAAAATTCAGCCGGTGTAACGGATGTCATTAAAGTCGTGGTTTGCACCGGTGCTCCCGTGGCAGTTGTACTGTCGTACATCCTTAGCAGGAGCAGTTTCTTCAGGTAGAATATGTCGTTCTTTGATCGCACTTCATTCAATTCATTGGCATTTGTGGATAGTAGGATACTCCATAATATGTAGGTTGGTAGAAATAAAGAACTCTGCAGAACCGATACCCCGATACACACGTTACCAAAGAATGTAAGCCAGTGAACAACATTAAAATGCAAAGAGCAGCTTGTTCATTTTTTGCATTTGTAGGTAACACATTTACAGCTGAGCTGTGAGATATTTGGAAGCAATACCTGAACCAATGTAATGCTGTCCCGGATGAGGGCATACCTCAGGTCGTCCATACAAGCCATGATTTAACAGGAATACGCCCAATATTTTAGTTATGCGAATAGTAGGTCAATGCACGTATTGTATAATAATGCTGAAACTGAAAGTACGAACACTTTTACAAAGCTTTACCGCTTTGTTAGTCCATAATGTGGGCACCTCATCGGCGCGCGTAATGTGAACCAGCCAAGATAATTCGGTAAATTTCAGAGAGCAAATTTCTAAATTAACACCAGCACTTCATATTTACAAATCTACATTTACAGTTTATCAGTCTAATGACCATTCTACACAAAATTTTTACAACGACATTTGCTCAATTACCTGGTACCGATCAGACCTAGTCCTACGTACCATTGGTAACTGTTATCTGCATAATATGATATTGTGGCGCATCGGTAATCTTTTACACCTACGTTGAGGTAACACTGAAAAGCGAAAGCAGTCCTACCGTGGCGAATAGGTAAAGTTAACGCAGTAATTTTAATTGTCGTATTAGCGGATGAGGTCGAATGGCAACAAAGTGAGCGTAAACAATTTAACTATGACTGCTGCACTTTCTTTGATGGACATATTCCAAACTGCAGCCATCCATACGACTGATGATACGAGTACGGCAGATACTCTTATTTGTGGTTTGTTTTGCTTTTCTCATTTTTATACGTTCCGCTATTTAATGTACGCTAAAATCTGGGAAGATTCTTTGTCAATCTCTTTGTTATTTTTACACCCTTAGTTTATTTTGACCTAGCAGAATTTCTCAGTCTCTTAACCTCTATCCTTTAAAATGAAACTTGAACTGCTTCCGCACATGTAATATCCAGTTCGACACACAGGTGTGGCGGGAGACATGACCTTTTAATTGACGGGATGGTTAACTGAACACTAGCTGTAAGCTAAGCGCACCGGAAGATGTGCTTACGCATGAAGCTGAATGAATGAATGGAAACTGATTTGTAATTTATGGGGTATCTGCGACCAGCGCCAGCGTACACGTGTGAAGGGCGAACAGGCGCAAAAATAATTATCTCGGTGCTTAAACGCTTCCAGCAATTTGAAATTTCAAGTGTTATTAAAATATCCACCCATGTTACTGATCTCACAAGTATTTATTTATGCATGTACGCAGGAAATGACGAAAACCAGAGCTCGAGCAAATCGTCTACACGAAATTTAACAAATAATTTCTTGTAAGCCCGATTCCCTTGTGTGCGTCACATCCGATAGTTTTAGATTGCCGTCTCTCCCCGGGACGGATGAGTTCGCGAAAGGGTCTTTTGTGGACCGATATGTGCCTTTCCAAAGAGGTTTCGACAAGCCTTCCGGTAATCTTTGTTTAGCGTCAGAAACACCACCTATTCGACAGACAACGATGGGAAATCCTTTTTACACAGAAACAGATATTGCTAGCACACGTGAGATTATGATAATACTGTGCATTGTCTGTGTCTATGCAGCATCGTCTATGCAGTATAGACGTCTATGTACTAAAATGTATGCCGTAATTGGCAAGTAAAGTTTTTATATACGGTACATATACATAAACAAATCATTGTTAAATTTTTGTTTCGTTTCTCGCTTAAATTCTCCGGTGTTTTTAAAGTCTTGTTATTACTGCCGGTTAGCACTTATAAATAAAAATATGTCCATTTGTAAAATTAAACCTTACCGGATGCCCACTGTATCCCAGCATCTGCAACGCCACCAGCCACATTAACACTTCGGGCCGCCGAAACACCACTAAGGGAAAAAACGACGCCCCAACGGTCATCGGTACAAAGCAGCAAACGTAGAAAACAAAGGAACTACACAGCATCTTCGCAATGGTGATCCGTTTTTGCATTCTCTGGTTGCGACTGGCGTCGCGGTTGCACAGGATACTGAGCGCGATCACCAGGTACAAAAACCCCAGCGTCCCTAGCGGAATGTATGTTCCGAAGACCGCCAAATGCGGCAGCACCGAATCACCGTTTGACCGTGAACCGCAACTGTAAAACGGCGGAAACTTTCCATATGTCTGTCCGATACCAAATATTGTCGGGCTGTAAATAAGAAATCCACACACCCAACTCATGACGATTATCGCAATCACCGTTGATTTCTTCATCATCCAGTGATAGTAGTGTGGTAAGACAATCGCAAAGAATCGGTTGATTGCCATCGATAAGGAAGCAAAACATTCAGTTCGGAATAAACTGAGATGGATGTACATGAAGGCAGTACAATTTAGATGTATGGGTTCCTGAGGATTGTTGACCTTTAGGAAAATCCCGATTAAATAGGTCGGCTGGGTGAAACCACAGATCAAAAAATTGACAAACAGCAAATGTGCAATCAGCAAGCCCGATCCATGGCGTAAGCTTTCGGTACGAAAAATCACCACCAGCAACAATATGATCAATATTGACGATACGGATGCGCAGGAAATATTAAAACCGAACCAAAAATGCAATGCCGATAAGGATAAATCTATTGATATGGTGGAATTAGGCAAGGAAATGTTCTTCACGGTTGACATGGCGAAAGGTCACTAATACCCACTGGACAGCCGATACCGTAATGCGTACTCCTGTTTCTAGAAATTCTTCCGAAGTCTAGAAAAATACAACGGAAGCTTAATTAAAAAGCACGAAATGTATCCTGGACGAGGTCAAACAGGTTTCGAAATATGATATATATGGTAGGGAGGAGCGCGATCCTCTGTTGATAAGCCAAGAGCAATCCGTAATTGCTAATACAACCACCCCGGTTCGTCGATTATCCGTATCACATTAACAATTTTGCCGGTATTATTGCCGGAAGTGAAAAGCCTGTTACCGCGTATAGCTCGCACACATCGCTTGCAGTCTGATTAGTTACCGCATTCTTTTGTTTGTAATGTCATCATTAGTTGACGACACCTTTTAAGGAGCGCTATGGAGAAGGAACATCCCCCTGCGCGAGGAAATAATGATTCCAAACACTGGTAGCACACTGGTTGCGGATCCCATAATCCCACGCTATTACTGGATCGAAGCACAATAGACTGTATTTCTAAGACTGCGTAAATATGCGTGCATCACAGCATAAGACTGTGGTTTCTAGCATGCAAAGTCTGTATACAGATGACTCGGCGTTTTTAAAGTGTCAGGCCGGTCGCCATGGCAGCCTACGAGATGGCAGCCAGCGACAGCCCAGCTTCCGGTGTGCAGACTCACAAACGGAGTCGCACTCGCTATCGTACGCCGTATCGGCCTCGACTCAGGCTCGGCTACGCCTTGCCACACCTACGGCTTTACGTCTCGGCCAATCAGCGTTCGTTCGCTCGTGTTGGATCTGCCCAGTGCTGCCGATAGGCATTTTTCTATGTTACGGCTCATTCAGCCGCTCATTCCAGTTTAGTCATGATTTGCCCCTCGCGCTGGCCACTTGCCATGCGTTTTGCCCATGCTTTACCGTTGTACACAATAAAGCCTCGTTCACTCACGATCGTGAGCCCTCTGTGCTGTGCTGCTGATATGGTAGCAGCTCCTGTGTTTTCCTTCTACGGAACCTTCTGAGACACGGTGTAGAACTACAGCCGTAACGGCCGACGAGAAGATAGGGGAGAACCGAACGGTTCCCATCCCCATCTGATCGCCGCCAGCCTAAACGGTCTGGTTTCTCTGGTCTCTCTTGCGGGCAGAAAGCTCCAGCGAACCCTCTTCCTGCGCGCGGACGGAACGATCTTGCGCGGACGACCTTTGGACGGACTTTGCCCGGGTCGATTGGCGGCTACCGCGGATCCCCCGACAGAACGTACGGCACGGACCAAGCGGACCCTCTCAACCTCATCAATCGGGGTCGCCTTTGCCTTAAGTGGCACCCGCAACTTTAACGGCGCGGGATTCACCGGACGAACAAGCGGATTCACACGGATTTACCCGGTAAATAGGGTCGACTGACCCTCGGTAAGCCGTGTAGAGCCTCTAAAGACCCGATATAGCCGGGCAATTTTGATTTTTCACCGCCGAAAACTAGTTTCGGTCGGCTAAAAACCTTTTTCACCCGGAGAAACGGGCTTAAAAACATCTTTTACGGGTAAAAATAGGGTTAGCCAAACTTACTAGGTCGGACCCTCGGAGCCTCAGTGTAGACCCTCTGAGCCTCGGTGTTTAACCTTTCCGAACTTTCGAAAAATTACGGGAATAACTTTCCCCCGGCTAAATTGATTTTTGGTCGGCTAAAAATAATTTTTCAGAATTTTCTACTATTTTTCCGAATTTTTCCATCTCGGAAAATTAATTAATTCAAATTAAAAATAATTGTGACGTCACGACGGCCGGTTTTGCATTATAAAATTTGACCAATCAGGATAGCGGGGAAATTCCCTATGCTATAGACCCGTAGTGAGTCATAGTTTTTTGGAATTTTGCACGCGGCGCGTAGAATCGTGACGTAGGCGGTAATCTGCAAGACCACTTAGCGGTGTGTGACGTCATAGCGGTCAGTGCTGTAGTATAGGACGTACGTAAGCTGTACCCTGTATTGACAACAGTACTGAGTTGCAAGTAGTACAAGCACACCCACACCATTACCCCTCACCCCACCGGACCTCTGCCCCCCCACCGGACCTTAGCCCCCCCACCGGACCCTCGGACCTTCAATAGGCAAAAAGCCTCATCAACCTCGGACAAGTCCCCAATAGGGATAGTCTGACTTTTGGCCGAAGGGGTAACCCAGAGGCTACTTCAAGGCTCCAATAGAGCCACCACCGAAGATGTCCGGTCGAGACAACCCATACGAACGAAAGTTCGATCAAGGCTACGCCCGACGTGACAATGCAGGCGGGTACACCTTCCGTCATGCTGGCCCGGGTAACGAGCCTCATTCGTCGGACTCCAACCGATCGAACAAGTCCGGCAAATCAAACCAGTCAACCAAATCGGCCAAGGAGAAGCGAGATGCACGGATCCTGGCGAACGACTTTACCCAATCGCCGGAGGATAGCTTCGAGGACGCACACGACCGGACGTTCATCGAGCTACCACAGGCTGAGTCGGAGGTTCTGCATGACCCAATAGGTCAAACTGCGAACTCCGAGCCTGCGGCTGGACTTGTGCACCCAATAGGTGCCTCGCCAGTCTTTTTCCCGGCCATCACCCCGGACAATGAAGCCTCGAGCCCGGCGCCAAGCAGCTCCGAGGTGTCACCAGACATGGGTGACCCTGTGCAGCCCCGACAGGGCAGCCTGGCTGGACCTAAACCGAGGCAAGGCCAGATGAGCCCGAGCCAAATGAAGGGTACGGCATCACCGACACGGGGGGTGACCCACAAGACGGGTTCACTGACTAAGTCCCCACCGACCCTGGCTCAAAGCCCCAAACCAACGGGCAATAACCCAAAATCTTCGGACAACAACCAGAAATCAACGTCGCCGGACCCGAAGCAACCCTCGAGGGCTCCGAAGGCGACCACACCGGACCCAAGGACCCTCAGCGGGACTCCAACTCGGACTTCGAACTTACCGAAACCGACCTTGGGAACTTCAAAGTCACCATCAGGGAGGACACAGCCGTCGAAAGTCTCGGGTACCGAGGCTAATCGACCCTCGGGTACCGGGGCTAATCGACCCTCGGGTACCGAGGCTAATCGACCCTCGGGTACCGGGGCTAATCGACCCTCGGGTACCGAGGCTAATCGACCCTCGGGTACCGGGGCTAATCGACCCTCGGGTACCGAGGCTACTCGACCTTTAAGTACCGAGGCCAATCAACCCTCGGACCCTCGGACCTTCGGACCCTTGGACCTTCGGACCCTCGGACCTTCGGACCCTCGGACCCTCGGACCCTCGGACCCCCAACACCGGAGTCCGGACTCTGACCCAACAGGTCGGAACCCCCAAAACTCAGCCGGCAACTCCCACTTCTTCGGCTAAAAACGCCGTTTCTCCGGCTAAATTCCGGATTTCACCGGCCGGAACCGAGGCAATCCCGGTTACCGGACCCTTACCCTCGGTTGTCGGACCTCAACCCCCGGCAGCTCCGGAACCCTCACCCAAGACCGATCCCATTGAGGCCGCCCGACTTCAAGACATGTTAAATCAGTCTCGGGCCGAAGTGGAAGCCGTGCACCAGGAATTGGAGCAGCGGTCGACCCACCTAATGGCTATGGTGAACCGAGCAGACACTCGGGCCGCGACCTTACGGGACGAGAATGACCAGCTTAGCCAGGCACTGCAGAATGCGGATGCTATTGTTGGCATGCTCCAATTAGAGCTGGAGAACGAGGCTGATGCCCGCAGCCAGCTGGAGTTCAGCTGTAAAGAGGCTGAAAAGGTCATTGAGGCCCAACGAAGCCACATTGACCGGCTGGAAACTGAGAAGGCCCGGTTGGAGGAATTTCTTCAGTACGGCATCGAAGCTTCACAGAAGGTCATTGAACTGACGTGACAATGCAGGCGGGTACACCTTCCGTCATGCTGGCCCGGGTAACGAGCCTCATTCGTCGGACTCCAACCGATCGAACAAGTCCGGCAAATCAAACCAGTCAACCAAATCGGCCAAGGAGAAGCGAGATGCACGGATCCTGGCGAACGACTTTACCCAATCGCCGGAGGATAGCTTCGAGGACGCACACGACCGGACGTTCATCGAGCTACCACAGGCTGAGTCGGAGGTTCTGCATGACCCAATAGGTCAAACTGCGAACTCCGAGCCTGCGGCTGGACTTGTGCACCCAATAGGTGCCTCGCCAGTCTTTTTCCCGGCCATCACCCCGGACAATGAAGCCTCGAGCCCGGCGCCAAGCAGCTCCGAGGTGTCACCAGACATGGGTGACCCTGTGCAGCCCCGACAGGGCAGCCTGGCTGGACCTAAACCGAGGCAAGGCCAGATGAGCCCGAGCCAAATGAAGGGTACGGCATCACCGACACGGGGGGTGACCCACAAGACGGGTTCACTGACTAAGTCCCCATCGACCCTGGCTCAAAGCCCCAAACCAACGGGCAATAACCCAAAATCTTCGGACAACAACCGGAAATCAACGTCGCCGGACCCGAAGCAACCCTCGAGGGCTCCGAAGGCGACCACACCGGACCCGAGGACCCTCAGCGGGACTCCAACTCGGACTTCGAACTTACCGAAACCGACCTTGGGAACTTCAAAGTCACCATCAGGGAGGACACAGCCGGCGAAAGTCTCGGGTACCGAGGCTAATCGACCCTCGGGTACCGGGGCTAATCGACCCTCGGGTACCGAGGCTAATCGACCCTCGGGTACCGGGGCTAATCGACCCTCGGGTACCGAGGCTAATCGACCCTCGGGTACCGGGGCTAATCGACCCTCGGGTACCGAGGCTACTCGACCTTTAAGTACCGAGGCCAATCAACCCTCGGACCCTCGGACCTTCGGACCCTTGGACCTTCGGACCCTCGGACCTTCGGACCTCGGACCCTCGGACCCTCGGACCCCCAACACCGGAGTCCGGACTCTGACCCAACAGGTCGGAACCCCCAAAACTCAGCCGGCAACTCCCACTTCTTCGGCTAAAAACGCCGTT